TCCCGGCCCGGGAATCGAACCCAGGACCTCTGCGTGGCAGTCCAGGATGGTAACCGTTCCACCAAGGATGCAGTCAAAAATGCTCGCTAAGAAGGCGCCTCTTCCTTCTGATTGAAATCATATATTGCATATTTGACACGATTGGCTGTGATTTGATGATGATCACAGGCAATTAAATAATTTCATGTACTAACTATTCACTTCTATACCTGGTTTTGGTATCGCTTTTTACAACGATGTGTGAAAATATTTGCTAAGAGACAGCACTACGGTGACACCAATAACGTTGAACGATCTGTCATTTTGAACGAGCCCACGTTCGCGCGCGCTTTTTTAAGAGTGATCGCATTTTTAACACTTCGCTCTTAAACAGCTCTGAATTTAGGTAAATATTAAACAATCGGGATGAGTTTATTTTTTGAGTTCAGACAGAAAGAAAAACGTGATTTACTCGTACATTAGTATGATAAAGTAACAAAGTGACATTTTTGCGTAGCAATCACCTGTCCAATAGATCAAAAATAAAGTGTACGGTCTTTATGTCGTTCAATCCGTTATTAACACCGTTAGTGAGCGCAAGAGCAAGTACGAAGCGAAGTTCAAACGAAGTTAACGGAAATTACTGCTACGGGGCGCGCAATCAAGATAAATGCACGTCGTAGAGCCAGCCGCCGCGCGACTCGTAGGTGTGCTACGCGCTAAAGGCTACGTACGGGCTACGATACTTGTGTAGGCTTGGAAGCGTACTCGGCTGTAGAAATTGAATTTCGGAGCCATTCACGTACTTAAGTGTTTATTATAAGCGTTAAAAAATGTTCCACGCATTATGTGGACGTTATTAAATTATAACTCTTATGGAATTTCTCATAAAAGTATTTTTGTTTCGCTAAAATGTTTTTGAAGTACGCCCTCTGGCTACGCTCAATCTCTGGCGGGACGAAATCGGTGACACTCGTGAGGAAGAAAAATTAATGGATACTTTTCAGTTCTGACGTCATTATATAATACTCCACGGTATAATATCACTATATTACAACTACTTACTATAAAAGGGTGCTTTGTTCCCAAAATTTGTAAAAAAAGGGCACTGTCGCAATAGGCACGCGCGGGACAATGTGATGGCGACGTGACCTACGAATATAAGCGGTGCGTTCAGAGATAGCTATACCGTAGTCGCGAAAACAAAACCACATAATTCTTCCAGTAACATAGGGCCAGAATTTCCAACCACCGGTCGCACGATTTTGACATTACAGTACTTTAACTTAGTATTCGATGTGTAGTATATTTATTTGAAACACTTCCATTAGAAGATGTTTTTTGGGTGCATTAACCTTTCCAAGTCTTAAATTGTGCTTAGATTACCCTAAGAAATTGCTAGTTAGCAATAAAGCCGTCTGTTGTATATTAGCTTATTCTATGATTATTGTAACTTTACTGTTATGTGCTGTCGTTGTAATTTTCAATGTGCCATTCAGATTCAGAATATTCCATTCATTCATTCATTTAAATGTAGTTCGGCTGAATCAAAGTTTTTGTATCATTTATTATTTGTTGTTCTCTTGATATTACGTTACGTTACGACAAAAGTTAGGGAGGTCGTAAAATGGTGAATTACGCTGTTTTAGAATACATAAACTATTTCTAGCTTTGACGTAACTGTGTCACGAGTAGGAATTGGAATAGGTTGAGTATATTTACGAAAAGCTTTACTACTGTCGTGTCCTTAGATGAAAAGTTTTGCAATTGTAAGTATATATAGATAAATAAAACGTTTGTTCAGCACAAACACAAGCAGAAACAAAAATTAACTATTACTTTACAGGGTATGACACTAATGCACATAAAACACTAGTTAGTACACATTGACACAAACACATATTTGCAGAGAAAAATATAAATTTTATACGATCGTATATATTTGCGACAGTTTGTGCTGAAATGGCTGACTTAGCATAAACACTGTAGACCATGAACGTCAACAGTGTTTCCGCCAGTACCATATGGTGAGCGATCACATCCCAGTAAGGCATGCCACCAAGACGCATCACACGTAAATACATAGCTCTAAAATTACATATGTATCTTGTATGGTATTTAGTAGCAGTAGAACTCCTTGTGGAGGAGTTTGTCCAGGAAAGTATTGTCATCTTACTCATTTCCGCCGCCTAGCAGCAATATGAACATTACTGCGTTTCGGTTTGGAAGGGTAAGGGTACTGGTGAAATTACATGCACATAGGACTTGTCAACTTAGGTTTTGTCTTAGGGCGCAATGACAGTGTCCCTAAGATATTTGCGATTTAAAGCCCTGAGTGTCACTGCAACTGTTATGGACGGACGTATCGCTTACCACCAGGCACACGATTTGTCCGTTCAGTCACTTATATTATAAAAAAAAGATAAATACGGTTGAGTGTGGTTAGTATTAATGTAAGTAGGGTAAGTAACGTTTAGTTTTTTCGCAATAATGCAATAATAAGGTCTCTCGTCGTCTGCTTTTGAAGTCGTCGCCGCGCGCCCGCAACGGGATTCTCACACTCGCTGAGCATATGCACAATTGCTTTTTTAAATACTGGATTTCCGAGCATCGTGATGGGAATAGAAAGTGACAGGCTACTAATTGCAATTTTATAAGCGCATTGTATTTAATTTTTTTAATATTTTATTGTTTTTGTAATTATTATTACGTTTTTTGCACTCTGTGCTTGATCGTTTCAGGATTTCAGAGGGTGGTATTAACCGCTCTATGAATATTATAGTACTTAAACATTACGCAAATAAGCTCTGCTTATTCCGATCTCAGATGATAATGAATAAACACAAGCTAAGCGCCAGGTGGTATGTCTTAGACTACATGTAGGTGTAGTTCGAGAAATCATAGTAGCGTCTTCTGGTCAGCGGGTGTTCGGCACGTCGTCTTTAAATCACCATCATTGGGCCAATGTCGCAGCTCATCAAGCCGCATTATTTATATGAAATATTGTTCACACAACCAACCGCGCTGCTGTGAGTAGTGAACATAGATACTTACATTTACAATTTTAAATGTTAACTTATTATTTTTCTTTGCAAACTTTACAGCCCTTAAATTTGGTTTACCTATAACTTCATATAAATTTTGTACGTTACGTAAAACTGATCGAATGCTATAATTAAGTCACTGATCTGATAATCTATAATCTAGAAAAGGGGAATTCTAGTAAGAATTAATGAACTGGCTGCAGTTCACAAGCAAGACATCGACATTGTAAAATACGATGCGTCTATGTATTACAATTCTATTTCATACAATAAAAATAACCTAATATCACGCGGGTAGCTAATTTAATTAAATTTTCAAATCAAGGAAATGAAACTATTTTTCTGGATTTAAATCGCGTATATTTGTTTTTTCAAACAAACCGACGTTTCAGCCCCTTTACAGGTCCCATGGTCACGGTTGACTTTTTTGGTTGGTTTGTTTGAAAAAATAAATATACGCGATTTCAATCCGGAAAAATAGTTTCATTTCCTATGTGTAACAATCGCGAAAACCTAAGAACTTCTCAAATCAAATTTGTTTTGCGATCTTCCAGTAAACATTGAAAATCCACTCGACACCCCACCTCGGCTGCTAGCAGTCTTTGCCGAGATTATTTGCCGCCATATTTGGGGAAACGTGGCACTCCTTCTAATTGCGAAGCGAGCTCGAGCCGTCATCGAATCACTCCGCTCTCGTCAGTATTGACTCGCGAGATTCGGCTCTTAAAAAGACTGGTATCTTTATTACACCTGACAATTTTCACTATCACGTTACGGGATTCCATTTCAGCCACTGTACTTTGAATACGTATTAAAATTATCGGAAGGGGCGTTCGCTTCGTGACACAATGGCTCCACTTCGTAATATGTATACCCTTTGATCTAACACAATGTACGATCAAATCCGTTGGCCCAGAAATACAATATTTGACGGAATATGAAAAAAGAAGCCGTTTTACAAATATTGACTGAATCGTATAAATTTATTTAAACGCTGTTCTGAAGTTTTACCTTCTTTTTTATGTGAAATTAAAAAGTAGGGAGAGTAATTGTTAAAAAGTAGAAAGGTCCACGTACTGTGGGTCTCGGAATAATGGTATTTCTAGTTAGATAATACCTCTATCGAATAACAGAATGTATTTCATTTTCGAAGTTCATAGTTGAGTCTGCCGTAAATCGAACCTGCGAAGCCCAGGTTGAGTAACCATTGACTATCGACGTAAGTACGTAGTTTTCAATTACCTAATTATCGCAATTAAAGTATAGGGATATATGTCAGCATAAAGGGTGGAGAGGTGGCAAACGAGCTGACAACTGTCACCTGCAATCTGCGAGCGGACGCGGTTGCAAACAACTTCCGAACGACATCTCTGCCGCTGCCGCACCCGCATCCACGTGCCGCTGCGCTTTTCGCGGTCACTGCAGCCAGTTTTTAATCTGCAAAAAACTGCCCGCCTTTTTCTTTCTAAAGTTGCTTGCCACATTGACTGGCGATAAATTACAAACTGTAGAGTTCTAGGAAGTAAGGTGCACTTTTACATGGACACGCTAATTCGCGTTCTTTAAAATCTTACAATTGAGGAGATCTGTCAACGTTGTTACGTATTTATACAAGATTGAGGCAAAAACACATAATATGATGGCATATATCTACCTAAAAAGATTAAAAATCTCCAAGGATTTCTGTAAAAGTATCATGTACAGGTATCTTTAAGATATCACAAATTTTCTTAACGCCATACCAACTCATACAAAACATTTTCATAGATAGGTGTTACAGGAGAAGTCGCAAAGTGAAGATCAGTGAGAAGCGAAGTTGGAGAAGTCAGTGGAAACTGTAAGCAAGATAGGCGGATGGCGGCGCAGGCGCGACGGCACTTCGCGCGCCGCTGCCGCCGCGGCCTCACGCCGCTCCACTGAGATCGCGATCGCGAGTACTTGCTCGCCGAGTTCGCAACTTCCGAGAAACGCGCCCGCACTCGAAGCGCTGCAGGAGATGCGAGCAGAGCGGCGCGGAGGCCTTCCAAAGTCGAGCATGTGCGGGCTGCGGCCTGTGCGGTGAGCGCGCGATGCTAGGGCTGCCGCGTGCCCGCGCTGCCGTGGTCGTGGTGGTCGTGGTGGTCGTGGTGGTCGTCGTGGTCGTCGTGGTCGCCGCGCGATGACCGATCGCCGTCGGTTGTGCGCGCCGCCAATCAGCCAGCACGCGCGCGCCTTCTTCCTCGTCGCGCTGCTCCTGCCGGTCAAGACCGCACTCGCCCAGTCACAGTAAGTGCAAACTTTATAGGTATTGGGAATGAACTTAAAAAAACTGCTTAGAAAAACTTTAAAAACGTGTTTCTTCCTTAAATTTAGCACGGCGACTATGTTTACTTGTCTAACTTTCTAAAATATTGTGAAAAGTACTTGGGGATTTGCTTTATAAATATATTATAAGCTTTAGTAAGTTTCGAAGTGAAATAATTTTGGTTGGTGAGCGCACGGCTGGGCCCCGTAACATGATATTCGCCGTCCGCAAAGACATTCCGGCGGCCGACGGAATGTCCGGCGGCTTTCGCTAGTCCTCATATTTCACTTCGATTTTGTTAAACCAAATCTACATAACTACCACACAATATAAACCATGTGGTTGGACTTTTACAAACATAGGTAGTTTTTAATAACCAAAGAGACGAGCAGGGAGGGGACGAAATACTTTTCTATGCATGTCAATACAATTATAATATTTTATTAATATTCACCACACAAAAAATAATAAATATGTACAAATGTATATTTAGTGCAACCCCTAGAGTTTCTTGCTCATTCTTCTCAAGGGAATCTGCATTACGAGTCAGCGGTAGAGTTTAACCATTGTGACGATTTCAAATGCAACTTGTTTATCAATGAAGTAAATGTTGTTTGAGTTTGAAAATTATGTGATATTTCCCATATTTTCAGTTCGAAAAATAAAATAAAAATATTTCATGATGTTCCACATCGTTAACATTCAATAGGGCAACTAACTTCTACACTAATAAATAATTAAATAGAAATAATTCATCAAATGATACTATATAAAATGATTATTTTTATTATTTCATATTTTATTGTTAATATATGGTTTGTGCTTCCTATCTTCAGTGCATTTAAAAGTAAACTCGGGCTCCAAAATCAAACACTATTGGTACATTTTTTTACTTAAAGAATTTGGAATGTACTGATTAGTTTTTGAAATATAAGTCATGATTATTGCGTAAGAGATTTAGTAACCATTTCTCGATGTGCTATTAAGGTACCGAATTGACCTGTTGAGCTGGCTTTGACATGAAACCCAGCAGCGGCAGCGCTGAGCGCATAATTTACTACGGGATCTCTGGGATCTTCCTTTAATGCCGCTCTGACCGAACCTGCTCGGGAATTCCATTAAGATAACCGACTCCGGCATCAAATACTGCACTTATGGATTACGATATTCATTCGCGGTTAGATTCTATTGTACTTCTAAGCGATTCGGCCAAGTCTTTGTAAACTTCGAATTACCTATTTCCTTTATGAAAAAAAATTGTTTGAATGCTGTCATTAAGAATATTGCGTATTCCTAGTAGATAGCAACTTTTAAAGATAATATTGATTAGAATAGAATTGAAGAGAGTTATTTATTTCAAAGTATGTCGCAACATTGCATAATAAAATATTACAGTGTCAAGAGATAGTATGATACTCACCAATATAAAGATTAATAGTTCATATAAAACAAAATAGTATTACTAAAAAACAAATAAATACAAATTATTATCAAAATACAATTTCATCGAAAAAAAATTGTTGAAATTGAAAAGGCAGTTTTAGCCGTTTGTAAAAAATTTCCTCGTTCGGAATACTTTTCATATTCGCGGCTTTCTCGTCGTGAGTTTGGTACGGTGGACAACGGTTTTAAGAATACCGTTTATTGAAACAGGAGCGTGCACGTGACCGCAGCTGATCGGCTGGAGAACGTGACGCACACGGTGAACCGGATCCTCGACGGATACGACATACGACTCAGGCCCAACTTCGGAGGTAAATTTCCATAACATCCAGTGAGAGTACAACTTACCTATTCAAAGCGTGCCCGATCTATTGTATTGTTTCTGGGCACGTCTTACTGAAGTAAAAACACATTGTCGTCAGAATATGAAAACGTTTCTTAATAAGACTGTGAGGTCCAATTCTAGAAAACTGTCAAGCCGTTATGACAACAATACACGAGTATAAAATACCGCGAAGGAAACTTCAATCTAAAAGCAATTTCTACAAGATTTTACGTAATATGAAATGTTGGAAATAGGTGCTTTATTTCTCTAAGTCCGAAAGTAATTTCCCATTTCCCAAGACAAGGCACCCACATATCTACAAGGGAAGCGCCGTAATTGCATCTCAAAACAACGTAATATAACAGTATTGAAATGAACGAAGACACGAATATTCGTTTGAATAAATAGACGAGAGTTTCATTCCAAATGTTATATTTGAAATTGCAATCCTTGCTATTTCTACTGAAGTAGCAGGCAGGGTGCGCAGCACCGCTGCAATTTATAGCGCGCCGTGAGCCGTAAAGATCCGATATTATATTGAATTTAGTCGACATTCTAAACATGAAGCGATTTGTCGGCGGTCGGCGAGACGAAGATTTGATACATGATACCTTGTACTGATACAGTGATGCACAAAACGTTTGTTGGTTGCAGGGAATCCGCTCTATGTCGGCATGGACTTGACCATCGCAAGCTTTGATGCCATTTCTGAAGTTAACATGGTAAGTATTTTTGAAGTAATATTACATATAATTTGTTGAGTAGGTTTGTTGTCCGATCTTTTAACACTCGAAGATAGTCCTTTATTTAACCTACTTCAAAAAAGGAGGAGGTTCTCAATTCGACTGCATTCTTAGGCAATGAATCCGGGTTTGCGCACTTTCCGGTAACAGATTTCAATAAAACTTGGCAAATAGAATAGATCCACGAACTTTTGAGATTTTTTTAAATAAAAATATGTGTCCAAATAATAAAATGTAGTAATGCTCACATTCTTGCGTTCCGGTTTAGAAGCGTACGGGTGCTGTTGAAATTACAGGCAAATGGGACTTACCAACCTCGGGGTGACGGGCGCAGTGGCAGAGCCTCTCAGATCTTTGCCATTTAAAGCTCTGAGTGGCACTGCACCTGCTATGGACAGGCGTGTCGCTTACCACCAGGCGCATGATATGATATGATATGATTGACCGTAGTGTTTATTTCGCGCAAAGATAGAAACGAAATTTAAATGAGTGTATCAATGGGTTAAAGGGTGGGTGCTAACAACGATTGAGTAAGGCCGAGCAAATGTACTTACAGTTTATTAATTTTTATTACAAAACACCACGTAGCTATCAAAACTTAAGCAAACCCAAACAAAGTCATTAAAAGGCGCCAAAAACAAACACGTTTAAATTTTAAATATAAAACTAAGCATTGACTTACAAATAAATGGACGACGGGTCTAATACAAAAACCACGAAAAAAAATGTCTCAAGTCAACCTATTCGAAATTTAAATTGTAATGTCATCGCAGTATCGCGCTGTCAGTCGAACATGAAGACTAAAGCGGAGTTTGGCGCTCTGTATACGATTTTAGCGCCTTACAAGTGCGGACACTTTTTAGCGCGGACCCGACGTCCATATAATTGTAAGTCAATGAAACTAGGCTTAAAAACACTATATTATAAAATATATACAAAAGAGATTTGTAGCGACTGCTGCGATTCGCTACAATGAGGTTAAAAAATCAGATAAAGCGAAGGTAGATGCTTCTCAATTGGCAGCGTGTACCTACGACTTCAATTTGTAAGTCACGTAGCTACGTTTGAGAATGTTTATAGCAATACCTCTCGCTGACGGCGACGGAAAACATACATCGTGACAAAACCTGCACGACTAAGAAGGTTCACAGCCTTTGGAGACTCTTTAATCCACATTCTTCTTCTTATCGTTCTTAATCTTATCTGTTTATCTTATCGATGCATACACTATGCTATTGTGGCCCACAACTCAGCTACGCTGAGTGTAAGGGCCACGATATGAGTCTTAGTCTGCAACGTGTATATATTTATTAATAACTATAAGTTTTATAATATTTTATATTTATATATATTGCTAGACAAAATATAATGAAAGTTTATACAATTTAACTGCCTCCGTGGCCGAACGGTTACCATGCCGGACTGCCACGCAGAGGTCCCAGGTTCGATTCCCGGGCCGAGAGAAATAGTTGTATGGCCTACAATTATTTCTCTCGTGAGTTTGGGTGTAATTTGTGGTTGTCTATATGTGTGTCCATGGCACCCGCGACACAGGGTTTCCCTAGTGCGGGGCTATGTTGAGTGTGCGCGTTATTTATTTATTATTTATTAATTCAAATATTGCTATTGGCACACTATGCCTCCCGATTAGCACTTCTCTTCGTCAAAGGTTGTCTGGAAGAGATAGCTCTTTGCGATAGGACGGCCTTTGCCCACATTAGTTTTGAGTTGTTTATGTACTGTTTTTGTTCTTGTGTGTGATCAATAAAGTGCATATATATCTGTTTATCTGCAATGCAACTGGCGTGTCGCTTTCCACCAGGTGTACAAAAAAAATCTATCTATGATAAGGGCAAAGAGCCGGCTTCAGTGATGAGTGGTGGGACATGCTTGCCATCGTGGTGCAATGATTTGCCAATCATAGTAAGGTACTCTCCGAATGATGTCCAGGGTGCGCAAGAGGTACAGGAAAAGAATTGGGGAGGCTGCTTTGTGCACCCCATTGAGCTAGCGTGGCGGGTTACAGACTAAACTATCTCCTTAGAGGAGATTCGTACCCATCAGTGAGTTAATTATAAGTTGACGGTGATAATGTCGATCAAACTAATTTTTGTATGACAAACATAAAAAAAATATTATTAATATTTTATGAAATGTAAGTGTGCGTTAGACCTCCGTCTCGTCTGATGGAAAGTGACGATGAGGTCGACGATCGGTGTGCATACACCTAAATAATGCCTATTCACTCTCGCCTTGGAAAGGTCCAAGTTATAACGTTCAGGGAACAAATCTTCAAAAGGCAGGGAATTACACTCCATAGCCGTTCGCCATATAAATGTAGAAGCGTAACAACGCTTCGTGCGAATGTTTGGAATATCCACAACATAGGTGCAATCCAAGCCTTTGCCTAGTCCCCCGATGATGGGAAGGGGAAGGCGGAATCAAATTATGCAATTCCACCGCACACTGTCCGTGATATATCCTTTAAAATACCGATAAGCAGGCAACTTAACAGCGGTGTTCAAGGTTCAGCAGCTTCGCCTTCACCAATTCTGAGTCACTTATAACCTCTTGGCACGGCTGTTGATTGATTATATAGATTATATGGTTATATAGGTGCGATCGCTCATCCAATGGTACTGGCAAAATAACAGTTCTGTATTCTGTCAAAGTTTATAGCATTTATGCTGAGTCAGGCGCTTTTCAACACAAAATTGGTCAGGTATTGTTAAAATGTATTGTTTACTACAAATTCCTATTTACAAATGTTTATGTCTGTAAACTATTTGTGTTTGTATTGAGTAAACTTTTTAGATTAGTTGTTTTAATTTACGCATTTAAAACCGCCACATACGATTGATTTACGTACAAACGTTTGTATAATTACCTACCAGGCTCAAATTCGTGGACTGAAATGCAAAGTAAACCAAAGGGCGTTATTTTTTCATAATATACGTACACACTTTCATAAGTCACACATGTTCGTTCTTATACGAAGGTTGAGGAGGTCGGGCAAATTGCTCGTGAAAATAAACGGCACTAATAAGTTTCGCCAGCGCGAGACGATGACGAATCTTTTCGCTCTCTTTATTCGTGGAAACCATTAATTACTTCTGATTGGGAGCGTACCCTCGACAAGAGGTATCTCCCTACTTCTTTTTTCTAATAAATGTTTGGTTTTATTGGCGAAAGCTAAAACGAAAACGTGGCGGCGGTAGCCAAGTGGGACTACGGTTGCTTCTCCTGACTACTAGAAGTTGACGTTTCGAAGCCTCGTAGCGATATGTATGTATGAATTTAATTTCTAATTTCGAACTTTTAGTACAGGGACTCGAACCATCGAACCCTCAATTAAGAAGCAACTGTTCTATCACTGCGACCATCGCTCAAACTGCTTGTGTTTTAATGTTACCTTTACACTCATACTACATAAAATGTTCTTAATTGACAAATGGCATAGGAATATTTCGGCAAAGACTTACACAAGGATAATTTCCATTCCACCATGATCGCGTTAAATTGTTCAACGACTGATGGATAACCCTTGGTGAGCTGGAGATATCCTCTCGACATTGGAACCGAGATCACAGGATGTTTTTGGGTCATACCAAGGACCACTTCATATCGACCAGCGAGGGACCGGGACTGTGTGTTTTGAGGTGCCACAAACGTTTAATAGATTTTATTTTCTTATTTTTTGTAAATGAAAATTTTATGTAAAATAATAATAAACATGCCGTAATTTAAATGTAAATTGCCCATCCGTCTTATGTTGTTGTTGTCATAAAAAGAATAGGCAAACAATTTAAGCAAGTCGTTTTCCCCTTAACCTTCCAGTTTTCCACACGCTAGGTTCGCCTCTGATGACTCATTAAGCTTTTAATAGAAAAGAGAGCAAGGCCAACTCTTGACACAGATCGGTGTCCGTCAGAGGGGCGTGCTGCGTCAGCCAATCGATGAAGGAGTCAGTAGGTAGTAGGCTGCACCGTGTGCCGTCGACGCCCACTCCACGCTTATGTAAAACTACATAATGTACTTTTAACACCTATGTACTGACCAAGGTGAACAGTTACAATTGACTAAACATTACCTGTGAATGAGGTCTGGCTGACAATAAGCAGGACTTTACACAAGTTATATCCATAGATAAGAGTACTATACTGGCATAGTTATATTTCAATATACATGTATACATAGGCATCGGACATTTTGAAAATTGTGTGTAAACTATGGAATAAAACAGTATTTTGTTATAGGAAATTCTGCATTTAAGCTGCATTGCATTCTGCATCTTGGAAATGGGGTTGATGAAGTCCTAAAGATATGATGAGGAAAAGTCAGGTGTAAAAATAGTTTAAAATGACATGGAAGTCAAAGTCAAAGTTAAAGGTTATTTATTCCATAGGTAAAATAAATTTACACTTGAAAACGTCACATTTAACTTACTTTATTTATTCCTATAGTTCCTGCTGGAACTATTGGGAATAATTATGACATGTTAAGGTTACAATTGTTCCACATGGAACTGAGTACATGAAACTACTGGGAATAAACTTTATGGTGTTTCCACGAATAAAGTATAAATAAATTTATTTTTGGTCGATTTTCGATGTAGATACGAATAATCTTATCTTTAAATGTTCACATAAATCTAGAAATCCAATTTTTTTCACTTTGATTGTGAATAGTTAAGGCATATTATGCATTTTTTACACCATTGGTCAGACTCCAGACAAGAAATAAAATTAAAAACAAACTAATTTGTTCTAAAAAAAACTAATCTGAAATTAGAGTTTTAGCTAAGACCTAAGTTTAACATACTGATGGTAAATAACCTTCTTATTCTGTTCTTACACTGTCTAAGATTGTTCAGGCCAAATATGAGCACTCTGTGTCGAGTAGTGTCTTGACAATGCCATAAATTCAAATACCTAAAAACCTATTTTAGAACAACTCTGTTTGGGCAGCCCTATATATGAGACGTGATGACACATACATGCTCTGTCCGTTTGGTTCTGACTTAGCGAAACCTGTCTGAAAATAGTATCTCTTTCAGGATTACACAATAACGCTTTATTTGAATCAGTACTGGAAGGATGAAAGACTGGCCTTCGGACTCGTCGATGAGGTGCTCACTCTGTCCGGAGACTTCGCCGACAAGATTTGGGTGCCGGACACCTTTTTCGCTAACGACAAAAATAGGTTAGAGATTGTTTCATAACTTCATTGTGGATAACTATACTATTAAGGCAATTCTATAGTATAGATATCATGACGTGACTTTTTAACTCTCTCCTAAAGCACTCCCTTTTGGCGGAAGTCTCCAGTAGCGCCCTGAGCCGAGGTCCGTGCCCACTTGGGCGCCCTCAGGCCTGCTACTTAGTTTTAAGTTTATTTTAGGGGCTCAGCCTTCAGCTCGCCCTCTTTTCCGGTGGCACAGTCGAGGCCATCAGCGGCCAACTGCAAAATGTCCTTCACAAAAAGCGACTTTTTAAATTTTACTTGACATGCCACTGTCGGTACAGTGTTGAACGTTTGTTGTGATAGTTTCCTGCACGACGTGACCGAGCGGAACAAGCTGGTGCGACTGGGCGGCGAGGGCAGCATCACCTACGGCATGCGATTCACCGCCACTCTCGCCTGCATGATGGACCTGCACTACTACCCTTTGGACTCGCAGAACTGCACCGTCGAGATTGAAAGCTGTGTGACTCCTACACTTGTTTTATCCACCAGCTCACCGCATCCGCCTCCGCGACGTCTCGGCTTGCGACCCGCTAGTAGATAGACGTCATTGTACATAACATGACACGTCTCATTTCTGATCTCCACAGTTACATTGGCAGCTTGGATGGCGTTTGCATCGATGTTACCGCCCGCCATTAGTTTTGGTTTTTTGTTATACTTTTGTTGGATTTAGGTTGACATAAAAGATATGTCCTTTTACTAGTATGCACATTCGTTTTGGTTTACTTTTTATAGATGTTTTTGATATCATTTTTTTTTTCGCACGTTACCTAATAAATTGTGACAAGAATAAAATGCACACTTATGTGTTATACTTGTGCTTAAATTTTATTAGAAGACAAAAATTTAACTATTTTGTGGTTTCCAGATAGTCATTTTCAAATGAAATACATTGAAATTATTAATTAATGGTATAATCAATCTAATGACCATCTGTTGGCCACTAGACGAACTCGCACAGCATGCTTACCTTCTGTTTCTGATGCAGATGGGTACACGGTTTCGGATGTGGTAATGTATTGGAAAGAGACCCCCGTGAGAGGAGTGGAGGACGCCGAACTGCCGCAGTTTACTATTCTTGGACATGAAACTAATGATAGAACGGTAAGGACAAGCAAAACTAGTAACATTAAAATGAACGGAAACACATTTAGAACATTTTTTGTACCTAGTAATTATTATGGAAGAACTGTTAAGTCGTCAAGCTAACGCATTAATAATAATTATGCGAAAATATTCAAAATTTCTAACCAAACTAATTTTTTTAGGAGAACCTGGCGACAGGCGTGTACCAACGATTATCTTTAAGTTTCAAGTTACGAAGGAACATTGGTTACTTCGTTTTCCAAACTTATCTGCCCAGTATACTCATTGTTATGCTCTCGTGGGTGTCTTTCTGGATCAACCACGAAGCCACGTCAGCGAGAGTTGCTTTAGGTACTTTTTGATCATCTTATATTCATATAATGAATATGTATAAAATTGCTCTGTAAAATATTATTAATATTTAAATCAGGTATAACGACGGTGCTGACAATGACTACAATAAGCACTGGAGTACGTAGCAGTCTTCCGCGCATCTCCTATGTAAAAGCTATCGACATTTATCTGGTGATGTGCTTCGTGTTTGTATTTGCTGCGCTTCTCGAATACGCCGCCGTCAACTATACATATTGGGGTGCCAGGGCACGGAAACGGGCCAAGTTAAAGAACAGAGATCTTTCAGCTAGCCCTAGTATAGAGAAAGATCTGAAATGTTCCACTGGTAAGTTTCTTAGATGTTTTATGAAGATTTCCATTAATAGCAGCACTAACAGATGTATTGTCTTCGAAGGTTCACGGTCTCCAGAAGAGATTATAGCGCTTCGGGAGTGCACTGCGACGTCGGGGAGAGTGTCACCCATCCTGAGCCTGCGGTCAAAGCCACTTCCGTCGGCGGCTGGGGCACCTCCGTCCTTGCGGCTGCAGCGTGATCACATGCAACTTCGGTATAGGACAAGACCGCATTCCAGGACCTCGAGAAGTTAGTAGAGTTTACCTGACAGAGTGTAAGTATTTTAAAACCTTGCTTCAAGGACCTGATGGTCAAAATTGGTCTTGTCTCCAGACGGTTCAACAGGCAAGCCGAAGATGATGCACGCGCTCCGTCGCGGTGCTTCCGTGATCAAAGCATCCATGCCCAAGATCCGTGATGTGAACGTCATCGATACATACTCCCGCGTCATCTTCCCTGTTTGCTTCCTGCTGTTCAACGCTGTCTACTGGGTGTTCTATGTTATCGATTGAACTTTGTATTACTTAAGTAAAATTGGGAATGGATTCCTGAGATATCAAATTTATTATGGAATTAGGAGGAAGGTGCTGATTACGATGTGCAAAAAGATATACAAATATGGAACAGAGGCGGGATATTCACATGATGACGTCACGTCATCGTGGAATGTCTATAGCTTGTCAAAGTAAAGTGTTTGTGTGTCAATAAAAAAGTCCTTTGAATAAGGCAAATGTACCATATTACGTAATGTTAAGACCAATAAAGTTGTACTTTGAGAATTATTTGTACAGAAAGATGAAAGTTTATGCAGACTTACTCGAAACGCTTTAAATACCGTGTGTATAGGTTATACATGTTATGTAATACAGATCAATAAATGCAGAACGTAAGATAGAAACCCTCTCAAATTCTTACGAAAACCGTTCTGTCGCCTTCGCTTGCGACATTCACTATATACTCGGAAGTTTCACACGACTTTTAGAGAGACTAGATATCTTTCAAAATCGTGGTTTTTGGTTGTGTTTTAATTATAATTGACGTGGTAGTGTATATTATGAATTCATGTACGATTTTTTTATTTAGAAACTGAACTCAAAAACTATGGAAGTGATAATGTATTATCTTGTAATATGGTACAATTTCGACACGATATTGGAACGATATTGTAAATGTACCGTTGATATCAATGAAAGTGAGTACTTCACGCGTTCAAGTTCGGTTTCAAGAGATGCTGTGAGGTTGTTCGAATCACGTAAAGCCGGTATTTTAAGTGTGTCATTGGGACAGTTATACCGTAAGAAGGGAGATTGTACGATGCCAAATGATTATTGTTAAAAATTTTCAGTAGTTCTTAAACTACGTAGAGTTAGCATATCGCATGATATTATTGTACGTTCTTATATACTGCCAAATTTCTTAATTACGTACGTGTACAAAATATTGGTTTGATATTTAAACTTATATATATAAATATTTCGAGTTGGATTATTCAAGTAGGCAAAAAAACTTTTGCAGCTACTAACTATTTTTTAATATTTTGGGTTCAATTAGGTACCAGTTAGCTTTAAAAATTAAAATGTATAGCTTTATTATTATTCGTAGATCGATGTTAAGAGAGACACAATTATTATATTATATCAAAAGCATTTGAGCAAATTACTTCTAGAGTCGATAACTTCATCTACTATGACTAATGAATATCGTACGTGTACGCTGCCAGCGGTTCAAATTCTAATTCAAATTCAAAATAATCTTTATTTCACAGGTAAGCATTATTACACTTGAAATCGTCGCAATGGTTAAACTCTACAGCTCATTCGTAAGGCAGATTCCCCTGAGAAGAATGAGCAAGAAACTCTAGGGGTTGCTCTTTGTAAATAACATTTACAATATTTTTTTTTATTTGAAACATCAGAGATCGAGACTACCTCCATGAGCTAACCGGGTTACTACCACGGATTTTTGTCATCCAAGTACGCAGAAGTTGTATAATAACCTTTAGTATAATTTTTTTGTTTCACTATAGTTTTAAACCTCGTGAAAGGCAAATTTTGTATATCAACCGGAATCTTGTTATAGAAGCGTATACATTGCCCCTTAAATAATTTTTTGACTTTGTGAAGACGACTATCAAGAAAAGCTAGTTTATTTCTATTCCTCGTATTAATGTTATGTCTGTCACTATTTTTCATAAATAAATTACTATTCCTTTTAACATAAATTACATTTTCATAAATGTACTGTGAGGCTAGTGTAAGAATGTTAAACTTATCTCTCAAAGATACTTTGGGGCCCAGATTGTTAATTGCCCTAACTGCACGTTTCGGCAGGACAAAGATTCTATTGATATCGGCGGCATTACCCCAAAGCAAAATGCCGTATGTCATTAGACTGTGAAAGTAGCTGAAGTAAACCAATCTAGCGGTTTCGACGTCTGTTCGGCTGCTCATAAAGACTCTTACTTTAAAGGGATTTCGGTCTCGTGAGAGGAGAATACAACGACAGAGGTACATATACATCTGGTTTATTTATTAAAAAAAAACTATTTACACAAAATTTACACTGCTCACGCAATAAGACTAATACTTCTACTACTACTACTACTACTACTCTTGGTAAAGTAAAGTTGCAGGTATAAGTGAATAATTTCTGAAATCGGCTTTTGAGTTGCAGCTCGTACGTATTGCTTGTCGTGACGTAGTGACAAGTCCTGAATGTTCTTCTATTATCCTGAAACCTTGTTTCCAGTCCTTTTTGTTCATGAATACTTCAACTGCTATTGCTAATTATGAACTATATTTATATTGTCATCAGTGAATCGACACAAATCCGCTAATTATATTTTATGGGGTTGGTTTTTTAGGAAGAAAGTTGTTCCAAATAGTGAATAGAACGTGATGTTAAATGTTTTTGGTAACAGTTAACAATCACAATGTGTACTTAAAAATATTGTATATAGAAAATATCATATTTTCTTGAGAACATGTTTCTTTTATTTACTTAGGAGTACAGAATTCTAATACGATAAATACTGTAATTAATACACAAATCGTGTGGATTACTTATTGAAAAATATCTTATAATATTCTTTATCCCTGCGTTCGGCGTGAAACATTTTACTATGTAAATACGAAATAGAATTCAAGTCGAAAAATATGGAACGTAGCACATTGATGTATTTATTTTAAAGCTTGTACAAGTTGTTAAGGACCGCTGTAAAAATAAAATTTATTAAAAAAATACAAGATTCATTATTGTAATCCATTAATAAAATTCTTGTTGTTGTTGATGGAGTAAACGCCACTGCGTTTAGTAACAGCAAAAATTCATTATGAAGGAGTTCGTCTAGGAAAAAACTGCCATCGTATCTATTTCTAACGCCGAGCATTAGTGTGACGATTACTGCGTTCCGGTTTTGAAGGGTAAGGGGGCTGATAAAAGTACAATGGCACAAATGATTTGACAAATTTACGTCTCAAGGTGACGAACGCAGTGGCGGTGCCTTAACGTATTTGCAATTTAAAGCTATGAGCGTCACTGCAACTGGGTAGGCGGTATACCATAATACATTTTCCCTTATTTCATCTAAATAATTGCTAGTTAATAAAATTAGATAGTCACAAATATAATATAGTTTTTAAAAACATAAATCGATGTTTGGTTATCATTGGAAAACAAATATTTCCTCATCTTATCTGAACTAAATGTAAATTTAGCTCCCGCACCATTTTGCTTTATGCATCCTGGAAAACTCAGAAATTTTGCAAATCGATTATTTTCTCACTTAAAGTGGACCACACTTGGAATGCTAGTTTGTTTTCTGTGTTCTAATCCACACACAGGCAGAATGCTTCAGCTTTTCAGACATCGAGGGCCACAGATAAAACTGTGTAACACGTATTAGCAGGTACAATTGTTTAAGTATCCATGAATTTTGTGTCGTAATTGTCTACATTTTTTGCTCTGCTCTACCTTGACACTACAATAAATAAAATTAGTGCTAGACAACCGCACCAAATTAGTTCATATCATGTACTATGAATATCAAAACAACTTTAGTTCACTATCCAGAACACCCAGACCAGGACCAATGTAGAATAGTTTCGTTTCCCCAATTGGTCCTACCAGGACATAGGACTCTCGTTTAGTGCAGTGTGGTAAATCACTGGGCGGGATAATATGTAATTAAAAAGTATACATGTTGATATGTACGAAAATAAACTTTGAATATTGAACAATAAAACCTGTTACCACAGCTCGGCCAGCTCAATGAGAGCAAATTTCGTTCAGGTCGACGATTCGACGATTCGACCGTGGGTCTCTGTTGCGGCCTACCTGCACCTGCTTATGATTTTAGTTCGTAAGTTACGTATATTTGTGACTGTTTAGTAGCAACGCCTCTCGCTAACCATGACAGAAAACACAACACGTGATGAAACGGTTCACACCGCTTGGAAAAGTGTGTCGCCACCCCGCATTGGGTCAGCATAGCGGACTATGGCCAAAACCATCTTCTTAGGGGAGAACTGTATTTAACCGCGAGGGTTATAATCGGTTGAAGATGATGAATCCAAAACACACAATGGGGTCAGCAGAATCAAATTTCCCTTGCTTTTTCAGTAAACTTTTGAAGCTCACAAAAGTGATTTTATAAGAATTGTTGCTTGACGAAGTTTTTCCACAGTTTAGGATTGTTACGCCATCTCTGCTTTGATGAGCGTTTCATAGCAATTGAAAGATTCTTTGAGCAAGGCCTGTCCCAAAAGTTTTCAACGCCTTGGGCCGCCATCTGGTGAAAGTTGGAAGTAATATTAACAACGAAGCCTGTTCAGGACAATATCACCTGGTGCGTTTCTTACAGTTGTGCCTTCAAAATAATTGGGTAAGACGCTAATGGAGGGCGTTGTGTGTCCTATTCATGTTATGCTTCTAAAATATTCCTATTCCTGTACATGAGGCAAATAATGTAATAAAATCTAAGTAAGTAGAAACATTATCGATTTAATTTGCATTTATGGGTGACTTAATTAACGTTCAGTTAAGAAACAGGTGAAGAATATAAATGAAGAAATGGTTTGTTTTTATGCAAATTGACTAAGCACTTGAAGAAACCATACAATTTTCGAAATACGGTAGTTGTTATTTAGCGATGAACGAATGAATCTGTTAAAATAAAAGTGTATTTTTGCATAAGTAAATGTACGGAGAGCTCTCTCAATGCCATATTGTTATGTATACATTTTAGAAAGTGTTCATTACATACAGCTGACAAAGCCGTTAAAATTCACGATATTTAAAATGTAGATTTGTATTTTTAAAAGCACTTCATCTATTTTGATCAGGCGTTTCGCAGTAGCTCATACAATACAGATGTAGACGCGTGTAGAAAGGGACTTTTATAGGAGCAAGGTAGGGCAGTCTCCATTCATCGACGAGGCGCAGACTGCGCGGGACGCGCACGGCCGCGGGGGGCAGGGAACATAGCTCACCTATAGCGCTTAGCCCAGTACCGCGAAATAACTTCTGCTGAGTGCCGTTGCGTCCTGGTCGTTTTCACCCCGTGCCAAAACGGTCCAAAAATCAGCTCTTTCAAAATACTTAAGTGCTTCTCGGACACAAGTGGCGTGAACAACGTGGAACATCGTAATCGTTCGTCGAGTTTTAGCCCCGCGAAGGCTATTGTTGTCGGAACTCGAGTCGGTTAGTGCGATATTGTGTTTTTTGCTGATGATGCTGGTGTCCATTGGTTTGTAAGGTGGGTACCAGCTTGCTGTTACAAATTACTCGCTGTATAAAATATTTGACTTATGACTTTAATTTTGCGACGAAATAACTTATAGAAAATAAATGAAAATGAGGTCGATCGTTAAAAAGGTATAACAGATGCGTAGGTTATATTCAGACAGAGAAGGCATATTCAGGATTTTCTTGAGATTTAGTGTTTGACGTCGTGGAATGGAGGGTTTCATAGCCAGGCCCGTGGGCGGCGGGAGGTGTAGAATTTCGGGAGCCAGGCAAAGGAGGGCTGGGGCGCGGGGAGAGCCGGGGCGCGTGGGCGACGCGCAGGCCACTGCGTATTGATCGCTCAATTTTCATACATATTTGCAAACTATTGCCAAAATAAAACATTACAAAGACATGTCACACATACATGTTAATAAGAATTTCATAACCACACAAGCCTGTAAGGTCCCGAAACTACACAGAATCTGTCTCTGGAAATGGACTTCACACAAAACTGCGATTGAAAAGCGTAATCTGTATAATAGAGCGCATGTTCCGAAACGTCTAGAACAATTTCCTGTGGCGATATTTTGGTACATCTCCAACTACCCTCTTAAAAATTTAATTGGTCAAATTCAAGTAATAATAAAAACAACAAACCTACCGATGATGTGCGTTCATATTTTATATCCGCATCGTATGTTAGGCACGGGTTACTCCTTAGTGAATACAGTAAACTACTACAGGCTGTTTTATACTTTTCAATGTGGTTATTGAGCCTCGTTTACTTTGAAACCTTTTTCTCCTTCATCATCAACCCTTTTATACATCTCACTGCCGGGCACGGGTCTCCTCTCAGGCGAGGTTTTAGGGCATATTCTGCCACGCTGGTCTGTCCGTTTTGACGTGCAGGTTTCATCGCGGTGTGTTCCTTCAGCGAATATAAATAAATAGAATATAATAGAAATAGAATAGAAATCGTTTATTACTACGCCACAACAAAAATATACATATATTTAACTGAACGCCTAGCATAAGTAAAAAATCCGAATCTGGACATGTAAGTTAAACCAAATAATATATTTTTTTAATTGATACCTGTGTGTGACATTAATTATTAAGTTATCCAACAAAGTAAAGCTTGGAGTAACTTTTTTCTACTCTTGTACTTTAATCTGTCAATTATAATTTCGTAAACCATATCACAAAGGCGTTCTTTTTAGTTCTGAACCAAAATTCTATTGTCTGTGGTACTTACTACTAAACTGAAAAAGTTCTGGGTAGGTCTTAGGGGATAGAAAAAAATCTAAGGGGTAGGTACAGAACTATAATGACTTTTAAAAAAGGAATGTCATATTTTTACTAATTGTACAATATAACATATAAAGACGCTATTCAAACGCTCTACTTGATTTGTTAAAATACAAGCGGTAGTTGGCCAATCACGGACACTTATATTCTATGCTTTTGGGTGTGTTTTCGTGGATTGGTTAAATTTTTCGTCGAAAAAGCAAATGTAATCACAATCACATAATTAGGTCTTAAAATCTCGTACCTATTACTTAGACCGACGTTTACGTGGATTGATGGAGTTGTGATTTTCGAGCATGTACGCAGACCTAAGATTATTCAATGGCGATGGATGCCATGCATTTGTGAAGTCGGATCTCGGGCAGCCGCGCCTTGCGCGTCGCGCTGCGTCTTCAATGAAAACGGATCAACAAGTAGCCCGTAACGTCGCCTTCTGAGGCACTGCCACGCATGCGTGTTGTCGCCCCCGGGTTTTCCAATATGGCCGTTTATAAAAGCTTCATTGCCGTTTTATATCACACATAAATTTCTCTTTTCACTTAATAATCAAATGCGATATTCAAAGTTTTATATATGAAAAATACTATACTGACTGTTTAAAAACTCAATTTCGTAGGTGAAATAATTGCGCTTTACGTGTCAAAGGCGTTAAACAGACTACTACGCACGAGTTCCTTCCATTCTTCATGTAATTTCTTATTGCGATGTTCTCATTACCGTCGTTTTCGTAAATGTTTGTACGTGGATCTTCGATAATCTTTACATTAGAATAAAGTGGACAAACAAAATACAGTGAGTTAAATGAAAGTGAATATTAATTGATTTTAAGATTTAAGCATTCCGTGTAACCGCACGAGTCATTTATTTTAATTTGACAATACATATTTGTATGACAATGACAATGAAAATGTATATTTTATCATATTAAAATTGTAGGAACAACACGTTCCATGTTGTAAATGAATGACTCGAGTATTTATACTTGTCAAGTTTCTAATTTTGTACTTTATATATATATATTATTTTGTGCACATTACGCCAAAGATTTTTATAGCATAATATGGCTTTTAAAGGTGTTGACAGAATATTCCTTAACGGACCTATTTCAAAAACTGATATCCAAAGGACGTTACGTAATGAGTAAAACAACATCAGTAACTTTAAAAAAATAAGATTAGAACTAATATCCACAATTTTAATATGACATTCGTAGAGAGGCTTTAGTTTCGAACAACTGCTTTGAATACAATATTTTGCACTCACTTAAAAATAAAAATCACTTTGTTTTTATTTAATTAAAAGACAGTTTTATTAATTTATCTAGAGTAGTTTCGTTTTCCGTAAGCTTATTGTTACCTCTCAAACTAGGTTAATTTAAGCCTATCTATGAATATCGTATTAAACGTATGGGCGTTTGAAGTTGTTGGATATTTGTCGTGAGTTATTTCAAAAAAGTTATTGACATCGTTTTACTCGTTAGGTAACGTACTTTCGATATCAGTTGAAAGGTTTTTGATATGTCTTATATTTACGGAAGAATCGTCTGGGCACACTTGTTCACAATTGTTCCACCACGTACCTATAATTGATATGGGTAACAAAATGATCGCGTGTTTCGACATTAAGCACGTCTTGGTGTAAGCAAAGCAATGTTTAAAAGATAGCACAAAGACGCAGGCATGAGTCATCTACCAACCTACGACTCAATAATTTCTACTTTACACCACTATGGTGCACCACCTTTACCTGCACCATGGTACAAAGTGTAAAAGTCAATTAGACTTTGAATTGCAGAGTACCCAGAAGCCCAGACCAGAACTAATATAGAAAAGTGCATTCCCCATATTTATCTAAACCGAATCAAATATCGAATCAAACCTGGGACCTCCTCGTCCACCGTGTAGAGGGCAAACCGTGGGCCACCGAGGTTAGGTACAATTTTTGATATAACACCGGGCCAGTGCTTCGCCTTTTCTTTCTGAATGTTGTCTACACTACACACTCCCATGTGTCTGGACACGCGTAACAATTGTTTCGATAATTGTATTTCCCCTTTGTTTGACAAGGCCTTTGTTGACTGTGATATTTAACACAAATAGACAATATGCACAGTGATGTCACGTAAAAGTGCGATCTCTCTACATCAAAATACTTGTACAGTCAAGGAAAAATTCAACAAAAATCACATACCAAACAATCAATCGTTTCGAGTGCTCAAAATGTAATAAAAATGAAATAGTTTGACCATTCACATAATTTTAAAGCTGACTGTCCTACAAGTATTCGAAGAAAACAAACATATGATTAATAGATGAGAAGAGTGAGCATTTCTCGCATTGACAAGAGTAATATCATTGACATATTATTCTGCGTAGTAGGTACGCGCTAGACGGATATTTATTTAGATTAAAACCAGGTAAGAAATTAACTGCGTGATATTATCACGCACCTTAATAGTTGTGTGACAAACGAATGACGACTGGGCTAGGGCCGCTAAGGGCAATAGACGGTGCGTGCCCCGAAGTGTTTCCTTCGTATTGACTAGTAAGCAATAGTTTCTCAAACTCGTATCTTAAAACACCAAGTTACAGGAATGCAAAAAATGGAGTGTATATACAAATTTTGCAGGGTGATTTCACATCACATTTCCTTCATATTCACACTCTGGCGTTTACCTATTCTTAAAATAATGCACCCAAATTGACACTCTTTGTAAGAAATTTAAAATAAATAGAAAATTTTGCCATCTACTGACTAATCGCTCTTTATAAGATACGAGTTTGAGAAAGTAAGGCATCAATCTGTAAATTGTTGATTAGTGCGTACGTGGATCACGGTGGCCCGCGAGTACGCGATGGTGGTGCCCGTGAGGAGGCAGAGCGCCCGCAGCTGCGCCGCGCAAGTCACCTAGGCGATGCGCGCGCGCCCCCGACGCTGCCGCTGGTGAACCGCCGCCATGCCAGCGCCGCTCGCTGTCTACACCACCCTCGTCACCTTCCTCTGGATATGCGGTGAGTCTTATTTAGATTTAAACAAATTGTAGCAGTAATCGTTGCCGTTCTAGTAGTCGTATCACATGTAATTATTTTACATGTCTTTTATAGGACATATTTGGCATAAGTTGGTTCAAAACTAAGCTAGTTGGCTAAGCAGTTTTGGAGGCAGCGGCGCAGTGAGTACAGTCCAAGTCCCTCTTTCCGGTGGACACACGTGTCTAATTTGGAACGTGTATGAGTTGGTAACAATAGTAAATTGTATATTAGTGAGCGCGGACGACCCCGTACCGCGGCCGGCGAACGGCACGGCAGAATCTCCCAACCCTCGGTCGCTGGGGGGCCGCGTCCCGCCCTACCAGCCGCCGCCGGCGCCTGGCCCCGGCGGACCTGGTGGCCCCGGCGGAGCCGTACAGCCTGGCTTCCGACCACACAGCCCATACACTAGAGTTGAGAACTGGCATAGTAAGTAATTCGCAGAACTGCAGAGTATTTATGCACATGCAATCCCAGTAAAGTTATTTACACATATCCTTCGGGCTGATTCATAAAACGAGAGAACACAACAGAAAAATCCTTGAAAAATATTAGATATTTCTTTCAACCAATAAAGAGTTGCACAATAAATAAAGTAATATATTGATTTATAAAAAGAAACATATTTCGCCAAAACAGTGATTGCGACGTAGTTCCGTCACTGTACACATTAAAGTTACTTAAAGGATAGTAGCGATGCGACTAATAACACTTGTATAATCACAAATACTGAACAGACCGACCTGGTGGCGTGTACGACAAAGTACCCCAGAGCGAAGTGTATCCCGATGGAATGGAGGACAATGTAGACGACAGCGGGTGCAGCCAACCTTGCCCCAAACAACATTTTTCGTGTCAGGTAACAATACGTATATTTTAATGACAACAGCTCATTTTTACCACCACGTCACTTGTCTTAGAAAAGGACTAACGGATAAAATTTGGAACTAAATAACGCACCCGTCTTTTACGGCAACTTTTTATATTAGATGCGATGGTAAAGTCATTGTAAGCGCAGTTGATCATACTTTGTTGCAAAAACATGACTCAACGTAAAAGAAATAGAGCGCAAAATACGAACGACGACAGATCTTCGAAGAAGTAGTCATCAAGATAAGCAATGTCCACAGAAATCCTGTACATGCATCCCGCTGGAAAAGCGTTGCGACAACATCGCAGATTGCGCAGAGTCGGAGGACGAGAAAGATTGCGAGCACACTTGTGACGCGCATGAGAATCGAACTATCTGCCACGCCACCAACGTGTGCATCCTCATCGAGTGGATCTGTGACGGCGACAACGACTGCGGGGACTTCACTGATGAGACTCATTGTGGTAAGTGTGTTATTATTAAATTTATAGCTCGTGGCCTTACGGAGCAATTTTTCAGATGTCACGTCTGTGTTCTTTGCCAGGGCCCATTCTTAAGTCATTTATTCATCAAGTACTATAACGACTACTCCATTGTATCAAAAATAACAATACAAATGCTATAGGAACTGGTACATTCATAGAAAAAAAGGCAACGCATGGTTTTGATAATCAGTAACTTATTATTATAGTATTTTCAAATAAGTAATGTAGAGATTGGTGTTCGCAACGAAATCATTGCCAGGAAATTTGAGATTCGAAAAAGCTCTTCGAAAACTGGAAACAGTCTTTGAACTATGACCACTTTAAAGGAGATTCATATAGGGTTACATATATCTAAGTGACGTGTGTTAGAATAGAGTATGATACAGGTGGAACGGTGAACTGCACGGCGAACCAGTTCCAGTGCGCAAACGGGCTCTGCATTCACAAGGATTGGCAGTGCGATGGCGACAACGACTGTCGCGACAATTCCGACGAGACTAACTGCACCAAGGGCAGGTGAGTACATTTCTTTGTCTTCCGACACTTGTGGTAATTTATTGCCTATTGGAAATAGTGTTTATTTGGTCTTGTGTTGCGGTACTAAGTTAATGTCTAAGTAATAAATAAATGCTTACTTAATTTATATTAAAAATAGTATAAGTAAAGACAAGTGATTATTTTTATAGGTTTACTTAGCGTTCGTCTAAGGCCACCCTCGCGTCCATGCCCTACCGCAACAAACGCAATTTGCCACAAGCATTCTCAACCCCTAATGGGATTCAAATAACCTAAGTAATTGAATCACTAGTGGTGAAAAACGTGTAGATACGTCTTCTTTGGTTCTGTTAAGTTTTTATTTGATTTATATTCACACTGAAAAGGTAAAACGTTTTTAAAAAAGGAAAATGTTTTTTCCAAATGTACGTTAGACGAAAAATATCTTATATATAGGTAACTTTACTCTAGTAACTTTTTTAAGAAAAAAAATCATAACTCTAATAATTTAATTTGTTAATTGGAAAAGTAGAAAGTTTCAGCTTTTCCTTAAAAAAAAAATGAAATTAGAAAAACGATTTTATTTCTTAAAATAATACTTTAAATCCCTCTCCTGTAATATTTTCCAAATGCATTACGTTATACCTTTTACCTTTTCAGGGTCGATATAATGTATTACAAAGAGTTGTGGTTCGGAATACAGTTTGATTAAAATTCAAAATATCTTTACTTCAAAATATTCTTTAGTGCCGCTGATTCCCTCGTGAAGAGTGAGTTTAAAAACTCTGAATACAATTTGATCACATTTATTATTTGCAATATTTGTTTAAAAAATTCATAGGCAGAAGCAACCCGATAGAGCCAAACGGGTAACTACCATGGATTTTTGTCATCCAAGCACGCAGACGCTGTATAGTAACATTTTGCGTAGTTTTTGTTTCACCCAACTTTGGTTATCAATCAGAATCTTATTATAGAAGCGTATACCTTTAAAGGAATTGGTGACTTAGAGGTGTCGACTGTCAACAGCCAATTTATTTTTGTACCTCGTATTTACATTATTGTTTTTTATGAAAAAATTACCTTTTTTTAAAAACATATCATATTATGAAAGTTGTACCGTGACGACAGCGTAAGAATATTGTATACTAATTTTTGTCTCGAGCCCAATTTATGAATTAATAGGATAAAGATACCGGTGGCATTTCTCCTAAGAAGAACGTCATACGTTACGAACTATCGGAATGGCTGAAATAAACCCATCTAATGGTTACTGCGTCTAAGCGGAAAGTCTTCCTTGCGACAATTTAGTTATCTCTGTGGAGAAGAATCCATTTCTACCCCAAAGTAGCGTGACGTGTATACTGAAATAGAGGTAGATAACGTAATAATAGGTCAGGAGACATATCGGTGTAATATAACTAAAGGGACAGGATTAAAGCGACAACCGAATGGTATCCAAGTGTTTAACAGAAACGTGAGATGTTCTACGACAAGTTGCGTAGACGATATCGTCAAAGTCGTTAATAAGTAAAAATAAGATCGTAAAGGATGGCAGAAACTATGGAAAGCCTTTATACGCAATAGTGTTCGAAGCCGGACTGTGGATAATGTTGACACTTCGTTGGTGTTGCAATTGTCTATTGACGGCGATAATTTCTCTTCTACAGGTGTATCGTCCGACTGTTTGGTTTATTTTAAAAGTATGTTTATAAAAAGTATTTAGAATCATGAATAACTACCAATGAAATGATTGTCTATATTACACATAAATTTCATTAAGAATAACACTAGTACGCAAAATTTTAACGCGTCTTAACGTAGTCCTTTGACGAAACCCATGACTTCACTTAAATTTGTACACCTATTAAGTTATAACCACACTAAGATAACTCGATCCAAAAATAGATTGAATATATAATCTACTCGTAGGAGAAAAACAGAGTGGGAGAGAATTCGAGAAGCACTTGTTTTCAAAATATTAAAGTTATAATCGCCGATAGTATTTATAACCAAATAAAAATCATGTTGTATTTAAAAAGCTCTCTGACGAAATCATAATAATCTACGTATAGATAAAATAGTTATTAATTCAAGATCATTAAAAACTCGTTCGTGACAGTAGTGTATCAAGGTGAATAAGTAAAACAAAATTGCTTGCGCAAGCTAACAACTTATAACGCGCCCCTAGTGACGTGCCGTGATGTCATGAATAGCTATCGCCATGCTATTTATAAATATCTTAATAAAAATAGTGCCGTTCTAAGGCGGCGCGCTATATCTGAGCGTAAACAGGGCGATTCCACGGCATGTACACCCTCACCCTCTGCACTTACTCCCCTTTGCAATTAGGCGTCACTTAACCTTGTAAATTAATAGCCTTTGATACGGAAGCAATGTGGTCGTTCAGATTTGTTTTTTTTTTAAATATGGAGTGACAACAATTATTTGCAATACTATTTTTTGCGCTGCGTTAAAAAAGTTGCGTAATTGCAAAAAATTCTAATTTCAAAAGAAGCATATTATAGCATGTATCAGGCAACATGCAGGAATTATGGTAAAAACTTAACATTTAACATTACGATTTCTACTGAGCGAAGCTTGTTCTCGAAATGGTTAATTCTAATCTAGAATTTCTATTCGACGTTACCATTATAAAAGCGATCTATATTTAGCACGGTGGGTAGTGAAATATCTCGGATCGATGAGTAACGGAAATAAGAATATATTGTTGTTTCGCCATTGTTGTCGAACAAAAAAATTGTGAAAAGTAGATGATTGCTCGAAACAGAGTCGGCAATTACTAGTATTTTTAATTTTTACGATGAATTCATTTGTGTTAGCTTGAGAACCTAGAATACCATCGATAAATCCTGTCTCGTTTTGGATTAAGTACTGTAGTATATGATACGACTGACAATGATGTGATGCTGACACCGTATTAATTGGCAGCTCGAACTTGACCAGTTTTTGTTGTGTCACTTGGGTTTTGTACAGGGAAGGGTGACTCGGCCGGCAGATCAATACGTGTAGGCGGAGTGGAGCGGGGCGCGCGGGGGAGCGTTGCCATGACTACTCGCCTACGCGAAAAGCTTGCGTCCCGTGAAGGAGACTCAGATATCGGAGTTCGTGGGCGGGCGGGTTCATTATAGAACAAAATCATCGATGTGATTAACATTACCGCGTCCGCTGCTACGCATTTGCATAGATGTCAATTATGTAACTTGGACGTTGCTTACCGCTAACTTCTGTTGATTCAACTTAAAATACAATACGGAAGTAACGTGAGCCGCTTCAGGTGGTTATTTTTTTCTTTAGGTTTTTTTCAAACTAGAGTAACGTTATTACTCGCAAATACGGATTTGTATAAATAAGGTTTGAAAAGTAGAACGTTGTTTCCGGTTGCTTGTTGCTTCACTCTAAAAGACGAGAATAGAAAAATAAGAGAATTCGATTACTTGGTATGTTGTTTTCGTTGGAAGAAGGAAATTCTCGTGGATGTCATAGGTCCGTATCAGATGGCATGCCCGACTTCACTGGGAAGTGTACCAAGCGACGGACTGAAACTTCCTACTCATAAATTACTTTCTACAGACTTAGGCCCTTAGTTATATTATACTCTTTTTTATTTTCTTTCCTTTTTTTCATTGTAACGTACAATACTTTGTTCTGCGCATTTTTTCGAACACTACAATGTAACTGAGACATATCTGAATCTATATCTATATTTTATTTTTTATGACCTGTAATGTAAGGTAAATGTGACTTATAATGTAGTGTAAATGCAATGCTACGTAATAAACAGTTATTTTATAATTAATCTTGGATGACATGAACACTGACTTGAAATGTAATTTTGATGTTTTTATTTTAATTTATTAAGGCTTTGGCAAAGCCATCAGCCTAAACATGAAGTTAAAATAATTATGTTTCTGTAAATATGGCCGCCACAAAGAGGAGATAGGCAATTTGAGGCGGCGTGCTTGGATTGACTCGGGATTCCTTAAAACGGGCCGATAGGGGTATTTTAGTTCGAGATTCGTATAATTTCGCGTTTTAATCTTCGATTAAGGCACAATAGCACTATCCTATTCCACTTTAACCTAGATTTCACAAAATAATTGAAAGTCAAAATAAAAACGACACTTTTCCCTCCAAAAGGTCCAGAGCGAATCCAAATGTTGAATCATATAGTTTTTTTTTATTCTTTCCATAAAGGAAAAGGCAAAGGTTTTACACCATACAGCTAAGTCTTGGTACATTATTTTTGAGCCATGTCTTCGTTTAATTGTTTTTGTAAATATGGCCGCCACAAAGAGGATAGGCAATTTGAGGCGGCGTGTTTGGATTGACTCGGGATTCCAGAACGGGCCAATACGTGTATTTTAGTTCGAGATTCGTATAATTTCGCGTTTTAATCTTCGATTAAGGCACAATAGCACTATCCTATTCCACTTTAAACTAGACTTCACAAAATAATTGAAAGTCAAAATAAAACCGACACTTTTCCCTCCAAAAGGCCCAGAGCGAATCTTGAATCATATAGGTAACTGACTTGTAACGTATAACATTGCTATCAGTAAATAATTTCATTTCATTTAATTATACCCTTTTTTCATTGTTATTCCGGAAATGAAATTATTTTTTTGGATGAGCAAACCAACGTTTCGGGCCTTTCACAAGTCCCGTGGTCACGGCTGACTGAAATGGTGAAGTCATCAACTAGTTATGTCTAATATTAATGTAATCCATATTCAGAACTATAATTATTAATTTATTACCTTATAATAATAATAATATATTTATTTGACATCACAAGTACAAAGAGCAATATGACAAGATTTCCATAAAAATTGATCATAATAATAATGTAACAAATAAGCTTATGTTAAATTGACATTATATTTTAACATAGGTATACATGCATTGCAAACGTGATGTCATGCCTAAGAGCGCTACGCACGGTTGCTGTTGGTCCCACACTACGCAGAGCCTGTCCTGTGGCGACCCTATTACGATTTCATTACATCAAGAGAATTTTGACAATGGTATATTACGTTACACGTTGCATTGTGATTGTTTTAATAATTTAAAATCTTACAATGTATTTAATCTAAAATAAACAAGAGGAAAAATAAACAGAAAAGAATTTTAAATATTGAGATAAAGTAGGATGAATTAAAATAATTTAGACCAATATTTATTATTAAACAAATTTAAATACTTATATCTAATAATAATAATACCTACTAAAGTGCTTCACGCATATACAAATACACACGAATTCACAATTTGATGTTGACACCAATAGCCACCCAGCAAGTCAGGCACCACAACCTCAGCTCAACGACTCCCGGCAATAATCAATTTCAAAACCCACCTATTTAATTACTCTCAGGAAGCTTTCAGTGCAATCCATGACTGGAGGTGTGACCTTATGATTCTCCTCGCCTTATAAATAGAACTCTCCTTTATATCACATGTTTTTACAATTTTATTGTACATGTATGGAAATGCGAATGTCCCAAAACGTTGCGCAAATATTGTTGCAATTTGCAGTTCGGATAGAGAAGTCGTAGGGTAACGATACTTGCGCAACATCACCTTTGGTACACTTCTTTGGGCTCTCTCCAGACTGATCATATAATAGGAGGCGGAGCCTCCCAACACTAATATGCAATAGCTTAAATTGGATTGACACAAAGCAAGGTAAATTGCTGTTAGCAAACACAGATCAGCAGCCTCTCTGAGCAGCTTCATGGTGTGTATCAGCTTGCGAACCCGGGCACACGTTACTTCGATGTGAGCTGCAAAGGTCAGCCTCTCGTCCAAGGTTACGCCCAAATAGCGTACGGCGGTAGACCTGAGAATCTGTTCGCAATCACAATTGACTCACCGCACTCCCGAAGCGCTGGAACCCGTGTCATGTGGACAAGTATGGACATTGATTGGCGGTGTTTCCCCATCTCTAGGGGCAGAGGCTTTTGTTTTATGAAAACATAAAAATTTAGTTTTTGAAACATTCAAGGTAAGTATATTGCGATCTAACCAATTTGAAATAAAAGACAGCCTTTGTTCAACATTGCGAAAATACTCCCGCCACGTTTTGTCGGGGAAAATCACCGCAGTATCATCAGCGTAGAGTACGACCGAGGAATTAGGTATGGAAACCGATAACACATCGTTGATTTATGCCAGAAATAATGATGGCCCAAGATGCTTCCTTCGGGGACACCAAAATCCACGGGTTTTATGCTACTGGCAATGGAATCAATTTTAACACATTATTTCCTTCCTGTTAAGTAACTGCATAAATTGAATGTGCAAAAATGTGCATAAAAGAGAAATCGGCCTGTAGTTTATTGGTTCGTTCTTGGAGCCAGCCTTGTGTATAGGGGACACAACAGCAGTCTTCCAGTTATCCGGGAATTTGCCAGTAGAAAAGCTTAGATTGAACATTTGGACCAGTGGTATCGCAATACTTCCTCCAATGACTTTCGATACCCGATTGGATAGACCGTCTATACCTGGTGTGCTATCTGTTTTAAATAGGCGAATGCGGGACTCGACTTCTTCAGCATCCGTTGGGGAAAGGAAAAAGGACTCCACTGGTCCATTCACATGAGTTACCTTCGGTGCTAAGGATTCTTCGGTCTCATTCATATTATGCAAGATTTTATTTGCGAGAGTCTATTGAAGCCAAATAATTACAATAGTCAGGAGAAGCAGAAGGCGTCTCTCTTATTTTGGCCAGATCGCGAGCCCCTATGTTCGTGCAGCGAGTGTGTGTAATAGTCCCTATACAATCTCAAAGCTTTTTAGGGTTTTTAATGTTTTTATTGAGCGTATCGCTATCATACCTACTTTTAATTTTCCTGGTGAGGTCATTGTAAAAGTATCTAACGGTATCTAGTAAATATGCGCCACTTCGTGGGACTGTTTGGATACTTGCGGGCTTCGGCACGCAGTCTGTCTCTGTGTCTAGAACATCTTATAAGACCAGGAGACATCCATGGCTCAATAGTCAATCTAGAGTGACTAATTTTAATCATCTTTGAGTTTTTCGAAATAACAGTTCCAATCACAGCTTATAGCTTTTATCGCTGCCTGCGTAGGACTGTCACATAACAGAACTTGGCTCCAATCCACTTCAGAAAGCTCGGAGGATACCGCCCCATGGTCAATTTTGACTCGAAGCCGATCCCTGACCCTTGAATTTTTAACTGATTCAAGATTAAGATCGGTAATCACTATATGGTGGTCTGTAGGACTCGTTCGACAAATCACAGATGCAGCCTGAATGCTACCAGAAACGTAAATGTGATCCAAACAAGAGTGAAGGCGAGTGGGTTTGTCTACCGCAGGGACATAACCCAGCGCAGCCATGAGACACGAAAATTCTAAATTTTGTTCTTTGTAGCGGTCTGGTCCACAGATGTCAATATTGAAATCACCGGCGATTATGAGGCGAGAAGACTGCCCAATTGTCTACCAGTGATTCAAAGGATCGTAAGAAGGGATCCAAATTGCGAAAAGAAGGCGACCTGTAAGTACCCAGTACGGAGAACACGTTAGGTATCACGGAGAGCACGCAATTAGCTTCGTCAACAATGGATTCTGAGAAAGTGGGATTCCACCTCTCGCTGACATAAATCACTACGCCTCCAAACCTGTTAATATAATTTGAAGAGCTCGAAGACAGTAACCAGCGATATGGGGAATGGTTGTCGCGTCGGAGATCCAGCACTCAGTCAAAACAATTGCATCAAATTGGATGTGAAATCGAGCGAGGACCACGCAGAGTGCATTGAAATTGCACTGTAAGCTTCTAATGTTCAAGTTAAGAATTTTGAGACTAAATTTAGACACCAAACTCCCATACTCGTCAGCAGTATTTACAGTATGGCATGTAATACTTAATGCTTTATCAACTTCACAAAGTAAGTCTAAGGGGGCCATAACTTAAAATATTGAATGATTACTGCATGAGGACGATTCAGTACTGCCATACTTATTTCTTTTTCAGGGAGCTGAAAAGAGAGTACATTTTTTAATGGAGACGTAATGTGACAACCATGGAGAGCTACTTTAGATAAATCCATTTTAAGATGAAAGTGTATTTGCTTAAACTTAGTTACGAGAAGCACTCTAGCTACAGTACTACACAGAAAATCAATTAAAAATATTATAAACACCACCTCAATCCGGAAAGAAGTGGCAAAGAGCGTGCTAGGTGTTTTGCTCGTCATTAGTTTTGGACGACAAGGTGAGGTCACTTGCGGCAGAAATGCGTGGCACGGGGCCTCCATCTCTTCTTCGTACGAAAATGCAGCCATTGCGTATCCAACAGTGTTTATAATCGCATTCACCTCCACGTACCCTAGTGGCGCGAAATATTTGACGGTTAGCCACTGTTAACCTCTCATTGACGTACACCTGTCTCTGCGGTCCTTGCCCTGCAACATCCTTGCTGTTTAGTGTACGTCTTGTTCTGGCCTCCTTCAGGAAGTCATCGCGCACAGCTTTCCTGGCAAATCGCACAACTAATGGTCGTGGAAACTCGGCGTCATTGCCAGCAACAGGGCCGCGACGTATCCCGACTCGGGTGGCCTCTTCTATGTCACTGGAACTCAGATTGACACCTATTTTACTGGCGGCGACTAAGGCCAGGTGCACCGGAAGTTCGCCCTTGACCTATTGAACACCCAAAATTTCGATCTCTATTTTTAAAGCACATAAACTTAACAAAGAACATTCCAATTAACGTTACATAGGTACGATTTGTAAATATTTTATTTTAATACTATGAATTTTTTGTTTAAATAAATTTGTTTATTAAAAGGAAAGTAGGAAATTAGAATAAAGCATATTAATGAGGAGTACTGCAGTCATCTGCTTGCTAGAGATTTTTCATCAGAGGAAGTACTGGATTCCAAGCTAGTACAGAGAAACCTCTGCTGTGTTGAAATTAGGATGTTTTTAATATCAAAGACTTTTCGTAGCTCCCTGAGTAGAAATGTGACTTCTTTTGCTAGTACCCTGGGTTAATTGAATGTGTAGGTTTCTCAGACAAACAGACCGACCGGCCAGACCTTTATCAACAATATGTTCTTTGACTCGGGTAGAAATGCTTCGTTTCGCCTGTCCAATGTGAGAGAGGCCACGATCCACAGTAAAATTTATAACCTCCCACGTAAATTTTTGTAAGCCCTGAAATAGTGTTCTTAGGTTTTCGCGATTGTTACACATAGGAAATGAAACTATTTTTCCGGATTTAAATCGCATATATTTCTTTTTTCAAACAAACCAATGTTTCGGCTCAAGTTGAGTTGTTTTGACTCAACCGTGACGATGGGACCTGTAAAGAGTAAACGCAAAAACCTAAAAAGTCGATACTTTTTACTTTTATTTAATAAGTTCCATGATTGATTTTCATATGCAAAAGTAAAAAAAATCTAGGTGTTTTCCATAATATACATAAAAAAAGAATATATTTAAGTTAAAAAGCAAAAAATAGTAGCTTACAACAATTTACGTGGGAGGTATCGATAAACTTCTGCATCTTGTCAGGGGATGTTACATTTAATGGGTCTCAGGGACTGATAAATCTTCCTCAGGGTCTTGAAACAGGACTTGGTGGGCGCACAGCTGAGGCCTCTTTTTGGTGGAGATTTATACTATAAGTACATTTTTGTGGTAAACTTAGTATGTTAAAACTGACGTAAGTTTGAAGTTGTATTCCACTTCTTGCATTTTCCTATGTTTTGTGGCAGATGCCGAGACAACCAGTTCATGTGCACCATCGGGGAATGTATCTCGCAGCATTGGCGCTGCGATAAGGAAGCAGACTGCCCCGACAACTCCGATGAGGCTGAATGTCGTAAGTTTATGATGTTATCTCTGCAATACAGAACAACACAGGAAATAAAAAAATATTCTAATATTTGAATGTATTGCTGGTAACGCCTTGTATTTTTCCATCAGCGGTGGACCTCCTGCGCTGCGGTGAGAATGAGTTTCAATGCGAGAACAAGAAATGCATTCGCAAAGAGTTTCAATGTGACGGAGACAACGACTGCGGCGACTGGACTGACGAGGACTCTTGTCCCATGTTGCCTGGGAGCTGCAACGCTGGAGAGTTTAAGTGAGCACTTACACTACTTGCCCATGTTATGTATCTGTCATTAAAAAAGAATTAGCTTATACCTGTAATTTTCCTACTGTATCTCGAATATAGTCGAATGAACAGCGGAGACTGGGACACATCCGAAAGATGAAAGACTGTACATGGATCTCGGATTCAACATCAGAAATATTGGAGAAACGAGTCAACACGTGACTCCGGACCAAAACATGCAAATTTGACTTAAACTTTATATACTTTGATTAGTAGGTAGCTTGTTCAACTTTTTCTCAACAGATGCAACGACGGCAAGTGCATCCCAGAACGCTGGCTTTGCGACACCGAACGCGACTGCGCCGATGGCGGTGACGAACTCAACTGCGAACCGCACTCCATGCGCAACTGCACTAAGGACGAGTTCATGTGTGCCGACCGTCGATGCATCTTGGTAAGTTGTGCACTTGACAATTGTCTCGCAAATGTGATTAAGAATTCTAAACAAACTAAAAGCTCTTTGACTACGCAGAAAACATGGCTCTGTGATGGCGTACGCGATTGTACAAACGGAGAAGACGAGCTGAACTGCCAAGTCTTTTGCGAAGAAGATCAATACATGTGCAAATCCCATGAACATCTGATGAGCACCGCTTTTAGAAACTGCGTAAACAGGAAGCACGTATGTGATGGAATGAAGGACTGTCCCAGGGGAGACGACGAGGAAAAGTGCCCGACAAAGAGAACTTGCAGTACAAACGAAAAATGCGAGCAACTGTGTATTACTACATTCGACGGGTTGCCTGCATGCGCTTGCAGATTGGGATACTTGTTGGCTGAAGACGGTTTCAGGTACGTGATTTTGTAATTCAAGTATTTCAGGTAAAGTTTCGCAAATTCATGTATCAACTTACAAATGTTTTTCCGACAGCTGCCGTGACATCAACGAGTGCATGTACGAGCAGGATCCGGTGTGCTCGCAGACTTGTTCCAATACAGTTGGCAGTTATCAGTGTGGCTGCATGACAGGTTATGTCCTCAGGCCTGACGGCCGCTCGTGCAAGCCAACTGGTGAATCACCAACGCTGCTATTCTCTAATCGTATCGGAATACGTCAGGTGATTCTAATAATGACATACAATTTCGCTCGTTGATACTCTCACACGATCTTCACATTGTAAGACATTACTCTAGACTTCGATATGATAAGTATTTATCCGTCGAAATTCTGAAATCTTTATACATTACACAATTATTTTTTTGATTAGAAAAAAACCAAATTGTTCAAACCAAATCAAGCAAACAACTTTAATGCTTACAATCTTCGCCGTCTTTATTTTTATTTAGTGCTATTTGATCATTGGTTAATTAAACTGGTTAACTTTAACTATAAAGTAGAAGGTAGGTAGGAAGGAAGGTAACACAAAACGCGGTAAATCATTTTTGTAGTTTCGAGAAAAAGGCCACTAAAATTTTAATATTTGCAAAAAAATTTGTCATAGCTTTTGCGGCCAATTTTATACTGCCTACTTGAAGTCATTTCAAAATAGATATTTTAAAATAATGAATTTTAAAACAAATTAATTACACTGGTTATTATTACATTACTTTAATATTAGACTCGCAGTGCAGCAATCTGCCTACTTACTGTGTATATGACGAGATTTGCTTCGTTCCTTATAAAACATATACTTCTAGTTATATTTGCAGTTGCAGAATAATCCTTATGAAGATGTTCCTAAACAACATCATTAGATTTTTGAAAAATCATTGGATATCGAACCTAAAATTTATTTTGCATAATAAAACTTGTATTTTATTTGATTTTATAAAAATAATTGAATGAACGAAAATTATGGCATAGTGTTAAATATAATGTAATGTAGTTTTTGCATTAACATCTAATTCTCCTTGTAAATAAATTGTCTTGTCTAAAATGCTGACTACAGAATAGAAGTGATTTAATGCAATCTGGACTTTCTGATTTATGATTCCCAAGGTATATAAAAAACAATATTTATTTTATTTTTTAGATTTTAATTGTAAATTTAATACAGGGAATTCGAGAACAAAAATCGGTTATTGCGTTTTAAATTTCCACGGCATAGCAGCGTAGCTATGTTCACTTACTTATGTGCAATTTATGTATGGAACATATAGGCCGTTAGAAACCAAATTTAAATATTCATGTTACCTTTGCGTACGCAGAATTTGGTTACCAACGACAAATCAAATTATCTCACTCGATCGCCTCGTTCAAAGATGGCATGCGAGGCCAACGACGTGTGCGCTTTCCTGGAAAATGCCTTACAAAATTAAGTATAATACGGCATAAAGAGCAGAATAAGTCATGAACAATGCTCGGTACAAATTCGAGTGACTAACAGCACCCTTAACCAGAACGCAGTAATGCTTACATTACAACTTGGCAGTAGAAATATGTAGATATAATGGCAGAACTTCCCTCGACGAACTTTTTCACAAAGAGGTGTATAGCATAATCGAATACAATTATTTAAACTATACTTATTTTTGATTAGGTTTCATTGACTGGAGATAGCTACATGTCAGTAGTTAAAGGGCTTCACAACGCAGTAGCGTTGGACTATCACTACGAGAAGAAACTTGTCTTTTGGACGGAAAACAATCTAAGAGTTATTCGAGTTGCTCAGATGAACGATAACAATAAAACTGGTAAGAGTTCATTGAAAATGGAAGGAAAATGTTTTGGTATAGTAAAGTGTTATGTTTATAATCTTTGGCGCTTCTTTCAGATGTAATTCGTTGGGGACTGGAAACACCCGGTGGCGTAGCAGTGGATTGGATTCATGATCTTCTATTCTGGACTGACTCTGGCACTAGACGTGTCGAGGTGGCTACTCTGGATGGTTCACAGCGTGCTGTGATTGCAGCTAACGATTTGGATAAACCAAGGGCAATTGCTGTGCATCCTGGCGATGCATTAGTGTTTTGGACGGATTGGGGTAAAAACCAAAATTGAATTGACATTTAAATAAATACAACATTCACCTGGTAACTTAGTTATCTATATGAACAAATTTCAGGACCCAATCCAAAGATCGAAAGAGCAGATATGGATGGCAACAGACGCAAGAGTGTAATAGTTGATCAGATATTTTGGCCTAACGGACTAACTATTGATTACACAGAATCTCGTATTTATTGGGCTGATGCTAAACATCACGTCATTGAGAAAGCTACGTTTGACGGCAGAGATAGGAAAAGGGTACGTATATCAAATAGCCCGACATATGTTTACGGTATCAATAAAATAAATCTATAATATACAAAACATCTTCATGACAGGTTACAAATAAAGGTCTTCCACATCCATTCGCGCTGACAGTATTCGAAGATGCTGTTTACTGGACCGACTGGCATACCAAGAGCATTACTACTGTCAACAAAAACACTGGGATGGGCATACAGACTGTACACGCCGGCCTAAATGTTCCTATGGACATTCACAGGTATGGTTGAACGAAAAAGAACTGTCTTAGAGTTTGTTGACACACTTTACAATACAACAATGTTTTTCTGCAGCTACCACCCAATGAGGCAAATGAGGACCTATAGGAATCGATGTGGAAGGAACAACGGTGGATGTTCCCACCTTTGCCTCCCAAACAGTAATGATTACTCCTGCCGATGCCCAGTAGGCTTCAATCTCAATGTTGATGGGTAAGTAATTCTTAGAATTAAAGTCGTTATTATTATAAATTGATAATATAAAAAAAATATATATTGACTTGTTTTTTATATTTTGTAGCCGAACTTGTGAAGAATCTCCAACGAAGCTATTACTTTACGCACGGCGTAAGGACATTCGGCTCAAGCAATTGAACCCAAGAAAACAAATGGACTCTTTAGACATGGTAAGATCTCTGAGCACTGTTTTCAATATCCTTTTCCTCTATTTCTACACTTGACTGATAACCTTGACTGAAATCCTTACAGTTCTTGATTTTCTTCTTCGTAACGTTTAGATTCCTGCTATCGTAGTGACGACCAATTGATACTAATTAAAACATCACATTGTTGGATTCCGATCAGGTAATCCCGGTGGACAGCATCAAGTCAGCGGTGGCTTTGGACTGGGATCACAACAGCAACTCTATCTTTTGGACCGATGTCGAAAAGGACACAATTAATCGCGCTTATCTGAACGGCTCACATCAGACTGTTATCGTAGGATCCAACCTCAGTAAGAGCTTTGACATTTCAAATAAATTGTGACGCCTTGAGGGGAAAAACTTACGTAATTTTCGTATGTTTGCAGTTTCACCTGCTGGCCTTGCCTATGATTGGATCACCGATAAAATATACTGGACGGATGCAGGAACTAACAGGATCGAAGTAGCGCACGCTAACGGCAGCATGAGGACTTTGCTAGCGTGGGATAATATTGACAAACCGAGGGATATCGTTGTGGATCCTAAAGGTAAAAACTCCAAATCAAATATAGCTTTCCACTTGTTAATAAGAAACATTTAAACCTTATAAATACATAAAATTACCAAAGTAGAATAAAAACATCGCATTTAGAAATTAACATTTGTCTACAGGCGGAGTGATGTACTGGTCAGATTGGGGTGTAGCTCCTTGCATCGAGCGCGCAGACATGGATGGCGGCAACCGTAAACGTATTATCTTCGGCGACATGACTTGGCCCAATGGATTAGCTCTTGATCTGACTTACAATCGTATTTATTGGACCGATGGTGGTAACAGGACCATTGAGTATGCTAATCTTGATGGTACTGGAAGGAAAATTTTAATAGGTAGGTTTATCCATAATATGAATTTAAAAGTCGTTTATATTGTAGAAAATCTGAAATTTCTAAACTCACTTAATTTTTCATTGTCAAGGTCAACATCTTCCCCACCCATTTGGTTTGGATCTTTACGGCGATGAAGTGTTCTGGACGGATTGGGACACCCAATCGATACAAGCTGCTAACAAACAAACAGGCAAAGGACGTCGTACTTTGGGCGCGGGGGTGGCAGGACTTATGGACGTCAGAGTATTCCACAAGGATCGCGTTGGTGGAGTTAATCGGTGTGTTTCCTTAACAATCTTTCTCCCTCGACACTCTTTAGTAGGAAATGTGCTTATTAACATCTGACTGATTAACAGATGCGGTATTAGCAACGGTGGATGCTCTCACCTTTGCTTATTGAAGCCTGGTGGTCGTTCGTGCGCTTGTCCTATTGGAATAAAACTAAGCGTGCGTATCCAATCACCTGTTATCATAAATACGTTCTTACGTACATATTTGCAATATTTTCTTCATAAAAAACATATTTCTTACAGAAGGACGGAAAGACCTGCGCTAATGGACCCGTTAATTTCTTGATATTTGCACATCGGGTTGATATTAGAGTCGTCTCTTTAGATGTACCTTATCTCATCGATGTAGTTCTGCCGCTGCCACCATTGAAGAACGCTTTAGGCGTCGACGTTGATCAACGAACTGGTATGGAATATTTACCTTTCGATTAATGTATTGATTTCGTATGACTTTTTTTAAAATCCATGATTGATTGCTTCAGGTCTCATATATTGGACGGATACCGGTGAAAGGAAAATCCAACGCGCACACAGAAATGGAGGCAGCCTTGAAACCGTTATTGGCAAGGGACTCCATACAGCTGATGGAATTGTTATTGATTCAACAGGACGCAAGGTCCGTTGTAAACATGCAAAATAATTTTTGTCACATTTTGCAAAGATAAAAATCTTTGAAATATACCACATTTCTTATTGTATTTTTTTAGATCTACTGGACGGACGGAGGTCGTAACAGTATAGAAGTAGCAGAGCTTGATGGCAGAAATAGAAAAGTTCTTGTGTGGACTGGCCTAGGTAAATCAAGCACCGAAATAAAGTATATCATAAAAATTATTTACAATGTTACAAATAATGAATTTTTATTCACATTATTTTTAGACTCACCTCGAGCAATAACTCTTCACTATAAGCACGGGTATATGTTCTGGTCCGATTGGGGCACGTCAGCGAAAATAGAGCGAGCGGACATGGACGGTAAAAACAGGTAAATTGACAAGCAACTTTAGCTAACAATCACTGTTAGCTTGGAAAATAAGTTCTTTGTAACATGTTTTTTGTTACAGACGAGTTATAGTTGATAATAACATCAAGTGGCCCAACGGACTGGCTATCGACAGAATAGAAGGTCGTCTTTACTGGAATGATGCTAAAGTTTTAACGATCGAAAGTTCCGATTTTAACGGAGAAGACCGGCGCACGGTTTTGAATCAAGTCCCTTACCCTTACGGTATTGTGATCGTGGAACAGCACATTTATTGGACTGATTGGAAGACCAAGGCTCTTCATAGAGCTGACAAGACGAATGGGAAAGACCAGCTGATAATAAGAGAAAATTTGGAAGGACTAATGGATATTAGAGCTGTTCAGGTAAACAAAGAACTCATTTTATCCTGTTAATGATTTACCATTAAAGATAATCCATTTATAAATATTGTCATTCACAGGGCGAAAGAGTATTGGAAAATGCATGCGGTCACAACAACGGTCATTGTTCTCATCTTTGCCTTCGTTCTCCGGAAGGCTTCAGTTGCGCATGTCCTACTGGCATACAATTTGAGAATCTAACAGACCCGAATCCGAAAGTATGCAAAAAACACCCTGACGACTTCCTAGTGTTCGCAACTAGGGGCAGCGTAGCGATGATAAGTCTTGACACTCCTGAGCAATGGGACGTTTCGCTGCCAATTAAAGATGTCCAGAATTCTATTGCCGTAGATTACCATTGGGAAAAGAAACTCATTTTCTTTACTGATGTTAACAATGACGTCATAAGGTACATCACTTTAAAGTAAAACTTTTACTGTAGCCACAAATAATGTTTCAAATATTTCAAGTCATATTTGATACAACTCGGTTTTCAGGTCTATCAACATGCTAAACATGAGCGACACTAAAGTGATCGTTAACAGCAAACTAGATACTCCAAACGGTTTGGGAGTAGATTGGATTGCGAACAATATTTATTGGACTGACAACGAATACAAGGTAAAAAGAACTTCATAGATACTTTTCTATAACTATTTGTTGTGAACTAACCTTAATATACTTTGTACCTATATTCGTTACAGGTTGTGGAAGTGGCAAGGTTGGACGGAACTTGTAGGAAAACTTTAGTCACCGGTCTCACTGAACCGAGGGCACTGGCTTTATTCCCTGCTAAAGGGTACGTATAAATAATCACAGTTGATTAAATATCTATCATATCGATTGCAAAACCAATATTTTTTTACAGATTCCTCTATTGGAGCGATTGGGGCGAAACTCCTAACATAGAACGGGCTTACCTTGACGGCAGTCAAAGGAAAATTATAGTAAAACAAGACTTAGGGTTCCCTAACGGCATAACGATTGATTACCAGGCGAGGAGGCTGTATTGGACAGATGCTCTAAAAGACAGGATCGATACATCAGATTTGGACGGGCAACGTAGGGTTCAACTTGTCCCAGAGGCTAAAAATCCTTTCGGCATGACTCAGGTAAGGAATCCAACGACGTCGACTAAATCAATAATCGAATAGTACAAGTATTAAAATTGGTGATCACTTTTAGTTTAAGGATTATATCTACTGGACGGACTGGTACAAGAAGTCAGTGATGAGGGCGAATAAGAACACAGGCAAAAATGTGACAGCGATTAGAACAGATTTAGAGATGGCGATGGAAATCAAAGCAGTGTCTGCCGACAAGCAACACGGCTGGAACCCCTGCAAGGAGGAAAACGGCGGCTGCTCGCATTTGTGTCTATTCAGGGGCGTTGATTACGTTTGCGCTTGTCCTGATGAACTGGATTCACGACCTTGCGCTCTAGGTAAATAATCCCTACCCAGGATGTAAGGTTTAAATCAATGCTTACTATACAAAAGCAATGAAGTGTAAGTAATCCATTCTGTCTATCTACAGAACCTAAAGTGCGCGTCGATAACAAAATGCCAAGCCACTACCCGAAGTATTATGACTATGCGGACATTGAGGTAGACAACAAGATGTTGCCGACGCCCACTGCCTTCCCGGAGACAGACCTAAGCGGAATTCTGATCGCAGTCGGTTTGATCGCCACGCTGATCACCATTTGTGTGATTGTGCTTGTCGTTGCAAGTAAGTTGCCCTCGAAATCTTTTACTATTCGGAGCTGAAGCAACTGAATAAGTAACGTTGCTAATATTTTAATGTGGTTCTAGTGAGAATGAACCGAGAGCGTGCAGGGGAACTGAAGGAGAACTACAGGGAATCAAGTGGTCATATCTCGTTCCACAACCCCAACTACGCTGGCGGCGGAAATGGTGGCAATGACTCGCGCCCGAATCGCTTTCAGGGTATCTTCAAGTACGACAAAAATCAAGTAAGAATACAAATTTAGTTCGAGGAATGGGTGTTGTATGCTTTTTTTTAATTTTTGTTATACAATCGCTTTATTTCTGGGCATCCTTGAATTCTATGTAAATGACGTAGGGTACAATTTTCAAGAAACAATGTTGATAGTTTGTATAACTAAAAAACATCTTGTAACACAGGAGCGCTTAACGAACGTGTACATCCCGGAGGGCACGAGCCTGCTGCCGCCGCCGCCGCCGCCGCCCCACCGGCCGCCGCCGGCGCGCCCCAACACGCACGACGACTTCGAGCCCGTCACGCTGCACCCCTTCGCCTGAACCGGTTCTCCGCTCGACCACCTCGGCAGTCCCACGGATTCACACCAGTAGTTTAGACTCGATGTCTACCGTAGAAATAGTCTCGATGCGGACCACCGAGTTCGCCTAAGTTCCGCATGCTCGTTTGTGTCGTTTGAAGCAGTCGCGAGTCGATCGCCGAAAGCGCACCGTCAAACGATCTCTCTTCTCGGCCACCACCGACGACGTCGCAGTACAGAGGTTTTAGATTGCAAAACTTCGTAAGATGCCGTTCGGCTTATCTCTAGCGACGGAGGCGGCGGCGGACAGAGCACAACCCATTAACTTTGGATTATGATCTCGGTGTGTTAGATAAGAGTGAGTTGTTTAGTGTAACAATGAACATGCCTTGCTGTACATACCATGGCTACCGAACAGATTTGTACTTTATTATGAGTGGTATGTACGAATGGTGTGTTTTGAATGTTTGGCGATTATTTGCTCACACGGACTAAACCTACATACCTTATTACGCGTCAATTGCCATAACATAATAAAGGAAAAATAAATATTTAGGTACTATTTGATTGAACAACGGACGTTCATAAATGGTTAAGCTCGATTTATGTTCTACTTAAAATTACTTACACCTTCTTATATATAAGTATACATACATTAAAGTGTGTAGCGGTACAGTGTAAAATATGCATTATTCCAATACAGCATTCCTATAATTATTATTATCAAAAAACCGCCATTCATAAGGATGGATAATACGTGTTTGATTATGAATAGGAAATAAATCATATTCCAGTGTAATACTAAATATGACTGTTGTTATAGTTCATACTTGTACTAGTCATATTCCTTTGTTTAGGCAATACCGCACGTAGTGTGCGTTATGTGTATAGAAAGCCAATCCGTTAATTAAACTATGAAGATCTTTTAGAAATCATAAAAATAATTACGAAATAGTATGGTATGATAAATAATATAATTGTAATAGTAATTCACAACTACGGCGTCATACTAAAATGTTTGTATGCGCTGGACAGAATCGGTGTTCAGATCGTGAATGAGTGGAGCGTAGCTGGAACCATGGAGGTACGGGAAGCATGGCGCTGTAGTTTGAGTAGTTGAGATAATAAAATTATCACATACTACTAGTATGGATTTCATATATTTTGTATGTGAGTGAAATTAAGTATCGATTATGTATTATTTTTGTACAATATTACATACCGACGGCGACTCTTCTGCGGCTCACAGGGGAGCGGCGGGGGTACAAATATTTCAAATTTATGGCCACCTTATTTACACATACACGGTAGGGTTATGAAATAGTTATATAGAAATGTACGTGATCTGACGTCAAGTCTCGACCTCGAGGCCCTTCAACAGATATGGTAGCTATTTGTATAAAGATTTATTCAATGAAAAACATCACTGACGTCACGGGTTTAAATGGTTCGTAGTTAATTTGTCAGATATTTAATTTTCATATAAATGCAAATACTTATAATCGTTTTGGTTCACCACCTTAAATATGGTGACAATAAAATATCACTGTAAATAGATAGATTTAATTGTAACATTTTTGTCAAAGAATTGATAAAAAAGATATTGCGATGTAAATAATTTATTTCTTGTGAACTTTAGCGAGTACGAAACAGATTTTATTGACTCACGTGGGCGCGCGCGAACACGCCTCTGAATGCGCATTTTCATATCAAGACTATTCTTTGCTACATTCCGTAGGATAAAGAAAATGCTGAGAACCGCGTTGAAAGCCGACTCTTTTGGGGAATCAACTAAGGCAATTTAAGCATTTACAAACAAAAACAACCATTTTAGCGCATACAAGGCCCAGGACAAGAAGCAAAATCAGTCCGTAGCCTAATTTGAAATGAATTCATTTACGGTAAATTTATTTTTATGGAAAATTGAACACGAGACTCAGTAAGACGTACAACAGGGTGATTATAATCTAAGGTAGAATTAGGACGGGAGTCTACGGATCCAACACATTTTTACTTACATAACCATTGGTGTACCTCCTCACGATTTGTTAAACATAAAAATATATAAGTACTTCAAATGAGTATTTACGTTAGTTTCCTATGACATGAAAGACGACATGTTCCCACTGTTTGCGATATTAGAGCATAATGTATTAGAAAATGTATACATAGTACACACTATATATATTTATAGCCAAATGTATTTACTTTGTAACGGTGGAGATGATACCCGCAGTTTCGTTGTGAAAAACTTAATCGTTCCGCCCTAAATGACTAACTATGTGAATTTCATTTGTTACGACGAATTTGATAGTTGGCGTATGACGTACTTTCAAACCTCTTTCATTCAATATGGCGCTAAGATGTTAGAAATTACTCGGATCATGTTTCAGCTATTGATATCATATAATTTTTGTAATACGCAACATAAAAAAAAACATAAAACCACGAAATAGAAAGTGGAATAATCGTGGTTCAAAAGGACAAAAAGTATTTTTATTTCATTGGTAAGCAAATTACACTTGATATCGTCATATTGATTAAGCTCTACTGCTCATTCGTAAGGCAGATTCCTCAGAGAAGAATGAGTAGGAAACTCTGGGGGTTGCTCATTGTAAATATACATTTTTTTCCCCATTTATCATTTACAATATTTATTTCAAATATCATTGATAGAAAATAACCTGAAAGAGCTAAAGCGCAATGAAGCTTTAGTACAACGTTTTTGTTTCACGATAGTTTTAAACATCGAGAATGGTGTATTTGAATATTAACAGGAGTGTTAAAATAGAAGAGTGAAGGTTGTTTCGTGAAAACGACTGTTAAAAACGGACTTATTTTTGAATAAACAGCTGATCCGTCCGACCAGGACGTGTTTGTTACACACCTTTACAATCTGTATTTGTTGACGAATCAAAGAGGTTTGGAAGACCTAAGAAATTTTATATGAGGTTACTTTTAAGAATCCAAAATATTTTATTTGTTTTGTTACGTAGCTTGTAAGAAGGAGCAGTTAAATGAGAGTGCTGTGATACGAGATGCTTTGAAGGTTATAGAGCGGATGAAAGGATTGCACTATTGAAATTATTAAATAGACTATGGATTCGTTTGGTTCCGACGATAAGCATCTATAGTTCGCGTAGTAATGATCATGACATGCACAACATTAATATATACGCACAACGCGTTTGCCCATTCGATTTAACATGTGTAATATATATGTGTTTTAATTTCATCTCCTTGAGAAATTCCAAACTTAAAAAATTGTGCGATTGTGCCAAATTTAAAATTTCAGTATTAACTGTTTTTTTTTTCATTAATTTGGATAAATTTTAAATTTAGCGTAAAACTTTAGGTAACGAATGAAACAGCTTCATCACCTCCAGGGGCCTCCCGAAACGAGGTGTTTAAACTGTTGTCTTATTTATTATTGTACTGAAAATTTAAAATAGAGATTATTCGAATTATGCGATTGTTTCATTTTGAACTCTAGTTGTGCTTTAAGAAACTCAACGCTAGTGGAAGAGTTGCGAATAATTTTTACAGTCGTCTGTTGCCATCAGAAGAGTCAATCCATCAGAAAAATCTATCGAATGAAAAGACATTTTTAAAAAAAAATTACTTCATATAGAAAAAGAATTGAAAATTGGAAATATTTTTTTTATGTATTTAAAATCGCGTATATTTGTCTTTCAAGGTCTCATGATCGCGGCCGACTGAAGTGATGTTATGTCTAATCTGAAAGCAAGTAGAGGTGGGTGATAAATAACGTCACGATGAAAAAATCACGATGATCCGCCGTCAAACAGTATCACTGTGACTCGTTCCGAAGGAACGACGTTCCAAAGTCACATAGGTGTTCCTCCGTTCCAATAGCTATCCCCGTCACTCACATCACGACATACGTATTTGATACAATGCGCGATCTCCGTTCTGTGGTGACTGAGCGCGCCACTCGTTGTAGTTCTCTTCAAATCGGGCCATTTCGGCGATGGGAGTGAATGAAATAGGATGTCTTTCTTTGCTCACTCACAAGGGTCGTAGATGCTTATTACTACTAGAAAAGGCCGATGAAAAAAATCTGCAGCAGTTATTATAAACCTATTTATGAACAAAGTAAAATACTTTTGTATATTTGTTTTATTATAGAAAGAGTTGGTATTTTATATTTATGTATAATCTACTTTGTGTATTCTACTAGAAGTATTATTACATTACACTTTATTGCTATTTTTAACAATTCCAAGATTCGCATTAAATAAGTAACAAACAAAATTACATTAAATACAAAATCAACTTTTTGAATAAAATTGAAACTTATTACGAAGGGAGTAAAAACTTAAATTATCCTATAAAAAAACGGCTATAAGTATTAGAAAGAAGCCGCTGGCTAAAACCGTATATCGTGATGTAAGTTATAGGCGTGACAAGGTCACGGAAGTAACAGTCGTGACAAAATTACGATGATTTATCACTGTGATTTTTTTGGAACCGGAACGACAGTCACGGCGATAGAAATGTAACGCTATTCCCCATGTGTAAAAGCAAGCCTTAACGAAAATTATTAATGTTACCTTATTTTTAATTTGCCAAAGAATATATTCCATTTTACTCTATACAAGTTCACTAAAAAAAAATTTAAAGAATAAAAATAATTATGACCATGTCGAAGACATGAAGTGACCTTGTCAGGGTGAGACTATCAACACCACTTTATTGTTTATTTATTTATTTATTTGTTTATTTGCAAACTTTACAGCTTTTTAATTTTCGTTTACAATCATAATAATATACGTATATAGCCAATAACAAAGTTTGTCATATTACATTTTAATTATAGCGTTACTTTATCTATCGTTAATCTATAGCCTAATCGAAAAACAAACATGTTGAAAATTTACATTAAGTTCTTAAATTAATGGTAATCTACATATTATTAAATTATTACATACAAATATAACATTATTATTATATAAATTATAAAGGTGTAAGTGTAAGTATGTTTTAGTGTTGTGTGTGTTTGTGTGTGTGTGTGTGTGTGTGTCTGTGCTCTGTTTGTTTGATAATTATTGCCTTCTAAACTGGGGGTGATCCTTCAATATGTTTAGAAATTGAGTGCGGTTTAAATGGAAGATGTCCACGTCTCTAAATCTATCCTCATAAGTGCGCACTATTCTTTGCAAAACAGAGTGTTTTGCGTAATTCGAACGGGCTAAGGTCGTACACAAGGAGTGCATATGCCTCGTGCGTTTTGGACAGGCACACAGACCAATGCAAGCCGTTAATTCAGGACAATCCAATACGGAGTTAACCACGTCATATAGAAACTTCATGTCAGACAACAGACGTCTAACTTCGAGAGAATCTAGCTGATAGAAGTTAAGTCTGTCGAAGTAACCATCTTCCCTTTTGAGGCGGTAGTGCAATCTACGTGTGAAACAACGCTGCACGGACTCTAACTGGGCTATATGAGTCACATAAGACGGAGACCATATAGGGGCTGCGTACTCCATCACGCTCCTGACATAAGCAAAATACAGCTTTTTTAAAGATTCAATTCTTCGAAAAGATTTAGCACTTCTATGAAGAAATCCTAGCATTCTGTAAGATTTCTGAGCAATGAAGTCGAAATGCGATGTATACAAAAGCTTATAATCTAGTATTACACCCAGATCGCGGACGAGTTCGACTCTAGGAATACAGGTATCATTGAGATGGTATTTGTGAGACAGAAAAATACGCTTCCGGGTGAACGTGATAACTTGGCATTTTTTGACATTCAGATCAAGACGATTCAGTCTACAATAGTCCGTTAATCTGTCGAGGTCCGCCTGAAGCCTTTCGCAATCAGCTGCACAACCAATTGGCATAAAGATTTTATTGTCGTCGGCATACATTAAAACATTTGAATACTTAAAACATGTCTCAATGTCGTACAAGTATATGTTGAAAAGTAAAGGACCTAAATGAGACCCCTGCGGTACGCCCGATGGGACGGATTCCATATTCGATTTGAAAGCGCCAATCCTAACAGCCTGCGATCGATTCCGTATATAAGACTCAAGCCACCTCAGCAAATCCCCGTGCACACCGATATTATTTAGTTTAGATATTAAAATGTCATGATCGATGCGATCAAAACATTTTGAATAGTCGGTGTACACAGTGTCGACCTGGCCACCTCTGTCCATGTGCTGAGTAATAAAATTTGTGAAAACAGCAAGATTAGATACAGTCGATCTTCTGCGCATGAAACCGTGTTGAGAAATTGGAATATAGACTGCGGCCACCGGATATAATTGGTCATGAACGATTGACTCGAAAACCTTACCAAAAACTGACAATATCGACACGGGTCTATAATTCTCGACGTTCTGTCTTGAGCCGCTTTTATGAATCGGAGTGATGTAAGCCTCCTTCCATATGGTGGGGTAAACTCCCTCGCTCATTGACCGCCGAAAAATTGATGTCAGAGGAGTTGCAAGCTCCTTCGCGCACTGTTTCGCAAAAAATGAAGGAATACCATCACTCCCAGCACCCTTGTTACGATCCAGTTTACGTAAATATTTGAAAACTAAATCTTGTGTAATTTGAATAGAGTTGATTGTATTAATTAAATTAGATGGAGCCATAGCGAGGGAAGGACGATGAGTAGTGTTAGAGCCTCTATAAACGGAAAAAAAATATTCTAAAAAGGCATTACATATATCAGAGCCTCCACATGTCACGCGATCACCATGGGTCACATGAACGGGAATGCCCTTGTCCCTACGCAATGACCTAGTATATGACCAAAAGTGCTTTGGGTTGGTAGTAATTGCCGTTTCACAGCCATCGATATAACGTATCCAACACTCCTGTTGAACTGTCTTCTGACGTTGCCTGAGCAAGGAGAAAGCATCATAGTCCAGTTTGTTTCCGTATTTCTTCCATGCCTTATGGTACTTGGATTTTTCTTTAATAATATTAATTAGAGGCTTAGAAAACCATATCGGATAACCACAACCGTCGCTTAAGAAGCTAGGTACCTCCTCCTTAATAACTCTCCGCAGCTCTGTTAAAAAGGATAAGACAGTATCATCTATTCCATCGCTATTGAGTTTGTTGGCCCAATCTACGGTAGCCAACCGACTCCGTATAACGTCATAATTAGCCCTCTTAAATTTATAAACTCTTATTTTTGGGTCCCTTAACGTTTTATATAAAATTATATTTGGCATTTCCAAGTCGATAGCTGGATGATGAGGCATGTCCTCACGAGTTAAGGGGTGAGTACAGCGGGACGTCGCTACCTCCAGAGTACCAAAAACAAGGTCGAGATAACGACTGTTGCCGTTTATTACGGTATTATACTGTTCTAAATTAAAACTGGAGAGGGTTTGCAACAAATCACGCTGGTACTCATTAGTTACATTGAGTGGAAAAAGAGGTGGCAGATTACTGGAGCCAACATGCCATTCTACATATGGAAAATTAAAATCCCCCATCAAAAGATAATCAGCATTACTGTTTTTATCCATAAATTCTCTCAAGAAATCAGTCAAGTTAGCCACTTGTGCGTCGTGAGAAGCACCGGAACCGGGGAGGTAAACGCAGATGATATGTAGGTCGCGCGCCGCTCGCATTACGTGAGCACGTATTATAATATGAACCATATCGTACGGGGCATCAATAGGCGCAGCGAGAGCACGCGCACCGAGTGTTCGACGAGTTAACAGCATGACGCCTCCGCCCACCGAACGCACCCCGCCACCCGCACCGCGCCGCGCTAAACCGCCGCGCACCGGCCGATCCCGTCTATGCACGTCATATCGGCAATCGCTTACCTCTGAATCCATGAAAGAGTCCAGCAGCCAAGTTTCACACAATGCCACTACATCATAATTATGAAGGAGAAGCCCCTGGGTGAAGTCTGCCAGTTTACCGCGAATGCTGCGCGCGTTTTGGAGATATAGTTTAAAAGTCATTATAAATTAGTAATACACGCAATATGTAATAAAAATTACGCGCGCAGCAGTCACGATATGAGGCAGCTTTTAATTGTAATAGTGTTGACAGAGCAGTATGTGTGTAGGTGTAACTGATGTGTGAGGTTTGTGAGTGTGTGAAAAGTATGTATGATTGTTGCAAATACAAATAGAATTTAAGAAGCATGTTTCGAAATACAAAAATACCTGCGGAAATCTCAAAACAATACATCACTTTTTTAAACTGTCCAATTGTTCTAATTTGAATATACGAATAGCGGGCGCCTTGTAGTGTTGACGTACATAAATTTTTGCATTTCGAGTCCAGACGTTCTGAAACCCCAACTCCTTACATTTGATCTTGGTAGCCTTTAGTAAAGCTTTGTTGGTAGAAGTTAGGTGTTCATTTATATAAATAGGCTTTCCATCTCCCGGTAGCCCTATATCTGTGGATACTAAGCCGCGCCTCTTCCGCACCGCGCTCAGGAGGCTATCTCGTAGGTAGATCGACTTGAATTTAACAATTACGGTCCTTGGCAATCCCTTGGTATTTACACGGGAAGGAAGTCGTGTAGCATAATCAATATCCTCTTCAGCCAACTTAACCCCGACCACAGACGCAATCTTACACATCATTGGTGCTAACGCCTCAGTTTTCTTTTCAGCAATCCCGAAAATTTCAAGATTATTAATTCGTGCCCGCTGTTCGACATCGTTCAGATTCAGCTGTACGGCATCGAGATCCGATAATTTTGATCTCAGGAGTTTATTATCGTTTTCAATGGTGGTCATTTTTGTTTGTAAGGCTGAAAATTCCTGTGATAAATTAGTAATGACTTCACTATTTGAGTTATGTTCCGTTTTTATGTTATTAAGTGTCAGAACCAACGATTCCATCCTCTTGTCAAATAGATCATGCTGTCGATTTATACGTTGCACCGATTCCTCAAAAACATTCAATTTATCTGAAAACTCATTCAGAATATCCTTTTTAATAGACTCTAATTTTGAGTCGAAATATTTTCTTAATTCCAACAATTGACCCGTGATATCGAATTGTGGGGTAGGTGAAGAGAGACCAGTGGTCTTCGCTTTGTTAGCGTGCTTCGTACCGCCGCGAGACATGTTAACATTACAAATGCCGTCCTTTGAATAGGTATTATTCTGGGTACCGATAGTACACGCGCGCACGGGGGTGGACGAATTGTCGCCCTTGGGAAGCGAACATACACATGAAGGGCACACCCACAGGTTCTTCTTTTCTTCGCCGAGACCCTCAAAATATTCTCTTGTCATATTTATGCAAAGTACGTCAAAAGTTTCTGTGCATTTGCTACATTTCAAATAGTACCGGTCCTTTATTTTGCCCTTACAGCCTGCGCAGATAGACGACATGTTTGTTTGATGAAATAATTGAAGATCTCAGAAAAAAATAAGGGAAAAAAAAAAAAAATGAAAATAATGTTGGAGTATGGGATTCGAACCACGGCTTCCTGCGCACAAGTACGGTGCACCTCCCGCCGCTCCAACGCCGCCTTGGATAACTTGTCGAAATTGAGCTACGCTTGTATCTAAGTAGCTTGTGACATCACTATGGGGTCATTGGCCGTCGGTCATTCACCTCCGTTCTTACAAACTGGTTTCCGCGACCCACCGCCGTTTTTAATAAATGTTCGAAACTGATTTTAATTGTTATTCAGTAATGCAATATAATCACGATAAACTGTTTGTGGACTTTTATTGGGAACACTTTCTAGTTTCAAATGGTGTAAAATAATTATGTAAAAATGGATATTAACTATTTTAAAACTATACAAATTGCGGAGCTATCGAGCTATAGATGCTTCTTGTAACGCGTGTGGAACTTATCTTATGAGCGAGTTGCGGGATAAGCGGAATTTCATTTCAACGATTTTAAAATTTATTATGGAGTTCAACTTTCGGTTAGTAAATAAAAAATTTAAAAGTTACAAACATTTTTAACCACCTTATTTTTCAGCGCATAATGACGCCCTCTTTATAATGTACTTCACATTTGTAGCACTCTGTATATTGAAGGCTGACTCCATCATCAAAAGAGAATATTAACTATACGAGAGAAAAAGAGATACTAAACCAGACAAGATAATGATTTGCGAACTTTGAACATATGTATACTATATTACAATACTCATAATCCAATACAATATTTTAATATTTCTATATCTAATAAAGAAAAAAATGTATAATGACAATAATTAAGCTGAAATAAAAATAATTATAACTTTTTAATACAAAAAAACCGACTTCAAAAGTTCGTGAATTTATTTGCCAAGTTTTATTGAAATCGGTTACCGGAAAGTACGAGAAACATGATTCAACCACTAAATTGCCACTCTTAGAGGTGGAATATTTCCTTCAAATTTAAATGTGACCAGTACTGACCCTTTCCAACAAAAAAGGATCATTAAAATCGGTCCACAAATGCCGTAAGTTATCGCGTAACGTACATGCAAAAAAAATACAGTCCAATGGAGAACCTCCTCCTTTTTCAAGTCGGTTAAAAAATTGGGAACTTTTAGTTATCGAAAAATCGAGTGATTATTCGGCAGCATCACTGACGTAATAAACTGACGCGATTTTAGCATAGGCGAGGTAAGAGATTGATTAAATCATTACCATTCAACATTATCATTTGTACTCAAAAGCTACTTACTTAATAATATGAAACCTCGTGAGACTGGCCAATTGGATGGACCCTGAAAATCTTGACAGGTTAGTTCCCAAGCTTCGACATGATATAGGTATGTACCTAGGCAACGGCTTATATGTTTGTACTGAAACGAGAGCTTATGTTACAACTCTGGAAAAACTCTGGAGAAACTCTGAGAAAACGCACAGTAGTACTCTCAATTCGTTTTGTTTCTCCGACCGCACACAACAGCACAGACAACTTCTGGTTCTCCGCTCCAAACTATAATTCAACAGCAGTGACATCTAGCGGTGTAATTAGTAACCACAACAATAGCTACGAAATTACTTTCTATACAAGTATATTTAATTACAACGTACAACTATAGTGTTTATACTATATCACTATATATTATCAGCATTTGATAATTGTCTAATATATAAATGACTGTAATTGAATATTATGGCTATTTAGTTAGTTGAATGCTATCAAAGTTCCGGAAGGGCAACTCGCGGCCCCTGGCGACATTTATTTGTTACAACCACGAAGTTAAAACCAGTAGTAGAACAATAACTAAATTATTAATACAAAGATCGTTCACTAAGAAAAATTCCCTTCGTTTCGGTTTTCCAGCAATCCGTGCTAGACGCACTCCCAGTCGACTCACGAACCACGAACGACAAGGCTTTGCGAACTTTTCGATATGCATATGAGCTTTGTGTTTGGTTTTTAACGACTTTTTGCCGTAGCGCCATCTGTGATAAATCTATTTCTTCACTCAGCCAGGTACCTTTATAGCTACCAACGGCTGACAAGAGATGTCGCTTTAATAATTGCCATAAATGTCATGTTTAAATAATTATAACAAAGTGTATTGGCTATTATTTAAGTAGGATGTGGTCTGATTTGGGAAGAACTTGTAACCCTTATATGCACTTAGGTAACGGCATATTTGCACCGAAGCAAAAGCATATATTTGTATCTAAGTATGGGCAGATTTCTACCGAAGCAAGCAGGTTTGTGCCGCAAAGGGATATTTCTTACCATTGTATTGTCTGCATCTGTCAAATCATAAACCCAACTAATCGTGGGAATGAAAAAAATAATAAAATACATATGCTTTATTTGCCTTAACATACAATGCAGTACGTACAGCTGTTTTAGACTAGTCAACATTCGTATATTATATAAACAATATTAAAGTAGCTCCAAACACGATAGAATACTAGATAGACGTTTCAAAATAGATTTAGTTTTATATCTAAATTACCTATAAGTAGTATTATTTACTATAAGTACTACTTTTACAGTTACCTTAAGTAACATTTTAAAGTTGTATAAAATTAAAATTTTACAAGATGGCATTACCAGACTTGTGCACAAAAATGCGGTTACGTAATGATTGGCGGGAAAGCACAAACGTAAGTTTCTTACACATCTACATTATGATTTTAATATGATACACAATATTGTAGTACACAATACTTATTCACATAGTTGACGTACAATAAATTTATAAAAGCAATCGTTTATAGTAAATTAAGTCAATTTACAGTGTAGACGGGGCGAAGAATAATTAAACGTAGGGATAACTCGAAAACCAAGTTGTTGCCGATTCTATGTTATCATATTTGCTTTTATGATAATTAAATGCGATATTGTATTATTAAATATCTAAAGTTAATATAACATTCCTGAGACTGGGACATCCTTAAAGCAGACATGGTTCCATAGCGTGTCTGAAGACCGGCTTGTTTAATCAATGTGTTCTGCCCACCATGACGTATGGTGCCGACACATGGACGCTCACGCAGGCGACTGTATACAGTTTGAGAGTTGCACAGAGGGCCGTGGAGCGTACCATGCTCGGCATCAGCCAGTTCCGAAAGTTGAAATATGCGCACGGATGAAAGTCCAGGATGCTGGAACTCGGATCATGAAATTCAAATGGAGTTGGGCGCGACACACAGCAAGGCTAGGCGATGACAGACGTCGACTGATTGTGGCCGAAATGAGGATGGGCAAAAGAAACGTCGGGCGCCCAGTTGCAAGGTGGATCGACGGTAACCTATCACAAACTCGATTTTTTTTTCCGAAATAACTTTTGCTCGAATTTTCATTACACCGAAAACCGAATTATAACGAAACCGTTGTTCCTTCAGGATATGTTGTGTGTTTATCGTAAAGACACGCGGTCGGACTGCTCCCCTTCCGGGTTCAGCTCAGTCCCACAAACCCCGGCTCTGCCCCCGCGGGGCCGGGGTATCTGTAAGCAGATTCCCCCGGATTACAAAAAAAAAGTTTCAAAAAAAACATTTTCCTCTGAAAATTACTTTCGAGGTTATGAAAATTCAAGCAAACGTTATTTCTGGAAAATGTCATTTCGGACTTCTGATAGGTAACCGTTTTGTAGACTCTGCTGCTCAACTTTAACAGTGAATACAGTACATACAAATTTGTACGCGTCAATGACATTTATCACCATCATCGACAGCCTGATTTCACCCACTGCTGGGTAGTCTGTGCTATCCACCACGGTCCTGTGCTAGTCGCATCCATTGACGCCCCGCAACGCGTGCTATGTCGTCGACCCAGGTTACCTATCAGTAGTAATAATTATTAAATAAACTATGGCTTCGTTTGGTTCCGACGTTAAGCATCTATAGTTCGCGTAGTAATAATTATGACATGCACTACATTAATATATACACACAACGCGCTTGCCCATTCGATTTAACATGTGTAATATATATGTTTTAATTTAATCTCCTTGAGAAATTCCAAAATTATGCAACCTGGGTCGACGACATAGCACGCGTTGCGGAGCGTCAATGGATGCGCAAGTGCACAGGACCGTAGTGGATAGCACAGACTATCCAGCACTGGGTGAAATCAGGCTATCGATGATGATGCTGCAAAACCCCTTAAATTATGAAACGGAAAACTTCATTAATATAAGCAAAAAGTAGAATGTTTAACGTCAAAATCATAGACAATGCGGCAACAGCGTTCATAAATGTTCAAGGTTTCCGAATTTTCCCGATGTGTAATGTTTATTCACCACATCTGTACACAGTTCACCTTAGGTCTGAACCCCACTTACAGACACGCTTCAGAATCTGACAAATGGGTTATGGACCTATAATTTACAAAAATATGCGAACACGAATACAATTTTAGAAAATATATATAATTGGAAATTTTAGTGCAGACAGTAACAATTGCTTAGTGCACCTTGAATACCACAGCCGAGGACAAAACATTATCTACTTAACTGGTAACCGTTTACAACTCAAAATTGATTATAAATAAAAAAGAAATTACGAGAAAAGACTAGAAAAATTACAAATAAATATTTCAGTAAACCAGATCAGGTACGTATTCACAAAACTGGTGCAAATTAAATACAACACTCAATTCATCATTACTGTTCTACATCACTCATTGTTTATAAAACCAACACCTGTTTTAAGCATTTAAGATTGGAGAGTGTAAATTTTGGCACGGACGCGATGTCTAGTCGAAATCTGCACAACACTCGAGATCGTTTACTGGGAATGCTTACGCTACAATTATCACGTGAGTCGTAAGTTTACACTTATTGACTTTGCACCTTATAACAAGCCGATAAGTCTGAAATTACTTTTGAAAATAGTTAAACGTTGCGAGTCAGCTTTTTTAAATCTAAATAGTTTGTTTCATTTGCCGAAACAAGTTTGTGCCAATTTTAAGAAGATCCCGCACGCATCTCCTACAACGAGCACCAACGAAACATGTCATATTTAGTTTAAATTACCGAGTCGATGAGCTGAGGCCCTTAACAATCTTAAATAACTAGACATAGGTTATGTATCGTCACTTGGGAGTGAAAACCTTGTATGTCCAAGAAGCACATTTTTTATAACATCAAGTGACGGGACGAACAAGTCGGGCGCCTGGTGTTAAGCTACAAGTCGACCCGTAACAGTTACAGTGCCACTCAGAGCTTTAAATCGCAAAGATCTGAAGGTCACTGCCACTGAGACTTAATGTAATTTCACCAGCAATTTACTGGATGTGCAAAACCAGAATGAGAATTCCGATGCGTTTTTCCAAAGAATCTATTTTTTTTGAGTGTCTAATACTTTATTTTTATTGAAAACTATGATGTTATTAATACCATGACATTCTTTTATTATTTGCGAAAATACTCCACTAGTTTGTTATAATTATTGACTGTACTTGAACCAGCGATTGTTGCCCCAACGTGGCTACCGTGTCTAGTATTAATTGGTGTTTGTTGTGGACAATATACAACAGTCGCTTAGCCACAATCTCACCTAGTATTAAACTTACATGGTACACGTACATAATCCAAGGCTGGTTTCAGAGCAGTGCGGATACATCTGCGGACCGTCCACGCGGAGCACCGGAGCAAAGTAACATAAGCGATAGAACATCGTTTTACGTAAGGAATACGCTCCGCGTGCATTCCGCACAAACCACCCGTGCGTTCATTGTAGACGACTGTCTTTCGTGAATATCCGCATTAAATTCAATACTCGATTCAGAACACTGCGGATTCTACGTATGCGGATGCCCGCAGGCTTACGCACAGCTGTGAAACCAGCCTTAAATAGCCCTGAATTGTACTTTTCGTGAAACACAGATGTAGTGTATTCCATTGCTGCGCCGAAGCATTACAAAAGAGGAATTAAAGCGCGCGTGCACTGCAGAATATTATCCTGCCAAATATTGAACTCGTGTCTTCACTCCCCAGCGACAGTACTTATTTACCATGCTCGAATAATTAAGCGGTGACGAACACATATTGAGATCATTGCAATCACATTGCTGAATAGATTATTACACTGGAAACGATAATTCAGTGCAATTTTCAGTTAAAAGTGTACAAGAAAAATGTAGTAAATAAAAATATTCTTAAATGACTCACAAGGTAAAGAGAAAGTATACAGTTGGATAAAATCCCTGTAGAGTAATACAAAGACAGTTCTATTGTCGTGCTTATCTTACCCTATGTTTCCCTATTGATAGCGCTTGAGCTCAGGAAATGCTTCTAGAAGGACGAGTTCCATTAAATCCTGAAACAAAGTGCTCAATTAACACTTGGAACGAACCACAATAAAAATTATAATTTAATAAAAAGCAATTATGAAAGTCTTAAATAATATTTCTGGTATAAACAATCCAGCTCGACAAATCAATAAATTAATTTCCTTTTTCTGGGACCAAACCTGGTACGCGTTTGTATAAAAAATGCATATTCATTCTAGCTTTGAATAACCCGACGGAAAACAGAAGGGATGTATTCTATTCCTTCGCCATACACATTAATAAAGTAAAGCGCATCATAGTATATCATGGATATAAGAATGTAGTATTTTTAGTCGATCGAAATAGGAACAGTGAAGGCGGAAGTAAATTGTGAAATTCCCACGAAGTGTATCCCACAGAAACTTTTCTGAGGTTAAAGATCGCAGTAAGTACTATAAATCTTTTGCGAAAGATTTATGCGGCGAGCGCATTGGCATTGATCTTTAATCGTAGGTGACACTTTTAGCGAGAAGACATGTTCGTAGCGTCGGGCCGCCTCCGTATTCGCGGAAATAAATTTAGAACCAACGAATCTATAAGATTCTGTGCGGTGTGGGATCTCGCCGGGCGTAGGTGTTCACTACCGGCATTCGTATCAGTTTATTTGAGTTTTATTTAGCCGTGAAATTTAGGGTTTAATAAGCCGAACAGTGAATTAGTGAGATGTGGTCAAATGTTGGGAAGGCATTAAGAAGTTAAAACTATCACTCGTATTTTAGAATTGAATCTCTTCAAAGATTGTTAGTGCAAATTAAATGGTGAATTTAAAATTAAAAAGACTTTTGAAGCAGCCGTTTCACAATGCCGATTTTATTTAGTGCTGTCGCGTACACAAGACGCATTCTGGCAAAGTACGCTTGCTGCGATGGAAACTTCACAGAGATAGTAGACGAGGTGTTATCAAAGATACCCAGTGAAAATCACAAGATGACTTATTCGCACGGACATTATCTACTACACTATATCGTCGACGACCAGCATTTCTACTTTTGCATAACTGACAAAGTAAGTGGATAATTCTAACATTCTGACTACGTTAATTTATTCATCAATGTCGAAAACATATTTATTTCGTAGGTAAGCAAGTTACATTTGAAATCTTCTCATACTAATTACTACTAATATTCGTAAGGCAGATTCCCGTGAGGACTATTGTAAACTTTTACCATGTACAATATTTATTTAACATAATGGTTTAATCTATCGCCTCTCAAACAGAGGCCGTGGGTTCGAATCCGGATTCGCGCCTCAAGTTTCTCGGAATTTATGTTCGAAATTTAATTTTAAATTTGCCACGAGCTTTTCGATGAACGAAAATATGGTGATGAAACCTGCACTGCGAAGGTTCACAACCCTCGGAAAATGTGTTAAGTCCCCAACCCGCATTCGGCCAACGTGGCGGACTATGGCCTAAACCCTCTCCTGATCTCAAATATCGCAGACCGAAACAACCTGAGAGAGCTAAACGGGTCACTACCATGAACTTTTGTCATCCAAGTACATGGAAGCTGTACGTTGTTAATGCAATTTACAAACTGGGCCCCAGAGCGCCCATTTTAAAAAGTTAAAAAGAAATTAACATTGTTACCACAGCGTCACATTACATTTATTATGTTATTACATTTATTATGTTAAAAGGAATAATAATTTTTTCATGAAATATGGTGATAAGCATAACATTAATACGAGGAACTAAAATAACCTGAATATTCCTGACAGTCGTCTCACAAAATCACTAATTTATTTAAGGTGGTAATGTATATACATGCTTCTATTATAAGATGACTGTGATATTCAAAAGATGACATTTTCGATGTAGAACTATTATGAAACAAAAACTTCATTCAAAATACTATAACCAATGGTTGCTACAAGGAGCGACATAGAGTTGTTAAAACCATCAAATATTAATTAATTAATGTTTCGAATTCAGAATTTCCGGAAATGGTTTCGTCATCGTAGGACAAAACTACTGACCTAGGAAGTCGAAGTTGGATTTTAAATAATTCGAATGGTGCCACGTAAAAAATTTAATAGATAACTGACATTTTACCCAAGCAGAGAATAAAAAAATAACGAGAATGGTCACTCTCTGCCCCTTTTTAGCTTTAGCTACCGAACCGCGCCCGGATATTGACGGAACGGCGACATTTGCTAGTAGAAATGAAGAAGAAAAATTAATTTAAAATTTTATATACGAGGGGAATTTTGGGACATTTTAGTTTGCATGAGAGCCGTTGTGATCGCGTTCTAACAATATTTTATTTAAATTAAAAATCACAGACACAGACGTTCATAAATTCGAACTACTAGCGGAAATGTCGTATTTTAAATGAAAAATGTTGGCACTAGATTATTTTAATACTTTTTATTTTTAAAAAACTGCTTAACGCTTAAACAAGACGAAAAAGTGTCATTTTTAACGGCCTAACTCATATACGGCTATTAATATTCATAAATAGAATAAAGAGAGCAGTTTCTTTCATCTGGAAATCTAGAATTCGAAAAAAGTTATTAATTAATATTTGGTGGTTTGGTGGTATCAATATTGTGGAACACCTTTTCCCACTATTGGTTACAATACAGTTTCAGAAAGAAACTAAATGACAAAGTCCATGATAGTGATATTTCAAAGTGAATACTATGAATGATAAATGTAAACAAATATCTATTTACATCGAGCAAAAGAGGAATTTGCCTTACGAATAAGTAATAATATAAAATCAATTTGACCAGTTCAAATTTATTTTTGATTTGGGATGACAACCGCCATTAACACAATTTTAACCTCAACATTCTTTTAGCACTTTTTAAAATACGATTTAATAAAAAAACATTTCAATAAATTTGTCTAACTTTCGCTGTCCCAATTTCTTCCTCCGATACAATGAAATGAACCTTACAAGAAACTGAATCGATTAGCAATAAAAAAATTCAATATTATTAATTTTTATGGACAGCTTTACAAAAAAAAATTACTATCTCAAATGTCTTTTTCTAAGGTTTCGGATTTTCCCCTACTGTCCCAGTTAAAAAAAAATCACACTGATATATAGGATGCAACAAGCCCTGCGAACCACTTTGTGAAAATGTGAACTTTGAAAATATTTTTTAAGTGACCAACAAAGTACCACTAAGTAATTAATTTGCTTACCTATGAAATAAAGATTCCCCCTCTACACTAAGCAATTACGGGTCGATACTATCTCAGTTCGAATTCCAATTTTTCCCGTACTAATACGGTTCATTTTGCTTGGGTCGAACGGCAAAGACACTGGCTATATTAAAGCCATTTGAAAAATGTATATCGTATCGTAAAAAAAATCATTGGTTTATGCAAAGTACCTATTGATTACAGCGGTTTTATTGTAAAATTTCGAGGCAAGTTTTTTTTTCTATCGTGAAAATTCTTAAGAATCGTGTTTTCACACAGTACACTAATCAGTATATGTCCTTAATTCTACTATATATTAAAATTAAATTTAATTAATACAGTGAATCGCGACATCTCTCGCCAGGACTGGTAGCTGTAAAGGTACTAACTGGGTGATAAATCTGTAATAGATTTCTCATAGATGGCGCCACGACTAAAAAGTCGTTGAAAGACCAAGTACAAAGACACGACGCAAACGCTTTGTATTAATAATTATAACAAACTAGTGGAGTAATTTCACAAAAAAATAATTGAATGTCAATTCAATAAAAATTTAATTATCTACTATATATTTTTTCCAAAATGATTGATTAAACACTTGCACTGTCATGCGGAATCAACCAAAGCCATGTGAGGTTGTACCGACCCTTAAATTCAACTGTATGTTTACGACAAGACAGTACCAAGTATAAGCCTAGTGAGCAATTGAAATCATATACAGGAAGTATCATGTGCAAAAATCGTTTTAACTGTCAGTACATTTGCACTGTTGTTGTCGCCACCTAAACAATAAACAAAATATTATTATACAATAGCTTGAAGTATCGCATCCTTCATAGTAAAAGGTCGAAATTGGAAAAGCAATATTATATATAATATATATTACTGTTATTTCATACGTTATGTTATTTAAATGTATATATTTTCAGTCAGCCATATCCATGAGAGCCGTAAAGAGCCCGAAACTTTGTTTCAAAAAATAGTATTGTTTATACTATGTCCTTCAACCATTTACTTAACTTTTGACAGCTCGTATTCTAATCAATTAGTGATGTCCTAATGCGTTTCCGATTCGATTTTTTATAACAATTTTAATTTTGTTTATGAAGTATTTTTAATCGTGAATGTGAGTGGCTTCTGATTGGGATCGTGATGTTGCGTTTGACAATTTGTGTACTCAAGAATTAGTAATTAATGATAATGAGCATTCAAATGAGGATTCCCGTTCATATGGAGAACAATCCGACGATTAATTATAATAAACAATAGAATAAACATTAACTTTCCAAAAATATACTTTTCAAATTCGGTCACTTTATTATTAAGGCGCGGTAAATTTTTCAACAAATTATAATTCTGTATTTGAGCACACAACAATGCATTCTTTTAAACAGACGTGTCAGCGTTCCAGAGCATTTCTGTTCCTAAACGAGGTGAAACGAAGATTTAGTCGAAATGAAAAAAGTTTCAATCAAGTGCTGGCTAAGGAAATGCACAGATACAGCGAGGACTACAGCACTATTACTATAAGGAAGGGAGAGCTGGACGAGCTTAACAGTATTGGGGTCGGATGTAGTGGTAAGTAATTACAGTTGGACCTGGACCTAAATAACGGAAATACAATAAATAATTCAACTTCTGAAAACACAAAGTACTTGGACGTCCTGGAGGCGTCGTTTCCTCTCGTCAAAGGTTTGTCAGGACTGCCCTCGTTGTCTTTCATCCAAAATAAAGTCGGTCTAATTTCGACTACCCGTCAGTCTAGTCTTTGTGGCCAGTCAATCCGCTGGTCATCCATGAAGGATGGCCGCGACATTCGAGTCCCCCTGGATGTCTTACAATTGTACATATAGACCGTACGTAGTACACGCTAAATCGAGTAACTGAAGTACAAAGTTTTACTTATTTTGAGAGCAAATTCGTAAAGGTAACACTGAATTATTATTATTCATTGTTAGTAGAGGTGGGCGTTTAAACGAAAAGCACTTTAAAAAGTTTGCTTTTTAAAATAAGCATATAAGCACGATTTTCAATTTAAGCGTAAGCGTTAACAACATGCTTATGTTTCATGTCCCGCCATTTATGTTTCCTAAACAAATTAATTCGTCAATATGAATAATAATTTTATAAATAAAAATAAAAGACGTGTTTTACAAATAAACTTACTTATCTTAAAACATTTAGTGATCTACTCATGCTTTTCGCTACCAACACAACGTTGTAAGCTTTTTTTAACATAAAAGTCTATGCACTTAAAAGTTTTTCTAAACGATTTTGTAAGCTTCATACTAAAAAGCGTTAAAAAAAGTATGCTTTTTTAAAAAAAGCACGTTTTATCGTTTAAAGAAATAAACAGCTTTTCCCATCTCTAATTGTTATTATTATTGAAGAAAAGTAGGCATTATCAGTATTATTATTTTTTACATAAGAAAATGGAAATAATAAAGTATTGTATGAACGGTCCTGTAAAATAGCATTATGTAAGAAATACATAAATTTATTTAATTTCATAACACGTCAAGCTTCAAATAAATAAATTGTCGTGTCTATGTAATAATAATAGTTAATAATAAACCCAATCCTTGGAGGAGATCTGTACCGGAGTACGACCAATGATGGTCTCGAGGTTGAATAACAATAGTTATTGGACAAGCATGACGGACCATGGCGTGCACCCTCTTAATATTAATTATCCATTAGTCAATAAATTTTATGGCTATTTAAGTATGTTTTCCCCGGTGTACATCAAAATGTACATAATAATAAAAATATCACATTTTTTAGCGGGCTTGAAATGTATTAAATATGCATTTAATACATTTTTAATGTACGTACATACGTAATGTATATTGGGCGTTTACCGCCATTCCCATGGTAATTTGCAGGGTCGTAGAAGGATAAACAACTTTACCTAATAGAAGTGTATTTATTTACAGAAAATATTCTCGGAGGAAAAATTCTGTTCGTAAATAACCCTCAAGAGATTACTTACAGCGTAAGTTTTATTTAATTAAATAATGCTGCTATGGCTAGTTAAAGTCCAAGTAGTGTAGTTTCCGATGGATATTATAAAAAGCGATTACTACGATTGATTATGACAATCAATTCGGATACATAGACTGATGTAGAGTAGGAATTTGTCGTACTCCTAATAATAAAGTGACTAAATCCGAAAAGTAAAATGTTTAGGAAATTAACAAAATAAATCACATTATGATTTTTAAACAAACCAACGTTTGTCTGTAAAGACGTGATCTGTAACAAGTCCGCGACGTTTGGTTTGTTTGAAAAAACCAATATTCGCGAATTAGACCCGAAGAAAAAGTTTCAGATCTAATATACAGCAAACGCGAAAATCAGGAAATCGATAACAAAATAATTAATATATAACGTACGAAATAAAAGTAATACGCAGTTTTTTAAAATGAAAAATCTATCATATTTGGCACCAGGCCAATGGCACACATGGGTGGTCTATGTATGTACGTTATTTTTTTATCTATCGTATCAGTTTTCAAAAAATTACTTTTTGGTATAATTCACTTTATTATAGAAAGGCGATATGTAGTACAAGAAAGTAAACGATGATTTGTCATCGTTAACAAGTGCGTAATTTGCTTTCCTTTGTAATTAATATTTTGATTTCAGATTTTAGACTTTGAATTAATGATAATTATGTTTATATTTCAGACTGTTTCGTACGTGGGCCAGTCTCCGCAAAAAATATTCACATACGAATCAATGTCTGCAGAATCAAGATGCGACCGTGACGTCTCTTGTAGATTTTATTTGGTGATATTGTCTATGGTGCTCGTGCTTATGTCATTGGTTGTTTCCACTGTTGGATCGGGCTCATTTGTTGTGGTAGCCTGTGTGTTCTTCTGGTCTGTAGCGCGATATGCTAAAGGCAAGTCTTCTTAGTTTTATACAAAAGCTTTTACTCATTATAAGACTTGGAAAGTATTGATTTTGTATTGTTATAATGACAAATGTATATACAAAATGTAGTACATAATTATGACCAAAACACGAAACTAAAATTCTACAACAAATATTGATTATATTGAGTATTTATTCTATAGTCAAGTGCACGTTTACTTTCGAACCTCCGTTATCGTAAACGGTATAGAATTAAAATTAACTCTTAGAGCTGTTACTCAAGACGATTTTTAACAGCGATGCAAACACGATGCAGTGGCTATCGTCTGAAAATGAAAAGTCGAAAATGATTGGTGACGACTAAAGATTTAAAATCTTTGGTTATTTATTAGACTATTATCACTAATACGGTAATAAATCATGGGATAGCTTGTTATTGTTTTATTGATATTTTAGAGCTCCTTCACTCTGAGTGATTATTGGTTTACTGACGGGCTGTATCGTGGTAAGAAACTTTTTACAGTGGTCATTGCTTACTATTTAATGCGCGTGGAAAATTATTATACATTTTCTTAATTAGAGGGCAGATTACGGAATTTTATTATTTTATGGGATACTCTAGTCAAAGAACAGAGCTGAACGAGCGCAGTTTTCTTGGTATCCGCTCAAGCGCATAATCTATGAACGGCATTATTTGGTCATGCCTCAGCTGATATGCATGAAATTTGCAACTAGCATAAAAATACAATTTGAGTTTTGGGCTGTAACCTGAGGTCAAAGGTTATCTTATATTAATGTTAAGCCTGGAAAAAAATTAAGTTTCTATTTTATCCAGATTGCTACAAATTGGAATTAAAAATATTTTTTTTGGATCTAAATAGAAATTTGTTTTTTCAAACAAAAATAAATCAAACTTTTTGTCAAATTATAATAATAACGCACACACTCATACTGCACAAAGGAAACCCTGTGTCGCGGTTGCTATGGACACACACATAAACAACGAAAGAGAAATAAATGTAGGACATACAAATATTTCTCCCGGCCCGGGAATCGAACCCGGGACGTGTGCGTGGCAGACCAGTGTGGTCACCGTTCGGCCACGGAGGCAGTTCAATACGGAAACACTTCCAGTTACGAGACATACGATTAGCAAAATCATTTGTAACGTAAATTGGAATGTATTTTTTGTAAACTAAATTTTTAGTAACAATTTTTTAACAGTTCAAAATACGGTTCAAAACATGTTGATATAGAGTTCTTAGGTTTTCGCTATTGTTACACATAGGAAATGACTCCATTTTTTTTTCGGGTCTAAATCGCGTATATTTGTTTTTTTTTCAAACAAACCAACGTTTTGGGCCCTTCACGGCTGACATGTTGATGATATTTTAGTCAGCCGTGACTGTAGGACTCGTGAAGAGCTCGAAACGTTTGTTTGTTTGAACAAATAAATATACGCGGTTCAGATCAAAACAAATTTTCATTTCTTAATGTTCAATTATGAAATGAAAAATAAGAAAAGTAACTGTGTTTCGGTATGAAAGTGGCATTATGCCGAGTATTTTATGTTAGTATACAGCGTTTGTATGTTATCCATAGTGTTAGGCAAGTAACTATTTTAGTAAGTAGTGCATAGCGGGAATATTTCATGCTCGAATACCGTCTCGAATTAGTTGACGTCCCGTCACCTCTGTCAATCGTACCGCGTAACGCAACGGAAACTTGAAATTTTTGACAGTAATTAGTACTAAAATATATTTACAATGAAGTTTTTTTAACAAGCTGTAAAAAGAGTTTTCTATGTTTACTTTAAAAAAAGAGGGTCCACAAAATTTGCAACTCTGCGTAAAGTTATTTTTGTCCGCGCTGCTCTAAACTGTGAAACAGTATATCTACAAAGAGTTATGCGCAATGGGTAAAGAAAAATTGTCATATAGCTAATTAATTGCTCATTAGTATCAGTCTGTAATTGCGAAGATTAAAAGAAATGTGTATGGTATTACCAATTTTGCATTTAATTATGGTGTACGAATATAGAATATAAATCATTATTTATTTTGTGTATTTTATAATAATAATAATAACAACAGACCCCTTCCTGTGGGCTTATTGTGCGACACGCTCTAATACATTTAATTTCGGTACTAGGAACTAATTTATAAAAATGTATTACGGATATTGTCTTTTTTATAAAAACAAAATATTAAATTCGGTACAATTTTCCTATATCTATGGGTATAATAACCAAACGAAATGTTGGGGAAATGAGAATCGGGAAAACTCGTCAATGTGTCAAAATAGTGAAACATTAAATGGTGTAATGAAATCGCAACGTATTTTCGGACAAATGAAACAAAATCTATCCAATAAAAACCGATAAGTTTTCGGAGAAATAAAATTCTGTGAATCATGTCTTGAGCTTGTGATAGATAACCCAGAAAAGGCGGTTAAATAAATGGAATTGTTTTGGAGATTTTTTGTTATATAGGTTTTAATTTAAGGCTTAGGTTATTCACTAAATAATTATCACTAAAAACAGGTTCCTTACCACGATATGTTTTCTCATTTTCCCGGTGTTTCGTTGAACCGTGCAACCGTTACGTAATACGTAGACGTAAAACCGTAAAGCATGTAGCCGGTGCGAAATATCGGGGAAATAAGGAGTCATATCGTGGTACGACACTTGACTGGTAATTAGTGGTAACGAATTTTTGTCATTTCTATTTTCATTTTTTTTTAGAGAAAATTAAATTACTTCTGAAGGGTGAAAAGAGCGGAAATACGATAATTATACTCAAAGGAGTAAAATTTGTCATGGAAAACTATAAAACAGTTTCTATTATAATATGTTCTCTTTTATTATTCAGTATTTTATAATTTCCTCGTATTGATTGAGAATAAGTACATATACAGTGTTTTTTTTTAAATGTGACAGTACGGGGAAATCCAAAACCACAGAAGATACAAGGAAACTGTCTTAGGAACCATTAAGTAAGTATTTTTTGTGAAAACAATTTAGTCATAATAAATTTTTTGGTGAAATGTGAGTTTAATTTTTTATTGAATTGATATTCAATTATTTTTATGTGAAATTACTCCACTAGTCACAATTATGAATACAAAGATCGAACACTCAGAAAAAAATACTTCGATCCGGCCGGATTCGAACCGACGTCTTCTAGAATACCGTGCCAGACGTTATACCAACTAAGCCACGGAATGAACCAGCGGACCTCACGAATTTTTCTATGTGCTTGCGTCGTATCTTTGCATTTGGTTTTTCAACGACTTTCTAACCCTACGGTTACCGCCATCTATGATAAATATATGATATTTCGTCACCCAGTTAGATGCCTTTACAGCAACCAGACCCGACAAGAGATGTCGCTATTCATTGTATTTAAAATTGCTTAGTTGGTATGGTGTCTGGCACGGTATGCTAGTAGACGTCGGTTCGAGTCCGGCCGGATCGAAGGAATTTTTTCTGAGTGTTCGATCTTTGTAGAAATGCGACTTGTTCATAAAATGAACAAAATTGATTAAAATTTTGTTAGTGTTGATCGCTTCAGTTTCATGAAGAGATCATTTCATTGTATGAGACATAAAAATAGATGTAGTTTCTTAAAAGTATGACTTTAAGGTATTGGAAGAAAAAAATTGGACAGCAAAAGTAAGTAAGAACTAGTGTAATTCACACGCGTCTGGCAATCTCTTACTATTCGGCCTCTGTAATAATATTAACATAAATAGTAATTTTGACTACAGCACGTTTTAAACAGAACGGTGCTCTTAATAAACGACGATGGGACTTACTTATTTTATAATAGTAAATGACGGGACGAACAAGTCATGCGCCTGTCCATAACAGTTGCAGCGCCATTCTGATTTTTAAATCATAAAAATTTGAGGGCCAAGCAAGTGACAAGTCCCGTGTGCCTGTAATTTCACCAAAACCCTTGTCCTTCGAAATAAGAACACATTATTGGTCGTCGGTAGAAATAGGTGCGGTGGCAGTAGTTCCCAGGACGAATTGTTTCACAAGGACCTCTACTGCTATCATCGAGTATATAAGTAGAAATAGAGACGAAATACTGGTCATACGTTCCTGGTAACTCATCAGTGATACTTCATTTATAAATATAAATACTCGTTTGCACTGAAATTACAAATTAGAAAGAGCGCCAACAACTGACCTGTGTGTACGTCTTCGTATGTTCCAAAAATATTCTATATTTATTATAACAAAGATAGTATCTGTAATTATGAGGGGCTGTTCCATTCGGTGGTGTAGGGAAAACAGCCCAACATCTAATTATAAAACAAACGGAATGAAATTTCATCGGTAATTGAATATGTAATTTTGCACTTTTAGTCCGTTATGGCAAAGTTCAAGTTAACTGGTAACAATTGCCGACACCCGTCAATTGTTTCGAATTCGGACTGGCCAATCGGAGCGCAGCTGTCGCGGCAATGATATGGCAGTATCTATATAATAGTTTTGAAACAAATGAAACAACATTTCGTCTCTATTCTGGCTATATACTCGACGACGGCCACTAATGCAATAGCAGGCGATACGTTTGCCCGCTGCGCCGCGTCCAGCAGGAGAGGCCCGCGAGATCCGCAGCGGAAGAGACGTGGAGGACTCACGTAGAAGAGCTGCTTGTTGTGCGTGTGCTGCTGCAGCGTGCGGCTGAGCTTGCGCGCGCCGCGCTCGGCCGCCGCCGCGCCCACCAGCGACGCCAGCGCGCGCAGCGCCGTCAGCCGCAGCGCCGCCGCCGCCGCCGCGCGGCTCCGCTCTGTTAGCGCAATTTCAACTTTACCCTCTTGGCATACCGTTGACACTTCGGTACCATCAATACCTATTCTTGCAAGTTACGACGCTTTCATTTTATGTTGAAATTTCAATCAGTGTATTGCCATCTAGCGGCAAATTGCTGAACGACGAGAAATTGGAGTTATTGATTTAGTTCTCCAAACAAGAAACGGCCATATTGCAGGGGTATAAGCTTTACTTTCATTTCTTGTGACAAAAAAATTTAAAATTTATTATAATAACTCTTTCAGATGATATGAAATACCACCACTGGTAACATTTTTGGTGCGGCTACCATTTTTGGCACTCCTAAACAGCACAATAAGACATTTTTCTAGGATTTAGAGCATTTGCACGAAAGAATGACTCAACCATACCATACAAAGTGAAAATGGCGGACTGTGCTCAGATTGGTCTTTCGAGACCTATAGTTGGCACGCGCCCGACGTTAACTAACCTCTTGTACAGTATTTATTGTTCTGGGTCCGAAACACTGGGTGTCCCTAGTGCGGGGCTGTGTTGAGTGTGTGCGTTATTATTATAATTAAAACCGTTTCAAAAATGTACATCGCACACTATACTTGTTCTATCCAGTTCAGTTGATATAAAAAAAAAATCATAGGTATATGTAAAGTTGAATACAGCGGTTTTCTTTTTCCGTTTTTTTCCTCGTCTTTAATCGTCTTTTCACACCGTATACTAGTACCGATTGATTGATACACTGGTATATACTTAATTTTACTATATATTTTATCTACACACATATCATAAACTCTCTAAAATGTGTTCAAAAACCGCAAATTACGACCAGCATAAAGGTAAACTGTTTTATTAGAACAAATTTCTTATCTATGAAAATGTTATTATTGCTATATAATAACATCGAATTCGATGTTATTATTACATTCAAATTTCGAACACCTCTGAAAAACAAAACAATTTGATTGGACCTCAATTCTAATATCAGTCGAGATGAAGTTTTATTCAAAATGAGATGTCAATAGCAAACAATTTTGACAATTTCACACATTACTTGATATCGAACGATATGATAGTTGGGGCCGATTTCAAATTGTCTATTAATTAAAAATAAAAACTACCGCCATTTCGCCAGTCGTAACATGTGGTTCCTGAACACATCACAGAGAGCTTATAATATGTGTGTAGATAAAGCAGTGTATGTAACTGTACATAATTAGGCACTAAAATACCCGTGAGATGTTTTTATGAAACTCGCCTGTCGATTCGTTTCATAAACCCTCACATTCATTATGTAACAGTCACATAAACTACTATTTTCCAAGATCGATTCAACACTTTCACTGTTATGCGGCATCAATCAAAGCCATTTGAGGTAGTGCAGGCTCTTAACCAACATCGACACGATAAAACATGAAGAGCACTACTACCGCGCCCGTCCCCCGAGACGTAAAGTCTGTGTTTCAATGTGGTTTTTCTGATAAAAATAATAATTAAATTGTACATTTTTTTGTTAAGAACTTTGTTTATATTATAAGTACATGTCGCATGTTTTATACACAAAATTTTATTGTACTTAACTACATGATTAAAATCAACCATTATTAAAAATATCTTAATTTTCTCTTTAAATATCACCACTGCATTTAACTAATATATATGTAATTTTTAATACGACTCATAAATAGAACTGAAGGCCACGATTGTATCAAGGCGAAGTATTTGCACGCAAGTCTGGATTTAAAGAGGTGAAGTGTGGGGGACCGCTCCGCGCGACCAGCAATCCGCGCGCTTAAAATTAATATGAATAAAATAAGAATAGACAGAAAATGTCAATTTGAAACAGACCCGACGTCGACAAGTGCACGATGGCAACTAATGGGGCAGCGGGCGACGCGGCATGTCGATAAACCGCTAAGCAATTTTCAGGTTTCAGCATAATATGAATTTAACAATTACAGGGCTTCAGTTGAAAACCAAAATTTAGCAGGTTCTCTGTAGTAATGACCTATAGAAGATACCTCCATGTAAAAAATATGTGTAAGGTAAGGAAGGTACGGAACTTTTATTTTAACCTGTTTTTGGGATTTAACATGATCGGATAAAGAACATCCTATCGTGTAACGAAATAGCACATTCTTTAGACAATATCCTCAGGCGTATCGTATACTTTTTGTAAGACCGTTATTTAATAACAAATACCTAAGTCATTTGACCTAGTAAAACAGATTTTCCCACTTCTCCTCCGGTGACTCGTGTTAAGTTGTGCATCTTTTGTGTTATTATACTGTAATCGATCTATATAATAAGGGCCCGGTTCTGTATGTACATTACTAACTAAAATCCTTTGATATTAGTTTTTTTAATGTAATAAACGGCAAAGAAAACAGAAAACAGAAAGAATCTGATTATTGAAGTCAGTCATGCCCTTTGAACTTGCTGTTTATTCAGATATGTTTCCACAAAAGTTAGATTGGCCTTTATATTCTGATCCCGGATATATGTGTAACTCAATTTTGATAAAAAATATTAGTTATGCTCTTTTTCGCTCCGAGGGCAGAGTTGACAAAGCCCGGGCGCCTATGGCTGCAACATCGTTCGAGTGCGGAACCAATAAACCGCGTGACTCGGGCACTGCACCGTTTTGATTATCCCTCCCCGTCAAGGTAAGTGAGTAAGGTGGCGTCAGGCCCCCCGCCGCACTCACCCCGGTCCCCCGCGGCCCTGGCCGGCCCGGCCTGCGCCAGTTGCCCGCCCGGCCACCAGGCCTTGAGCACCGCGCCCGTGTAGTAGTGCAGCATCTGCTCCGAGAACAACCACGCGATCGTGTCCTTGATTTGCCTGCGAACCAAACTTTCACTATTATACGATTTTCAACTCAAAACGACATTTTCCAAATTAATTATATCGGGAACTAAATTCGTTTTTAGTTGCCGGGCCTCTTTTTTCTTCTCTTTACCGACTATGGCTGTAACAAGAACAAAACAGTTCCGAGGGTTTTAATTGGGGCATCATAGTGAAGTTAGCCTGCACGCAATCTTACTATTTACGTGCAAGTGTGATAAAAACATTGTATGTCTCACGGGCGATACGGGAATTACGAACCTCGACTCCGAAAGCCCTCAGTTTTCCACTTCGGACTTCTACTATTAGAAGCCTCTAAACGAGACTCTAAAGTTGGTTTTCAAAATTTCTCTATAATTGAACTATTGCAATATTTATTGTTATTGAAATCACGATGTTTTACTTCCACGATTATCATTTATTTTTTGTGAAATTTCTTATTACTATTGATATAAAAACCGAACATAAAGAAATACAACTTTGACTGGATTTTTTGTCAGTTCCTGGTAGCTGAAAAGATGAAGCTGAGAGAGAAATCTTCCAAAGCACTGCACAGGTCGCGTTACGGCATAAAAAAACCGTTTAAACTCAATACAAAAACGTACGACAAACACATAAAAAAATCATAATATCTGCTGACTCGGTCCGTAACCCAGTTAGTAAAAACGGTAGCCACGGTGAAACAACAGACGTCGTTCGAGTTCAGTGAGACCGAATGAATTTTTCTTTGTGTCCGACCTTTGTATTAATAATAAAACACAAACGAACATTCTTCAGTAACTAGTAGACATACTACCGCTACAGTAGGTAGCCCAATGGACGCGAAGTGCAAACTTTGGCAAGTCAAACTAAACTCATCTTGATTTTATTACCCCAGCCGGAAAACTTCCCTCGGCCACGAGCTGCAGTGGTCATTATGAAAATTCCTGAATCGTCTCAGGTCACAAGTTGGTCGATGTAGAGACAACATGGCGAAATGGGGATATATTAACCCGACTCAAAATTGCGGGTCGACACAAACTACGTCTCAGTTGCTCTCATGCCCATTGTGTTCGACCAGGCGCACGCGCGAAGACTCGCTAAAGGCAAAGGACAGGGCCGTAGAGGTGGCTGCTTAATGGGTTAAAGTAATTAAATAAATAAAAAGTAATAAATAAAAAAAAAAAAAAAGAACACTGGTTTTTTGTTGGTTTTTGTTATCGACTGGACAAGAAGAAGAGCAACTAGTTAAGGATTACCTGTTGATAGTGCGGCCGTAGGTGATCTGCACGAAGGTAACGAGCGTCTTGCGCAGCCAGCGGAACACGCCGCGCATGTCGAACACCTCGCTGAGCAGCGCGTAGAGCGGCTCGGCCACGGCGTCGCGCTCCTCCAGGCCGGCACCTGCCGCCGCAGAGACACGTTCACGGAGCTCTTAGGCTGCCACAGGTTGACTGCTCGTTTGCAGTTGACAACGACAGTCGCTCTGTTAGCAGCCTTACACACCGCCTCCACTTCCACTAAGCAATAGACCAATGAAACTATTCGCAATAAGACGCGTAAGTGTTAACGGCACAAAAAACCCCACCGCCTATTAGCCATACTACATGAGTAAAAAGTTTCCAAAGACTACTTTCACGCAATCGTAATCATTTAAAATTCATAATTATAAGCACATAACATAAAGGCTATGATATAATATAAATACAGCTAACAAATACAGCTAACTTTACCCATAACTCGAGAGGACTGCATACTATGCTACATACTACAGATCGTAACTCTGAAAAAGGTAAAAATTACGACTTATGATGTGATGAGATGGCGCTGATTGATAGCCTGGAAGTAGTAGACTGCCTCCGTGGCCGAACGGTTACCATGCCGGACTGCCACGCAGAGGTCCCAGGTTCGATTCCCGGGCCGGGAGAAATATTTATAAGACCTACATTTATTTCTCTCGTGAGTTTGGGTGTAATTTGTGGTTGACTATGTGTGTGTCCGTAGCACCCGCGACACAGGATTTCCCTAGTGCGGGGCTGTGTTGAGTGTGTGCGTTATTATTGTTATTATTATTATTATTATTATTATCGTTATAGTATATGTAATGTAAATGAATATCAAATTCATCTTTAATATGAAATATGAGCAAGTTATAGGAAACGAAACTATTTTTCCGGATTTAAATCGCATATATTTGTTTTTCAAACACACCAACGTTTCGGGCCCTTTACAGGTCCCATGGTCACAGTTGACTGAGATGGTACAGTCATCAGTCATATCTAATATTAATGCAAACCACCCTATTTTTTCACTAGTGACTATAGTTGGAATGTTTGAAAAAACAAAGTTTCATTTCCTATGTGTAACTATCGCGAAAACCTAAGAACTCGATATATAAGTATGTAAGTTTTTTCCTTCTAGTATTATTCAAATATTGAGCATGAGCTAAAATTATTTTCTGAGCTTTGACACAATGGCGTGTCAATAGATGGCTTTGTGTTTTACAAACTAATTTATAAATTTGTATGACGAGTGGGTGGCGCTAATCATAAACGAACATATAGAATAGCCGACACTATCCATAAAATCTGTGCAACAAGCTCCATCTAGTTGTTTTCTTTGCTATCACTAGAAATAAGAGTAGTTTCGGTAAATTGTACTTCATCAATTACCTATTTACAAAACAATTCGACCCCTCCTACGTAAAGTATCGTATGTCGAAATTGCCAAGTTTACAGGGGAGCGTTTTAAAGTTCTGAATTCACTGAAAGTGATCACCATAGATCATCTAACCGATATCTAGGATTTTATAATACTCTATGTGAGTAATGAGCTTTGCCGAATAAAACTGAGAAACGCTAAAGTCACGTGTTATGTTCGTTTCAGTGAATTCAGAACTTTAAAACGCTTCCCTGTAAACTTGGCAATTTCGACATACGATACTTTACGTCTGAGGGGTCGAATTACAAAAATGGTTATTTGGTACTCGTTGCGACATCTGCTGTATCTATAGGTACTAAATACCCGACTACACTGACTTGTACCGCGGTTAGCAGTCCGCTTGAATATTATATAACAATAAGGTTAACAATATTATTTAATAATTACACGATAATATACGAGTATTTGAATATATAAATAATAAAAATTATCACGGAAATTAGGTAATGAACACCAGTCCGAGAATGACCGATTTGTTTTTATAAGATTTTTCTCGAACGCTGTCTCTGCCGACAGTACCTACAGCCGCTTTACTGTTATCGATGACTAATTATTCAGCAGGAACTGCCGTAGCGAGACGAGCCTAGGACGGTACCTCGCCCGGAGGCCACGGCCCTGTGTGCCGCGTCGCCGTTCCCGTCCAGGTACAGCGAGATGTCGTCGTCGTCGGCCGACAGCTGCGCGAAGGCGTCGCGCTCCTGCGAGCTCCGGCTGGTCGCGTCGCTGCTGCTGCTGCTGCAACAGACGCGCTGGATTGGCGACAGTTGTCGCCCTCGACACGTTTAAATATAGGAACAGAAGGGCTCGTGACAAACGTCCAAACGTACAAAGTGGTTAAGAGTTAAATCGTAAAACACTATGAAAATTTCTCAGAAGTATTCAGAGTACTCGGAAGTTAGCAAATAAAGTCGTCATATTACAATCATAACTGTAGTCTAAACAAAAGCAACTTAAGTGCTCTTATCGCTCATGTTATTTTTTTTGCTGTAGCTTAATTGGTCTCGAGTTTCAAGTGTTTATAATAGGGGTTAAAGTATGAAATTGCCGATTTGTACTGAAAATCTAAATTGTTTATTTTTTAAATTTTTAACAAATTTATTTAATCAAAATAGTTGCCATTATTATCTATACATTGCTGCCATCTAATGGGAAGGTTATTAATGCCTTTGCGATAGAACTCCGACGATCTAGACTGCACAAACTGTGTGAAAGCATTTTGTACTGCCTCCTGGGAAGAAAACTTCTTGTCACGTAGATAATTGTCCAAATCACGAAAAAAATGGTAGTCCGTTGGAGCAAGGTCTGGTGAATACGGAGGATGACGAATGGTTTCTAACTGCAGTTCCTGAAGGGTCAAAATGGTTTCTCGTGCTGTGTGAGGTCTCGCGTTGTCGTGGAGCAATAATGGTGAAGATCGATTCATGAGTCGGGGCTGTTTTACTGCTAATTTTGTCAACATGGTTCGGTGTTCGGCACAATAGACATCTGCCGTTATTGCTTGACCAGATCGGAGAAAACTATAGTGAATAACACCATGCTGAGACCACCAAACAGTTACCATTACCTTTTTATTGGTAAGTTTTGCTTTAGGACACTGTTGTGGCATTTGACCTGGGGTCAGCCATTGCATTTTTCTTTTCCGGTTATCATAAAGAATCCACTTTTCATCACATGTTACAATTCGATCCAATATTCCTTCATTTCTGTACCGGTTCAACAAGGCAACACAAGTTTCAACACGCGTTTCTTTCTGCAGATCAGTCAAATCATGAGGCACCCATTTTTCGTATTTTTTTATTTTATTGATTTGACGCAAGTGAGTCAATATTGTGGGTAAGGTAACGTTAAACCATGCCGCTAATTCCTGGGTAGTTTGACTAGGATCGGCTTCCACTATCTCTCTTAATTCATCGTTATTCACCTGTGTGGGCGGTCTTCCTCGTGGCTCGTTCTTTAAGTCGAAATTTCCATCACGAAAGCGTTTAAACCAAAATCGCACGGTGCGTTCATTAGTAGACCCCTCTCCAAACGCAGCATTGATATTGCGGGCTGTTTCTGCCGCGTTAGTTCCGCGTCGGAACTCGTATTCAAAAATCACTCGAATTTTCGCAGTATCCATCTTTCTTGTCTAAATTGAATAACAAAAACAATTGAAAGTCGATATTCAAATGTTTCAAATTTAAAAAAAAAAAATCACAGAAACCATTTGAAAAAAGTTTCATTCGAAAACCTCAAACCATGAAGATTCTATGAAAATTGAAAGAACCTATTGCAATAAAACGGCAATTTCATACTTTAACCCCTAATATTACACGCGTCTTATCGCGGGTCCTAATGTAAACAATAAAAAAAACGGAGGACGCGGCGTGATGACGTAAGCTCGAGCATGAGCGTACAAGTGGTTAAAAAATATGAATTAACGAAATTATTTTTTCGATTTATTTTTTTAGTGATTTGGGTGCAGTTTCGTATATAAAATGACTTCTGTAAATATGGCGACAATATAAATCAACACATTGTATATCATAATTTCGATTTGACCCTCATTTTTTGTTCCATCCCCCACGATAATCGTAATTTTTTGAAAACTGAGAAAGCCTTTATTTTTAGTTTTGAATATTATATTTAATTTCTTTATTACTATCTCTTCGTCATTTTTACCTTGGTAATTAACTAACCCATATTATAATATCATTAATACCCAAAATGTGTATGCAGCAAAAGTAAAAAATATATAAATTTGCAAACATTAATCACACAAGTTCTAAACATAAACTACTATTAACAATTGACTTACCTCTTGAATAATGTAGAAAATGAGAATTTGTTCTTTTTTGGCAAGTCCCCCTGTTTCAAGTATTCCGAACTGGGGTTTAGGAATGTATACAACGCTTCACTTTGGTTCAGTCGGTCGTCTTCCAGGACGAACTGCGAGAACACACAATTTTTATTAAACTTATTTCGTACAATGTGCACAGTTAGAGTAAAAATAACACTATACTCGATCCAATTGTTTAAAAGAATCAGAACGTTTGATACAAAAACGAATGTTCACAATGTCTTTTAAAGTGCATTTTCAATTGTTGTTAGATCATCATCATTTACAACCCGATTTAACCCACTTCTGGATATGGGCTTCACGCCACCTTTGGGTTGTAGTTCTGCCCCATTTTTATACATTTAAAAAAGTTTTTAAAAATGAACTCTCCGGTCGGTTTGGCGCTGACTGTACTTTAAAAGCATAGCCATAGGTAATTTCGACATTAAATACTTACTTCTAAATATTTTTGTATTAAAATTTTGGCTTTTTCTAATGAATTCCTATCATTTTTCCCGAAGAGGAACTTAAATGAGTTCGACGGCAGCTCCAAGTTTTTCAGCTCCGAACACATAGGCCTTAATTTTCGATGTAGTTCCTGCAACGAAAATAGATGTAACAAATTTATTATACTGTAGGGGAATTGTGCAATATTTCAATTTACTCTTAAGTGTCAGTGGTGGACGTGCGATCTCCTTATCATAGATTTGAAGGCATGCATCGGTATAATTTAGGCCAACGTATCTTAACGCGGGAGTGAGAGGGAATGGGTGTGCAAGAGAGAGGGACGATTTGAAATTAAGGAAGAGAAGAGGAGCGCGATGGGTTTTGTTTTATATATGTACAACGTACGACAGAACATGTTTGAGCAGGAAGATAAGTAATTTTAGACCTTATCCCTTTTCTTTGACTATCCCACCAGATTATCTTAACTACAAATTATTTGGCGGTCATCACCGGAGTGGAGGCCTGAAAGGCGGCTGGCGAACCCTCACCTGGAACTCGCCGAGCGTCCTGAGCAGCACCCAGCCGGTGGTGATGTGCTCGGGCCGGTCTTCGCCGAGCTGCTGCTCTTCTTGCTCCGCCATGTGCACCACGATCACGAACTGCGGCGGCTTCGACTCGTCCACCACCTGCGGGGCCCGTTGCCCAGTTAGGAAATGTACTTTTCTGCACTGGTTCTGGTGGATACTGCCTTTGATAGTTATTAATATAAGGCTAAGGCTTATAAATCAGGAACTAGTGTATCATTTTAGACTCGTGAGTTTGCGCCAGTGGGGTCAATTCAAAGTACAATCACTGAGCAATCGTTGCATAACGAGGGTCCTTAAAGTCGAATACCGTGTTAAGAAATAGGTTAAGGTTTAAGATTTTAAGACCGAATTATGTGATGGTCGCATACAATACTTTTTCTATGAGAAGATGAAAATGATGAAATACAATCAATATTTAATGTATAGTTTGTTAACAGTCTACGACAACAAACTCAAGCGACGGACAAACAAACACTACAAAATAAAAAACTAAAGAGATGATAATTATAAAGAAAGACAGAATAGAAGTGGCCAAGGGCCACTTACATTTTAACCGATCAAGAGGCAACAGACCGTTTGAGTAGCGTCGTATTCGATATTGTACATTGTATAAAGTTCTTTGAAATTTTACAGTTAGCGGTACCATAGACAATGGAATTTTGGTTCCGAACTAAAAAAAGCGCCTTTGTGATGCTTTACAAAATTATATTTGACAATTTCAAGTACAGAAGTAGAAAAAACATTTTGTGCGATCTTGAAAATATACTTTTTCTACTCCTGTAATATAATCAGTCAATTATAATTTCTTAAACCATATTATAAAGTCGCTCGTTTTAGTTCAGAACCAAAATTCTATTCTCTACGGTATTAAAATATCTAGTAAATAAATATATAAAAATAGAATATACCTAAATTCGCCGCAGAGCTGAAAAATGTCATTAAAGTTCTATACACAGCGTAATAAATATTATAGTACTATACACAGGGCCATAATGAGTTTCAAAAAAGAACGTCGTATTTTTGCTAATTAAAATATTAATCAGGTCGCTACTCATTCGCACTACTGCCTCCTGATTCGTTAAATTGGCCTAAAAATCTTGCAACAGGATCTTCTCTAAAAAAAGATTGGTTAAAATATATGGATACTTGGCCAGTCTTAGTCTATCTCTTTGTTTTTTTTGTGAAAATGAAAGTCACCAACAGCTAGTTTATTTTTATTCCTCATTTATTGAAAAAAATCATAAATGTATTGTGAGGTTATTGTGAGAATGTTAATATTTTTAAACTTATGTCTTAATGACACTCTGGGGTCACCCCAAAGCAAACTGTCGTATGTCATTAAATTGTGAAAGAAGCTGAAGTAAACCAATCTAGCTGTTTCGGCGTCTGAAAGTTTTCGTTTTATTTTATCGCGACACTCTAATATTGGGTAATGTAAATTATACGCAATTTGTTTTTTTCTCATTAAGAAGCAGGTTATTAACTGCAAATCAATTTGCTACTTCAGATATAAGATTGTTCATATCGTCATAGGAACATTGGTGTTTTTTTAACTTTGAATAATAAGGAAGTGTCATCAGCAAACAATACTATCTCACGTTCTATACCCTCCACGGGGCTAGGTAAGTCATTAATATAAACTAAAATCAGAAATGGACCCTGAGAAACGCCCAGACTAATTGCAGATTCTGACGGTCTCGTACCGTCGACATCGACTCTCTGTACCATCCCATTGAAATATAATTTAAGAAGGTTGCGGTCATGGTCCGCCACACCATAGTGGCGATTGTTCGTGACCAGAGTCTCATGGTGCACACAATCAAAAATCTCGAAAAATCTCGGAATGGTCACAGAATACACCAAGAGCATCAAGTTAGTCTTGCCATGCATCAAATATATGTTTTATCAATTCTACACCAGCATCGGTTTAGTAGCGCTTGTTAGGTTTTCGTCTAAATTGTCTTGGATCTTAAGAAAATATAGATTAAATATTGGTTACTCCAAGAAAGAGTAACCAGGTCTCGATCCAGGTCCAGGTACCGCCTAGCCAGGCCTAACACGGCACTCGACTGTAAGGCCTGCGCGGCAATCGCGAGGCACCTCGGCGCTGTGCACGGTGGCGCGCCAGCCGCCCAGGTGGTCGGCCCAGGTGTCGGTGCGCTGCAGGTGCGCCTCCAGGCGCCGGCGCTCGCCCGCCAGGCGCTCCACCTCGGCGCCCAGCAGCGCCAGCGCCGGCGACTCGGGCTTCAGCGACGCGCGCAGCGCCGCCAGCGCCAGCGTCTTGTTGTGGTGCCGCTCCTGCAGCTGGTCCAGCTTGCGCCGCGCGTACGTGGAGTGCTCCGTTAGCGGCAGCGGCGCCGCGCCCGCCCCCCCCTCCGACGAGTCGCTGGACGGCTGCCGCTCCTCGACGGGGGACCGCTCCGCGCCCATCTCTACGGGGCGAAGTCCATCGTCGTTACGTTAGGCGAAGACGGCTCGCCCTGCTGCCTCTCGAGCGAGACTCGCGGGTTCGAATCCGGGCTCGTGTTTTATATGAAATTTATAACGAGCAAAACGTCGTGATGAAACCTGCACGTTGAAGAAGGTTCACAGCCCTCGAAAAATGTGTTAAGTCCCCGGCCCGCGTTGAGCCAGCGTGGCTGACTATGGCCTAAACCCTCGTCTGAAAGGAGACCCGTGCCCAGCAGTGAGACGTATAAATGGATTGATAATGAATAAAAGAAAAATTAGAGAATTATTTATATTAAAGAATATTTAGCAAGGGTATTGTATTTTTATTGATACGTTGGTAAATAAGTGGCGCCAGAGTATATTAGAAAGTTAAAGTACTGCCTTACCAAATCCTATTACATACCTAAAGTATTCGATTGGGAACACGAATACGAGGTTTATGCCAAAAGAACTCAGATACTCTTTAATTATTTGTTTGATACTGGCAAGCTATACACCGGCATGACGGCAGGTTATTTGGCTAATAAATTTGAAAATGGAACACGTTTTAAAGCGAATTCTTTTTTATTTTTCGGAGACAACCTGGCGGGAATTTTGTTCGCAACAATGGAGCCCTCTCGACGTGATTTTTGTGTTATTATATATTATGAGTACAAAAAAGGATTAAATCCGCGAAAATGTTTTGAACTTTTAGCCACAACTTTTGGTGGTACTGTTTGTTCATGAGCTACAGTTTTCAATTGGTTTGTTACTCAAGAAAACGTTCAAACTGTCGAAAAAGTAATTCGTGAAACCGACGAACTACATATGTAGAGCTTGAGCGAGAATTGGGCATTGGATGCTACTGAGCAATGCTACTGAACATTGCAAACAATTATTCACAGACAACTGCCTCTTCATAAGCGTAGTTCGAGATGGGTTCCGCACAAACTTAACGATGAGCACAAAGAACGAACGAACGGAGGAGGAGGAGGAGGAGGAGGAGGATCAGGAGGAGGAGGAGGTGGAGGAGGAGGAGGTGGAGGAGGAGGAGGAGGAGGAGGAGGAGGAGGATCAAAGGATAGTTAACTCCGAATAGTATATAACAGTTTGTGCCCCAAAAGTGTTGTCAGCTTGGTGTGACAAGCGGCCAAAATCAGGAATCCGGCACCTCCTCTGGCATCACGACAACGCCGCTTCGCACACTTCTGCTAGAACACTCAACTATTTTCATTCAAAAAATGTATCTATCCTGCCGCACCCGCCATATTCTCCTGACCTAGCACCTTGTGATTTTTACCTCTTTCCAAAAATTAAAGAAAAATTAAAAAGCGAAAGGTTTGAAAGCAAAGAAGATGTCTTGGCTGCTTATAACTTGGAAATTTCTGAAAAGTCTAAAGAAGAGTAATCATCGATATTTTCCAAGTGGTTTAGACGAATGGAAAAGTGTATACGTGTTCATGGTGAATACTTTGAAAAAATCGTATAATACCTGTAATAAAGAATAAATTTTATAATTTTTGAAAATCTAATTTATTTTGGCTTGACCTCGTATATAGCACCTTAGTACTTTATATACTTATAAATATTCAGTAAAACTTAATTACAATTATTAAAGTGACATCTCTCGTCAATAGCTGGTTGTAAACCTTCCTGAATGAAGAACAATTTTTTATAGATTTCTCACAAACTACTAGCTAGCAAACGCTAGCTACGGCAAAAAAATCGTTAAAAACGAAAACAAAAATCTGCAACAAAACACATGGAAAAATTCGTGAGGTCCGTTGGTTCGTTCCGTGGCTTAGTTGGCATAGCGTCTGGCACGGTTTGCTGGGAGACGTTGGTTCGAATCCAACCGGACCGAAGTGAATTTTTTTAAGTGTTCGATCTTTGTTTAATAATTATAACAAAGTAGTTGAGTAATTTCCCAAAAAATAATAAAATATGATGGTGGTGAAATATCCTGATATCCAATAAAACTTAATTACTTATAAAATAAACAAAAAACAAGGAGTCAGTTTTAACGATATTCTACGACCCCGGTGGCCCAACGGTTAATACTGTGGGCGCTTAATGAGAAGGTTTCGAGTTCAGTTCCCGGAAGGACCAATTTGGAAAAAAAACTCGTAAATTGGTCCAGCTCTAGATCTTCTGGGTAGTGCCCCGGAGTCAATACCGTTGTTGTGGTACTAATAGTAGAGGGAACATCCTACTTTGAAACCAAATATTAGCCAACATAGTAATATAGTCACTTATACCTTTGTTGTTAGCTTCCTCGGTGGCAAGTTCGGCGATCAAAGCCTTGTACTGCTCGCTCATGAGAAATGAGTGGTAATATTTCTCCTGAATCGTGTCCATGACGGTCTCCTGGACTTCATAGAAAACTTCGGGCCCTTTGTCCCCGAGGAGGAACGCTTCCATTCGCTTCCTGGTATCCTGTAAAGAGTCCACCATGTTTACTTAGGGCATGCCGTAGTCCATAAGTGTAAGGAGCAGGATAGTCCAGTGTTAACTAACTTTGTCGACCTTGATCTCGGCACTGGGCGACCTGATGTACGTGTAGAAGATCTCAGCGCCGAGCTGGTGCCAGCTGCTGCGCGGGCTAAGGCGCAGCTCCTCCACGGCCATCCAGAAGCCCACCAATCCCTGCGAGTGCATCTCCTCCAGGAACATCGACAGGTACCGCCGGCCCGTCACGCTCTCCATTACGGTGTGCAAGGGCAAAGTCTGCAAGGTGAACAACGGCGAGTCATGCCCCTATTGGCATACAAAAATTCTCTTCGCAAAGTTGCAAATTATTAAGAAGGCTTTGGAACAATCGCGAAATAAAAACTCGTGAAATGAAAACTCTGCATACTCGGATGACAATCAAAAAATCCACGGGAGAGTTACGTTTGATGCTTACAGATTGTAAATGAAAGTAAGTGGGTTCTACCCATAGAATAAGAATACAATGAAATCGAACAATTTTTTCGGATCTTTAAATCCGAATTGCGATCGCGTTATTTGTTTTTTCAAACAAACTAAAGTTTCGGGCTCTTTTTTATTTTTATACTATCAAGTGATGGGACTAACAAGTCGAGCGCCTGATAATAAGCTACACGCCTGCCCATTACAGTTACAGTGCCACTCGGAGCTTGGAATCGCAAAGATCAGAGGGCCACTGCCACTGTGCCCGACACCCTGAGACATAAGTTGACAAGTCACATGTGCTTATAATTTCACCAACACCCTTACCCTTCGAAACCGGAACTCAGTAATGCTCGCATTACCTCAGATTACTTAACAGCTACACATTACTGCTCGGCGGCAGAAATCGGTAAGGTGGCATTTACAAAAACCAACCCCTAAAGTATCTTACTCATTCCTCTCAAGGGAATATGACTTACAAAAAAGTAGTGAGGTTTAACAAAACTGACTATTTCTAGTGTAGTTTGTTTACAAATGAAATAAAAATATACTCCCGGACCCATAATACGAACCAGCTCGCAATGTTGACTTAAAGGGTTAGAATACAAAAGCAGTGTTATCGTCGAAGAAAAAGTTTTTCCCCGGTTTTGCAAATCTAAATTTGCAACAAGGATTTATGGAAACGACGTTTAGTATACTAGTTTCAAAATTGCTTAATAGTTTTTGATTTTTGTTCTATCAAACATTATTTAAGTTTAGGGCTCTTAATACTGAAAATGCGAGGTGGCTTGAATTGTGTCCGGGAGTGTATTTTGGTTGCAGTATAAGGACTGTTTTAATTTAAGCGCAAGTTTGTGCAATTTTCAAAAACATATTTCTAGTATGGCCAATACATAATCATTTCTAAAGTTTCGGCCATAACCCGCCACGCTCGTCCGTGACTTCACACGTTTTCCATGGGCTGTGAACCGTTTTCTACATGCTGGGTTTCAACATGATGTGTTCCTCAACCGTCATAAATGTACGTAATTTCAATTAAAATCGGTTACATGCAGAAATATTAGCGACTATAGTACCTTGCTATTCCCATGCTCCACAGCAGGAAAGGCGCCATCCCAGCCCAATTTCCTCAAAGCGTTTTCGCACTCGGCTTTCGCGATGGTCAACTGGTTGATGTACCTCTTCAGTTTCTTGGCATCAGCGATTTGCTGCCGGCTGACGTTGTGGTGGCCGGTCTTCTCGATCGCGTCAACGTCCACCCCTTTAGCGCGCTTCATGTTTTGCAGCGTCGTTGCTTGCATTATTTGGGTTACCACGTCATATCTGTGAAGAAATATAACCATTTTAAAACTTTTAATACATGTATAGACGAGACGACGAGAGATCTTTACTCTTTCTGTCAAGTTCTAACTGTTAGACAGTTATTCGTTCTCTGGACTGTTTTGAAGCAACATTCCCTCACTCCATACGACAGCGCCTCAAATAGACGACATTGCATAGTGGCTACTTCTGACCGTCTCAGGACTGCCTTCACTCATAGATTTTTCTGTTTCCTGGGATGTTTTCTGTACAATGCACTCCACCGTGAACTAAACATCTTTCAACTAAATAAGTTCGAATGTAAAAAGAAGTTGGCAAACTGGCTGCAAGAATTGAATTACGATGAAACTGAAGCTTTGCTTCATTCGATTGCATGACTGAAGGACCTATTTATTTATTTATTTTTGGAGCTTTGGGTAGAGTAGGACCTCTATATGTATATGTATATATATATCCGTAACTACGCACACGCGAGCACACACACATACACACACATACACAAACACACACATACACAAACACACACATAATACAACACGCACTCATAGTCAAATATCTTTTACGTGCAAAAAAGTTTTTAAATTTAATTTTAATTTAAGTTTGATCTTTTAGGTGTATATAGTCCAATAATGTCAAATGTATTTTTTCGCTATTTAAATGTTTTTCTTTTATAAATAATTAATCTTAGTAATACCTTAAGATTGTCATGTGTCATTTCCAAGGGTGAGAGCCTGGTGACTTGTAGTACAGGCGTTAAGCCTTTAACAAGCACCAGCTCCCAAAAATAAGTTATTGGATGTATCTTAATTACTAAGAACTATATGTACGTATTTTTGTGGAGGAATAAACGTTATTATTATTATAGAAAGAAACCGATGCAGCGTACGTTTATTATAATTAGATTATTAACAATTCATAGTGTTAACGAACAAAATACGCCAAACGCTCCCTTAACAGAAAAAAGAAGATAAAACGAAAATGGGTATGGAACTCGAGTGTGATCTAAAAAAATTTTTAGATACATCGAGTTAGTAAGGTTTTCGCGGAATGGTTCTTTATTATAATTATTAATACAAACATCGAACACTTAGAAAAAAATTCCTTCGATTCCGGATTCGAACCGCCGTCTTCTAGCAAACCGTGTCAGACGCTATGTCAACTACACGGAACGAATCAGCTGACCTCATGAATTTTTCTATGTGCTTGTTGGGTCTTTGTATTCGGTTATCGACGACTTTTTAGCCGTATTTATTATCTTTCACAAAAGATAGTTATACCTACTTATACTCAATAATAGTTTCGTTTGTGAAAGTCTGGTTTCCTTACTAGGATTAAGCTATGTTATGGAGCATCAACCCGTCATGGCAAAGCAAAATGTCGTCTACCAACTGTAAACTGTCAATGTGGCTAAAGCAAACCAATATGCGTCCACATCTAAAGCAGTCTACATATGAAACTGCAGAGCTAAGCCTTTTCAAAAACTTGACTATATGTGGATCCTGTTTACATCTGAAACGGCAGAGCTGAGCCATTGCAAAAACTTGGCTACATGGGGATCCTACTGCAAGGTAGCATCTAAAATTACACTTAAAAATACAACTGTATCTACTTATGTAATGACGGCGGAAAAGGACGTTTTAAAAAAGAATTTATTATTACAAAAAGACGTTTAATTCGGATCAAAAACCTTACAAGACTAAAGTATAGAAAAAATACAATGAAAAGTAGAAAAGCATTACGTTACATAAATCTAAATAGTAAGCTAATTCGCCGTAGGTGAGATTCAGCATTTACCAGGCTTTACGCCATGGTAACTATCTACAATATCTATTATGTTTTTGACTATCTTCCTGACATTACGTAATGTAAATTTTACAATTTTTTTTCATTAAGAAGCTGGTTTTTTTTTCGGTAAAATAGCCTATTACCTTTGAAGTCATATGAACATTTGTAACACGGGTTGATGATGCGGTAGATAAGTGTCGAAATAGTAGCAATTGGAAGGCTGTGGTCTCTGTCTAACCCAATGAGAAAAGTGCGTTAAGTATAAGAACGTATCATTAGCTATTTATTTATTTATTAGCAAATAACACTACCTCGTGTTCTATAATCTTCCAATAAGTGAATAATATAACTAAACATAAAAATGGGCCTAGAGTTGAACCTTGAGAGACGCTCGTGCGAATTGCAGATCCTGATGATCTTGTATAGCTGACATTGGCCTCTGGACCACACAAAGATCATAGAACCTCAACCTTTTTAAATGAAGTCGAGGGCACTGCCCGCCACACCATAATGGGGAATAATCCTGACTAAGGTATCATGGTGCACACAATCAAATTCCTTTGAAAGATCACTGAATACACCTGCAGCATCATGTGATTGTGTTATATTTCAAAAGCATATTTGCACAGTTGTACAATGAAAATTTACATTTCAAATGATAACAAGACTTGGTTGCCTGATATTAACATTTATTCTCGTCAATGCAAACAAACAAGCATTACGAAATGGAAAGTAACAGGCCCACTCACCGTAACCGTTTCAGTGTATCAACATTATTACAGCTGTTTATTAGACGTATGTAGTCTTCAAAAGTTTTGGCGTACTCGTGCGTTTTTAGATGCATTGCGTCCACTTCTTTTTGAGCTTCGAGATATTGGATGATCTTTTGGTTGATGTAGTCTGGTTCTGTTATCAAGTCGATTGCTGGCTGGAGAACTGGAACCAAAATTAAATTAAGAAGTAGCAGTGCTCATGTAAAATACATTTGTGAAAAAACTTACAAACTTTTAAACGTTTTCAAGGTATTAGCAGGAAGGTCGTGGGGAGTTCACCCCAAAATTTACGTAGACTATACATTTCTCTATTCAGAAGTAGATTAGATTTTGGTGGATTCATATAAGCAGTTGTGCCAAAACCCACTTAAAAAAGCTAGATGTGTTACAAAATCAAGCACTTAGAATCTGTGGAGGCTTCATCCGTAGAACCGCATTCTACGCTATGGAGAGTGAACTCTCTCTTCTGCCCCTATCTATTAGGCGTTATTGGTTAGGCTGTAGGTTTTTGTCTAGACTAAATAATGGTTCCAATAAAAACATTGTAAAGGTTTTGCAAAACTTAATAGCGCGGCGCAATACCTTCAGTGGCACCAATTTTCCCATTCTTGCCAAAATTTACACTCAGTTCAGAGAGAGAGAAGTTTTCGAAGAACTAAAACTTGGAATGTATTCCCTGGACATCTGGGTCACTGCCATAGACAATAGCTGTATTAATTATTAATACAAAGATCAATAGCTAATCGATAGATCGATAGAAAGATATCAATAGCTGTATTAATGATTAATAATTATAACAAACTAGTGGAGTAATTTCACAAAAAATAATTGAATATCAATTCAATAAAAATTTAATTAATAGTTGTATTGTTGATAAAATCTGTTACAATAAAGAAACCAAGCGCAGTTCCTATGATTACCAACTAAGAAACTCTGCACTGTTTATGTTATCAGAAGATTATACTGGTTTCTATAAGATATATACAGACGGTTCTAAGTCAGCACATGGTGTTGGAGCTGCCATTCTGGATGCTCAGTCTAATACATCTTACATGTGGAGGGCACACAATGACATATGCGTTATGAAAGCAGAGATTATTGCCATCAAAGAAGCGTTAACAATATGTAGTGGATCAATTGTCAAATGAGCACTCAGTTGTTATTCTAACTGACTCAAAGAGTGCTCTGCAGCACTTAGCTCATTGTCTCGGGTCATCGAGGTATGCCGATAGCCTATGAGGCTCTCCAGTTGATCCACAACATACACTGCAGAAGTGTGTCTAAAGCTCCAATGGATTCCCTCCCATGTGGAGTTGCGCGGAAACGAAGATGTTGATGTCCTTGCAAAATCAGCTGCTGAAAATGGTAGTGTACTCGATTGTAAGCCTTATGCCACCGAGATTATTCCAATTAAGAAAATAACGCTGGAAAAATTAATATATAAATATCATTTCGGAGAACAGTCGGTGGATAAAGCTGTTGGTACAGAACCATTCAGAGTAATCCACAGTGCCCTCCTGGTTTGATTCTGTCAATATAGCAAGAAAATATTTTGTATCGGCTTTTAGACTGCATTCTGGTCACATTCCAACTAATAAATTCTTTCATATGATGGGTTTTAAATTTTAAACCATCCCCATCGTGCAGTACTTGCAATAAAATAGAGGATCTGTATCATGTATTGGTGGAATGTAACCGCAACATAACCCTGAGAGCTACAATGTTTGGGAATGTAAGTTTACGCAATGGACAAATTAATTGTTGGCTCAGAGAGCCTGTATGTATTGGTACTCTAAACTTGTACAAGTTTTTGAACATGTCCCTTGAGTAGGGAACCCAGTCTTCCTCCCATGAGGCTGACATAGTCACTCAAGGTGGCTAAAGCCTCAATAAAAAAATAGACTAAAAAAAATAAAAAAATAAAGCACTTGTTTATATGTAAGCATAAATTTACAAGTTCTCATTAAGATGTTCATCATTATGTCAATCCATTATAGTCCCACCAATGGGCAAGGAAAGGGTTTAGGTCAAAGTTTTTCATGTTTTCCAAAGATAGTGAACCTTATTTAATGGGCAGGTTTAATCACAATATTATGCTTCACTATAAGTAAGAGGTATTTTGTCACTATAAAGTTTACAAATATATGTATCTTAGGAATTAAAGTCATAGGTATAAGCTGCCAAGGCTATTCGAACTATCACCCTCTGAATAGAGAAGCAATCATTAACCCTTTGATACAGATTCAGATTTATTTATTTCTCAAGTCAAAGTATAAGATATTATATTGAGATGGTTAAACAAAAATCAAAATTATAAGAAAAAAAAAACACAAGCAAAATCTGGGTACATCTAATTTAATAAATGCAAACATCTTAAGCCAAAGAAGAAAAAGAGAAGAGAAGAACAGAACCAAAGAGGAGAAAAAGGTATGTAAGAAGTGTAGAGGGAGATGTCATAGTATGTGTAACAACTAGATTTAGTCAGCAAAGATTTTGTGATTATTACCTTTGCAAGCTAGTATTTCCCTCATCAAGTGTGAGGCAGGCGTGAGTGAGTAGCATCTTGGCAGCAAAAACATGACGAGCAGTTCGCTGATCTGCCGCAGGTAATGTAGCTCTGTCTCTGGGGACATCAGGTGTGGGGACAGGGCAAATACTGGTGGTTGATTCAATTCCATCCTACAAAATGTATGACATAAATTAAATTTAAGCTTCTCAGATATTGCAGAACTTTCAAATAAAGAAATATTGCGGCGCCTACATGATACTTGATGTTATTGTGCCACCCCGGCTTACTTAGGGCCGGAGCAACTCTTTACCATTGCAAGCAGTATTTAATCTATTATGATCACTACTACCACATGAAGGATTTTGCTACTATAAGAATAAAAAAAAATCTTGATCATTATGTATTATGTTTTAAATTATACTCACGCACAACTTTGAGCTATTCTAATCCTTTCAAAATGCTGAGTTATCTTAGTGATCATATCATTGGCTATAAGTTTTTCAGCATCTACTCTTTGGAACCTTTCATACAAGTTTTGTATAGCACTCCATACGTGTTCTTTAAACTTATCCACCACTGGCTCAGGTCTATGTGAAAGCTCATTCAGCCATTTTACCACAAAGTCCCTGAGGACATAGTCTATGAGTAGTTGCAATTGGCTGTCCACTGTACGTCCAAATATCACTGGCAAATGAGTCTTCTTTGTTGAGTGCGGCCAGTTACTTTGATCTTCCTGGAAACAGAGTTAATTTTATTATATTTATTATATATTTACTGTTATTATTTGTGGTTTTTAATAATATAGGTATTATAATATTAAGACCAAAAATTAGTTACAGAAACTTGGGATGTGAGATAGGTAGACAACATCACTAAACGGACCATAGATGTATGCAATAAGCGCAAGAACATAGCAAGACACAAACTACCACTTATACCCAGTGGGTGAAGTCGAGCTGTAGATAATGATGCTATTATTTGGAATTAAAGGGAATTTTAAGGAATAAATTACAATATTTCAATGTAGCTCAACAAACGTAATTAAAAGTTGTGCATAGACTGACTTTAACAGACCTTTAACGTTTCCTCTAGTTGACGCACTTCTTTTTCCAGCCTTTCCAATAAGAATAGCGAAGTTTGATGCGGCGAAGACAGCGCAACATGACACCAAAGTGTTAACATAAACACACCCGATATAAGGAAAATACTAAGCAGCGATAAGTAAACCAAAGTCCAAACTGAAGGAAAACACCACACAAAAGCTAACCAAACCGGCACCAAACCAGTTAGAAACCATTTCAAAGAATTATTCATGATTAGTTGCAAAACTGCGACTTCTACATTTCTTACATTTTTTTGTTAACTTATTACAAATTATTTTTTATTCTATATGCGGCTAACACGGTCACAAAAATCTATTTAATATAAAAAATATCATTTCCATGTCTCCCAGTCAAAGTTTTTAAAAATTATTTACACTACAACTCGATTTCCGTCGGGTTTACTTTACATAAAATAATGTCTTTTTAGTTTTTTGTGGTCCAATTGATTGGTTACCCAATTTGACATAAATAGAGTTCAACAAAAAGTAACTCTCTTTATACGTTACAGTGTAGCACCGTTACAGCTATTTCTACAGTATCTTTGATACGACAGATGAATCGATATTTGTATCCGACTTTTTACCCACGTTCAATGACACGACGCACGACTTAATCTGTCAAATACACATGGTTGTCAGATTTTGGTGTTTACTTAATTGATTCCAGTCTTCCAGTAAATAAATGCGTATTTTTGTAAAATAAATATATGGACGGGCACCACCAATAAACTAAAATAAGGAATACGATGGATGAACTTAAAGCAACGTATCTAGTTATTGGCGGCGGCATTGCAGGTGTAACTTGTGTAGAAACACTCGCTATACTTCATCCCGAGAAGTCGCTTATAATTGTCACAGCTTCCTCACTCGTTAAGAATGTGAGTAACGTGAGCTTCTACGCCAAAACAATAGTGAAGTTTGATGTGAACGAAACGGAAGCAAGTTCTTTGCAGAAAATTCACCCTAACCTGAAAATTGTGTATGACTCATTAAAACATGTAGACACAAAAAACAAATTAGCTACTACTGACAGTGGCAAAGTTATACAGTATGATGTCATTTGCATATGCACTGGAGGAATACCACGGCTAATTTCTGACTCTGGTAAATCCAACAGAATTCAGGGTATAAGAGACACAGAGTCAGTGCAACAATTTCAACAGAGGTTGGAAGCAGGTCGTAGAATGGTGATTGTTGGTAACGGCGGTATTGCGTCAGAAATTGTACATGCAACCAGAGGAATACAAAAAGTGTGGGTCGTTAAAGATGATTATATATCAGCTACATTTATAGATCCTGGAGCTGCTGAGTTTTTCCAAGATACATTTAAGAGTAAACCTTTAGAATCTGAGAATAACAAGCATGTAATATTAAGAAGACATGTATTTATGGAGGAAGACACACTAGTTGCTTTAAATAAAAATCTAAAATCTGCTGCACTTGGGCCAGATTGGTACAAGAAACTGGAAGGCATAAGGAATGAAACGGGGGAACAAGAACTAGAAATTGTTTACCAGGTTGAGGTGAAATCAGTCACTGAACAAACTGATACAGAATATCCTCTAAAAGTTGAATTGACTAATGGAAGGACAGTAGAATGTGACTTTGTGATATCTGCTACAGGAGTTGAACCTGCTGTGAATTTTACTTGGGATCAAGAACCTGTAAAAGGGTCAGATGGTGGTCTAGCTGTAAATGATATGCAAGAAACAAGTAACAAAGATGTATTTGCTGCAGGAGATGTTGCTCATGCAGCTTGGAAACACGCTCCACATTGGTTCCAATTGAGGTTATGGACTCAAGCTCGGCAAATGGCAGGAATGGCTGCCAAAGCTATGCATGCCAGAATATGTAACGAAGAAGTTTGGCAAGACTTCTGCTTTGAACTTTTCACACATTGTACAACTCTTTTTGGATTCAGGGTAGTTTTGCTGGGAAAATATAATGGACAAGGATTAGGGAGTGACTATGAAATCCTGTTAAGGACAACTCCTCGCCTGGAGTACATAAAATTTGTGCTTAAAAATGGTAGATTGCAAGGTGCTATATTGATTGGCGAAACGGACTTAGAGGAAATGTGTGAAAATTTAATTTTGGATCAAATAGATCTCACAGCTTTTGGAGATGATATTTTGAATCCTGATATAGATATTGATGATTATTTTGATTGAGAATTTAGACATTAACATTGATATCGTCAATGGTTTTTGGTGAATCCAAACTAAAATATATCCCCATCATTATCAGTAAAAAGAGAGAAAACATTGTTTTATATAGTTTAGTTTATTGTTGTGTGTGTATATTACATAATACACTTCTATAGTTGATACAACAATGTTGTCAGGTTAATCTCAAAATCATCTGGAGTTAGGGTCGTATTCCAGAACTCTACTCAATACTCAAGTTCTGACTTTAGTATTGCAGTAAGCACTGAAAATTATACTCAAGTCCTTGCCATTAGGGTCGTATTTCCAGTGCTTGAAATCATACTCAAGTCTGCTCAAATCCTGACTTGAGCATTGAGTACAGTTCTGGAATACGACCCTTAATAAACTTCCTACAATGTTTCTAAAAGAAAGAAAATAACATGAGCTCTCAAATTATATTTTTGTAATGTCATTAAAATATATATATAACCGTCATTGTGAATAAAAACCGCCGAAGTATTTTAATAACCGGCAATCTATCTCACCACCGCTACACATGTCTTTCAACCCTGACATTGGCAAAATCGTCGCGCAAAACGACGGAGCCATAGACACAAAAGTTGAAGTTGAAGTTGAGTATCACTAATTACAGGTTTCTTACTGTTGACTTGGTGACCATGGCGCGTATAACTGTTCCGGAATATCGGGAAAATATAAGAAATCATACTATCATGGTAAGTAACCTGTAATTATTGATAAATAATTGTTTAATGAATGACCACGAAACTCGTTAAATCCTTTGGATTGTAAAAAATTCTATAGTCATCTAAAAAGGGCCAAGATTGTTAAATTTTTCGTAAAATTGCTTTAGATTACAAAGCAAGTTCTAGGTTGGATTGTACATTAGGTATGTTTATAACCCAAGCGCAGCTATAGGAGCGAGAGATTCTTGCCATCTGTTCAAATAGTACAATTCCTGAACTGTACTCGGTCTTTCGTTCCTCAATTAATTTCTATTCCTAATGGATATAGGTGTGAAACTAGCATAAAATACAATTCTATAGGTTGTTACGAAATTAAATTTCGACTTGGGATCTGAGATAATTGAGGTCAAAGGTCACTATGTTAAGTCTATGGGAAAACATTAAATTGTTATGCAAATGTGCAGAACTGTAGAAAAAGAAAAAATAAATTTAAAAAATAATCAAGGCACAACAATAATATTTAGGAAAATAAGAAAGACTGCTGAGTTTCGTAGGGAATTGAAATTCTGCATACTCAATAGTGTTGTTGTAGTGAATAGGTAAAGTTGGATCTTATAAACTTAGGGTCGTATTCCAGAACTCTACTCAATACTCAAGTCAGGACTTGAGTGTTGCAGTGAGCACTGAAAATCATACTCAAGTCATTGCCATTAGGGTCGTATTTCCAGTGCTTGAAATCATACTCAAATCTGCTCAAATCCTGACTTGAGCATTGAGTAGAGTTCTGGAATACGAGCATTAGTTTTCTAGATGGGTGTAGTCACAAGCCGGTAGACCAAAGAGTTCTGGCTTGAAATCTTCGAGAGATTTGAGTATCAGAGTGGCATCTTTCAGTTGCTTGTGGTCTATGCGCGGATCAGGCACTACTACTACTTGCATCTTGGCTGCTAAAGCGGCTTTTACTCCGCTCACTGCGTCTTCTAGTACTAGACACTGAAGAAATAAAACAAATAAATTTTAAGTACATAGGTTTGTTCATCACATTTTGATTTAAATAGCATTTTGAATGTTTTATTTATAGTTTATAATGTGTCAGCTATCTTCTCTATGCTACTCACTCAAGTAATTAAACTTAGGGTCGTATTGTAGAACTCTACTCAATGCTCAAAAGTTAGGATTGCACTGGAAATACGACCCTAATGGCAGGGACTTGAGTATGATTTTGAGTGCTTTAAACCATATTCAAATCCTGACTTGAGCAATGAGTAGAGTTCTAGAATACGACGCTAAGAATGTAATGTAACTAAGTAATTAAACAAATGACTTACATCCTCTGGTTTTGGTTTGTCAGGAAACCTTGCAGCACAAACCAGAAATATAGTAGGATCTGGTTTTCCCTTCGTCACTTCTGGGTCTGAAGAACCCATAGTGATGTGGTGGAAACAGTTAAGTAGATCTTTATGGTTCTGCATTTTCATGGCAACACTCTCTTGGGTTGAACCAGTGGCTATTGCTATTGGCACACCATTCTTATGTAGATGTTCAATCAAGTTTTGAGCTCCTGAAATAAAATGGCAAAATACTGATATAATAAATTATTGACCCTAGTTTGGCATACAAACGCAGTTTCGAACCCTGCTGTCGGATCGTAGAAATTTATCTTTGTGTTCAATCTTTGTATTAATAAAACATTCAATAATTTCTTGTTAATATTCAGCGTTACGGGCTCTTTACAAATCCCATGGTTGAGTTACCTGTGGCTATGGGATGTGGAGAGTCCGAAACATTGGTTTGTTTGAATAAACAAATATAGATATATACATACAGGGTCAAGAGCACGTCAAACTTTACACATAAGACTTAAATCCGACTATGCCGCTTACAATAAGAACGGCCCAAAGCACAATGTGTCAAGCTTGATGTGCTCTTGATTATACGTGATTTTAGATCCCGAAAAAAAATTCTAATGTGCATCTATCGCGAAAACCGAAGCACTCGATATAATATTCAAATTCAGTTAAATTCACGTAAATCATATAAAAATCTCGCCTGAGAGGAGATCCGTGCCCAGCAGTGGGTTGTATAAATGGGTCGATGATGATGATGACATAAAAGTCCTTAACAAAGGTGAATGCTAAAATGGTGTGATTTTCAAAGTGATGTGTACATGAAAAACATTGAAGGAAAGTCACATCCCCCACATGTAGTCAATTGTTTCACTTCAAATCGACCAGTTTAACTTGAGCTTTGCTATAATGGACGAATATTGTAAAATTACATATTTAATTACCGATGAAATGTGATTCCGTTTGTTTTGTAATTAGATGTTTTTTGTTTTTCCCACGTCACCGAATGGAACAGCCCCATTGTTAGAGATATTATGTTTATTACAATAAATAAAATATTTTTGGAATATGCGGAGACGTACACCCAAGTCCTGTATATTCAATACAATAAACTAAGTTACCTGGAATAAGTTTCACACTAGCGAACACTGCTTCGTATATCTTGTTGCATTCTTGCATGAATTCGTTCTCGGTGAGGGGTATATTCAGTTCACGAATTATTTTGTTTGCACATTCCTGATACTGAAAACCTAACAAGCTTTCATTCAACTCCCA